GTTCCGGTGTCTCCGCTGAAGGGGCCGCCTCCTTTCGAAGTGCCTCTCAGAAGAGGAAGCCCCCGACTCGGAACCGACATACCGCCAAGGTTCGGGAACTCCCCCTGGTATCTTACCCCTAAACCCTAAACCCTAAACCCTAAACCCTAGACCCTAGACCCTAAACCCTAAACCCTAAACCCTAAACCCTACAGAATATATTCCTGAATTCGGCCTTCCCTGCAAACACAGCCATGCGGCAGGCCAAACCTCAGCTCCTAACGCCCCTCTTCCCCGAACCCGGAACCCCACACCCCCCCCCCCCCCACCCCCCCCCCCCACCCCCCCCCCCCCCCCCCCCCCCACCCCCCCCCCCCACCCCCCCCCCCCCACCCCCCCCCCCCCCCACCCCCCCACCCCACCCCCCCCCCCCACCCCCCCCCCCCACCCCCCCCCACCCCCCCCCCCCCACCCCCCCCCCCCCCACACCCCCCCCCCCCCCCACCCACCCCCCAAACCCCAACCCGGAACTCTCAACCCCAAACCCAGAACCCTCAAACCCACCCCTAAACCCCAAAGCCTGAACCCTCAACCCCTTAAACCATACCTCGGAGACTTCGGCGATGAGGCTTTCACCGAGCAGTCGAACCAGCAAGTGACTGACAACTGGGCTGTCCTGGATGATGCCATGGCATCTCGCCTGCTGCTTCAGACTTACTGTTGGTTAGTAGGGAATGAGGGAATTAGGGGCCTGATAATATACCCTTTAAGGGATTATATAGGGCCCCAATTCCCTCATTCCCTTCTGACCAACAGTAAGCTTCAGAAGGACTTGGGATGTTCCCCCTTCTGCTAACAGCTCTTTAATAGGGATTATGGTCCCCCCCCTAATTATCCCTATTAAGGACTGGTAGTATAAGGGGGAACACCCCAAAGAGGGACTCTTGTCTCGCCAAGACCGGCAGCGGCCGTGTCCAACAGTTTCCCGAGTTGCTTCGCAACCTCCTTCTGCCGGACTGTTACGCAAGCACATTGTAAAACCTAAACCCTAAACACTGTAGACTTGCAACCACCCGCCACAATGTTTTTTCCCCTCAAAACGCCGCGAAGTGCCCAAAAGCCCCTGGAGATCCCAAGTCCCCTTGAGCCCACGAGCTTCTGCAGTTTAAAATTTACTGTGTAGGATTTAGGGTTTAGGGCTCAGGGTTTAGGGTTTCCCTCAGAAGCTGCAACCAGGCCCTGATGAGGGAGCTGCGGAACCAGGAGGGTGAGGACGGACTGCGCTTGGGGGCATTTGGATTCCTCGTTCGGAAGATCGAAACTCCGAGCCCACGAAGGCACGTGGTGTCTTCCCTGGGCCACCCCCATCGCGATGGACAAAGCTCCGTAATCTAGGGGTCGGAAGAATTACTACTAGTATTCCCTCATGGTCCCTTTACAAATATACTAGAATACCTCCCCCCCCCTTCCCAAAAAAATCCTAGTCTACTTCTCGAGGCCCCTAGATCGCGTAAAGTTGGGCCTCGTGGTTCTAGAGGACCAGATCGGATCATTGATCTACGAGATGAACCAGAAAGTCGGGTTCTGCGGCAGCAATTGCAGGGCTTCGGGGGCTTCGGCCCGAATGCTTTAGGGTTTAGGGTTTAGGGTTTAGGGTTTAGGTTGTAGGGATTACTGAATCACCCGATAGCAGTGAGTCGCTTCAGAGACATCACGATTTGGGTTGCAATGGGCGATCGATGATGTCATGGGAAGTTTTTGAGTGGTGAGGCTGCGTAGCTTGCTTTGCTCCAGCAGATCCCGACCTTCCCTAAACCTCAAGCCCCGGGCGCCCAAAGCCCCCACACCTCAAGCAACATGGCCTCTACGGCACCTGGGATTAGGGGATGCCAGCCCAGAAGACTCATCCACCAAATAGGCCACTCCCGCCCAAAACCCCAAAGCCCCACGCACATCACCAGCAGGGAGCTCCAGAAGAAGATGTCTACACCAACCAGAACAGTTTGGACAGTGGACCGCATCACGCGGAAAGCGGTTCAGAAGGACATCGGCCCGCAGGGACTAGGAACTTGTTTTAGGGCTATGCTGTAAAGCAAGGGCTAGGGTATAGGGTTTAGGACTAACTCAGCCGCCGGAGAATCTACTTGCAAACGCTCAGCAGCTAAGCCGACAGCCCCTGCTTCTGCTCGACAGCATTGCATGCGTACTATGAAGAAAGACACACCGTTTTGAGCCACTTCCAGTTTAGCAACAAATTGCTTAAGAACCCCCCAAAAAACATATAATGTTCCTTATTAAGGGTAATATAGGGATTGTTGTCTTTTGTTGTTTTGGGGGTTCTTAAGCAAATAGTGGTTAGATGTTGGGGTCGACGGGTCCTTTTTCTGGCAGGACTACTACGACGACCCGACCGAGCCGGAGAAGAAGCCGGCACTGGAAGACCAGGAGCTAACAGCAGAGGAGCCTTTCTTCACGACGTCGAGCGCCAACCCTAAACTAGCCCTAGACCCTGAACCCTGAACCCTGAACCCTGAACCCTAAACCCCTAAACCCCAAACCCCTAAACCCCAAACCCCTAAACCCTAAACCCCAAAAGGCCGTCTGAGAATCCCCAGAAGAAAAGAATCCCTGAGTGAAGAGACCGAGAGCTGGGTCTGGGGCTTCGGAACCCCCAGCCCTTAACCGGCTGGGGTTTAGGGCTTAGGGGCTTCTGTGGGGTTTAGGGTTTAGGGTTTAGGGTTTAGGGCTGGCCCCTGAGGGGTTTTCTACCCCGGACCCCCTCACGTGGTACCCTGGACTTTGCCGGACCCTTGTTTTAAGATACTCAAGATCATATTCAGGGCCATCTTCGGAGTCTATTCAGGGAGGCCATTACAGGTACAACCTTAGGAGTACGACTCTTGATCCCTTGATTCCTTCCACCACGCCCCCCCCCCCCCCCCCAAGCACTTGCCTGTGAAGCCTCAGAGGCTTTGACATCCTCAAGCTGCAAACAGCTCCCTCAAGTGACGAAAAGAGGGACCCTTACAAGGGACCTTACGGGGTTACTTGGGGGGAACTCAGGGGCTGCCTCGGTATGTATGGACTTTCTAAGGTATATAATGGGGGTTATGTAAGGGAATAAGATTAAGGCCCTTTTCTAGGGGCCCTTCCTTATACCCTGAGTGATCTCTCCCCCTTTCTCCCCTGGATATTGCAGAACTCAGGTTTTACCATTTGTTGAAGAACTCCCCCCCCCAAAAAAAACACATAGATAAATAAGTAAATAAATACTATATATATATGTATATATATATATATGTATATACATTCTTCCTTATAAAAGGGTACGGTTCTTCAGCAAAGAGTATGGTGGGGGGGGGGGTAGTTTTAGGGTGTAGCACTGTAAACCTTTAGGGTCATGGGCAAGAAGCCGAGGAGTTGGAAGGAGATCAAGAGTGAGCCGTTGCCGGGCCTTCTTCCCCTTGGGAGCTGGACAACCGTACATAACCCTAAACCCTAAACCCTAAACCCTAAAACCCTAGAGTCCCGCAAAGCCTGTCCAGCATAGGTCGTATCTGCGACGCGTCCTCAGCTCCAGTGATCCCGAAGCCCTGAAACCTTGCTACCCTGCAGCCCCGATCATTCGACACACAGCCCATTCGTCCTCGCAGACGCCCTGGGCGCGAGACTTGTGCGGAAAAGACCCTGGAAGCAAGCTTCACCGGGCCGGGCTTTGGGTGAGGGAGGAGGCTTTCAAGCTCTACGCCCCATGCCCACTACAGAGCTACACCCACGTCAGGTCAGGGTGTTCAAAGGCAAGGGCTTCGTGAGGCCCAAGAGAACCAAACTCAAGACCCTATGGCTCCCGAAGCCGTGGAACCCTTAAACTGTTTTGGATTGTAATGTAGTAATGTAAAGCCCAAGCTATAAATCCTACAGTCCTTCAAGCCCCCGAAGCCCTCCTTTCGGCAAAGAAGTCAGCCGGCGGGCTCTGCAGGAGGAGCCTTTGCAGTGTGCGGTTGGATCTTGGGACGTGTCGTCTTTGTGCTGTATCCGGGCTTTTGGGGGCCCTTTGTGCCCCTCCCCTCATAATTCTGACGCCCCCGCACGCAGCCCCAAAACCCTAAACCCTTAACCTCCTAATCCCCTAACCCCTGAAACTCCTAAACCCCTAAACCCTAAACCCCTAAACCCTAAACCTCTAAACCCTGAAAGCCTACTATGTTGTCAGCGAGGGCTTGTGCTTGGGGATATTTCGTTGGGGTGAGGGCGCTTTGGCGACTTCGAGCCTCAACGAGCAGACGCAGTAGAGGGTTGAAGGGTGAGGGTTCGGAGGGAGATCCTGTCCCCTAGACCCCTTTTTGCCTAAACTGCTGTAGGGTTTAGGAAGTTTAGGGTTTAGGGAGTATTTTGCAATGTGTTCATCGTCTATCGTCCCCTTGTGTTGCCCACCACTGCGACTGGTCTGCTTGGCCTTTAGCCCTCACACCCTAGACTGGCTTAGGTCTCAAGACAAGCATGCCACAGCAGAGTCTGCAACGCAAGCTCTTACCCGAACTCTGAACCCAAGCTCTCCTAGCCCTGCTTGCTGTGCAATATCATCCTGACTTGCAAAATTGGTTGCTGTTACTGTTGTCACCCGTACTACAACCGTAAATTGCATTTACTATCTTGTTTCTTCTGATTACTGTTATTCCCATGGTTCTATTCTTTATTAGTATCATTATTGTTATGATTATGATTGTGATTCTGATTTTGATTATTATTATGATGATTATGAACATTACCATTAAGTATTCTTACTTATCTTTTTGTTATTGTTGCTATTGCTATATTTTAATCCCTAAACCCTGAACCGTAATCGTTACTTGATGGGCATCATTCTTTCCTTCGTGCTCCTTCGATGATGCACCCCTAAACCCTAAACCCTAAACCCTAAACCCTAAACCCTAAACCCTGAACCCTGAACCCTGAACCCTGAACCCTAAACCTAAACCCTAAACCCTAAAAACAAAACCTAAACCCTCCGGTGCCCTGAGGCCTCAGAGCGCGAGAAGACCAAGGATGCGGAACAGCGATGCTTGGGAGCCCACTTTGTGGGGCTTATGGTTTGGGGGGGTTTCGGGTTTAGGGTGTAGGGTGTAGGGTTTAGGGTTTGGGGTTTAGGGTGTGGGGTTTAGGGTTTAGGGTTTGGGCTTTGGGGGGTTTGGGGTTTGGGGTTTGGGGCTTAAAACATCCCAAGGTATGACTATGCTATGCAGGTTTTTTTGGGCGTTTGTAGTAAGGTCATCGAGGGGAATAGGGTTTAGGGTTTAGGGTTTAGGGTTCAGGGTTTAGGGTTTAGGGTTTAGGGTAAACCCTAAGGATCACAAGCCCTAGGCCCGAAGATGCCCCGATGCCAAGGTGTCAAGCTGCAAGCGGATTTCGACCAACAGGTCTGCGGACATCGGGGTTTCCGAAATTAGGGTTTTGGGGTTCTTATCGCAAGGGAATCCTACTATTTGGAGGTCCATGATTTTAGGGGCCTCTTGTTTCCGAAAACTCCCATATGTTCAGGGGTTTTGGGGTCCGGAGCTTGGCCATGAGGGGTGTTTGTGAAGGCTTCCGGAACTTCAACCCCTAAGCCAACGGCCCTTAAACCGGGAGCGGTAAGCCACCAAGGTTCGGAGCTGGGTGTGGCTTCGTGTTAGGTTCGATTTTGCTTGGGTGTAGCATGAAAAGGTGACTTCCCTTCCTGAAAGGGTTCTGAAGTATGTGCCCTGTATTTTGGGTACCTAAGGGGGTGTATAAGGGCTCCCCAACTAAGGAATGCGGCCTTAGGTGGCACCCGAGATGTGGTTAGAAGGGCTCCGCTGTAGGCCTGAAGCAAGCCCTAATGATTCCCAATTCCAAAATGCTTAAGCTCTGAAGTCCTTCGAAGCCCTCGAACGAGTACGCCTCGAGCCCTATCTGGGTTTGATATGCTGCCCATGCAGGTGAAAGCACTTTCCGAGGAGGGTCACGCGCGTGAGTTCGGGCCCTCGACATGTGCGGGCTACTGTTCGAACACGGTTTTGGGGCATAGGGCTGAGGCCATGAACTGCAAATCCAAGATGCTGCTCATTAGTTCGGAGTAGGTGCGAGGGAATTGGGCACTCCGGATGCCCCTACATAGCCCTTCAAGGGATCTATAGGGCAGCTACTTCCCCAATTTGGGCCGCATTCTTACACCCATGCTCTTCGCGAGAATCAAGGAAGAGGGAGGGAGATGTGAGAGAGATGGCAGAGGCGGGATGTGATGATGAGAATGTGAATGTCAAAGCAAGAAAGAAGTTGCCCTGCGGTCAGTATAGGCTCGAGCAAGCTCACTTGGCCAGCGTCCTGTCCTGTTCATTTCAGGCAAAACCTTCGTATACTCAGCAACTTGGTAGCCCAGTGGTGCCCTTTACCCCTTCTTTTTTTGGGTTATGGGTTCTCTTATAAATTAAGCCAAACCCTAAAAAAGGGTGCCCTTCTTATAATCCGGTTACTGGGTTACCAAGGCAAGATGGCTTTCCGCCTTCTCTTCGTCATCGCCGCAGTCCGCTGTGCGGAGGCTTCCCTTCGAGGAAACCTCCATGCGAGTGCCGGGTCCGTGAGCAAGGAGAAGCTCCGTGAGACCGTGCTGCAAGAGGTGGGGCGGTGGGGCGGTGGGGAGCGCCAGCTTACGCCACTGTAACTGGCGCTCTCTCTACAAAAACGCCTGAAAACCTGAAACGCCAAATCACAAAACCTCTAAAGCTCCCAAAGCCCTAAACCCCCAAAATTAGAACCCTCAAGCCCTTTTTCAGGTGATGGCAGCACTGGGGAGCGGCAACCGCGTGACCGAAAAGCGCCTGCAGACCCTCGAGGTGGGGTTTCAGTTTAGGATTGAGGGTTTGGGGTTCAGGGCTCAGGGTTTGGTTTAGGGTTTGGTTTAGGGTTTCGTGTTTAGGGCCCGCAATCGCTGTGGCGGGGGAAGCCTGCCGCGCACGTCGAGCGGAAGCCATGCAAAGCATGGCCCCGTTAAGCCCCCACGAGTCCCAAAACAGCACCCGGGTCCAGGCGCTTTTGCAACCTACCTTTGTGGCCATGCCTAAGAACGCGCATGGCAAGTTGGAAGACGCCGCCGCAAGGCGGGAGGGTTGGTATTCTGGGTAGGGCACTAGATGGGCACCCAAGCCAAAGCAACACATGGAGTGTAAACAACATGACTGCGGGGAGACGGAGTCTTAAGGTTTTTTGGTGGAACCCTGAAGCCCCCATCCCTAACCTCAGGTGGCAAGAAGCCCTAAACCCTAAACCCTAACCCTAAACCCTAAACCCTAAACCAGCAGAGAGTTCCAGAAACCCTAAACCAGGTAGGTGCGCCCCTTTCATGCGTCAGCATCCAAGTGGGCTAAACCCTAAACCCTAAACCCTAACCCTAAACCCTACACCCTACACCCAAAACCCTAAACCCTAAACCCTAAACCCTACACCCTACACCCTACACCCTAAACCCTAAACCCTAAACCCTAAACCCTAAACCCTAAACCCTAAACCCTAAACCCCAGGTACGTGCTGCACCGGCTCTTTGTCCAACGCCACGCCATGCACATCAAGGGCCTGGAGGCCAACGGCATGGATTGGAAGAACATGACCACCTCCGAGGTGCTCCAGGAGAGGGTTTAGGGTTTAGGGTTTAGGGTTTAGGGTTTAGGGTTTAGGGTTTAGGGTTTAGGGTTTAGGGTTTAGGGTTTAGGGTTTAGGGTTTAGGGTTTAGGGTTTAGGGTTTAGGCCTCCGGGAGAGGGATTAGGGTTTAAGGGGATGCTACCCCTTATGCCAACAGCCCTTAATCGGGATTCTAGCAGCCCCAATTGTAGTCTCTACAATTATAAGGACTCTTAGTATAAGGGGAACATCCCAAGTTTAAGGGCCCAGTCCCCCCTTCCCTACCATCCCGGAGCCTGCTCTAGAACCGGTCAGGTCTCTTTCCGGCCTGACAGTGTACGTAAACTCCTTTGAACCTGAAGCCGAGAAACCTAAACCCTGAACCCTAAACCCTAAACCCGGGGTGAGTGGGGAGGGGAGTGGGGGGAGTGGGGGGAGTGGGGAGTGGGGGGTTGCGCAAAAGTGCTGGAAGTGGCCCAGGTTGGGGGTTTCGAGCCCGAAACCTGGACTTGGGCCAGAAGAGGGAGTGGGGGATGGGGGAGGACTTGGGGGAGAGGGGGGAGGGGGGAGTGGGGGGGGGGAAGGGGGGGGGAGGAGTGGGGGAGGAGGAGTGGGGGAGTGGCAGCAAGTGCTGACATGTTGGGGGTGAAAAAGTGTCCAGGAGGGGGAGTGGGGGAGCGGGAGCCGGAGAGTGGGGAGGGGTGGGAGGGAGTGGGGGAGTGGGGGAGCATCCTGCTTTTTGGAACCGAGCGTGTTCAACTAGCATCCTGCTTCTTGGGGAGCGAGCGTGTTCAACTAGAAACCCTGAAGCCTGAACCCTGAACCCTAAACCCTAAACCCAGACCAACTCCGGGGCACTGGATCCCGGCGTGCCGAGAAACTCTGGATGGATCTGAGAGTCCGTGTCCACCCCCTCCTTTCTGTGGTTTTTGGCTCGGTAATATAGGAGCCGAAATAAATGGTGTGGGTTTTGGTAATATAGGAGCCGAAATAATTGGTGTGGGTTTTGGGGGTTATTATCGTATATTTTATATTATAGGGACCATGAGGGAATACTTTTCGTAATTCTTCCGACTATACGAGGCCCTTGGGGTATTCTATATCTTCCTTGATTGGGTTTAAGAGGATCATGAATATGTTTCAGAGGGTTTTAAGAGCCCTCCTAGCTGGAGGCACTGCTCCCCCCATCATGCACAGGGCATACTGTTTGTGCTGCCACGGCACGGATGGTATTTGCTGGTGGCCCCCCCGTTCTTCTGAGGGTATTTGAGAGTCTCACGTCTTCATGTCGTCCCCATGCTTGGTACATTCCTGAGGGATCATGTCAACCGCTGTGGGTCTGCGAAGTGCCCCACCCTAAACCCTAAACCCTAAGCCCTAAACCCTAAACCCTAAACCCCAAAGGAGCACGTGCCGTCCTTCGTGCTGTCGCTCTTCGAAGAGCGTCTCAAAGACCAGGGGCTGGGCCTCCATGAGCTCACGGTGTTGGCTGCCACCCTGGAGCACCTGATCCCCTGCTTTTAAAGAATGGGCTCTGAAGGCTATCTTTGTAAATTTGTTCCCCCCTTAGGTTGTGCTGAAATTGCGCTTGAAATATGGGTATCTTTGTAGGGCTTTTCTTCGGGTTTTGGGGCTTTGGGGGGGCCTTAGGAGGTTTGAGGTGTTTTCGAAGGACTGGTTTGAGGCTTCGTCGGGTGCTTCGGGTCCTCGAAGAGGCGGGGGTTGTCTCTGAGTGTAACCCAACATACCCGAAACTCATACTCAGTCAACCCTAAACCCTTAACCCCAAACCCCAATACTCCCTTATCAGGATATCCCCCGTAGTTCATGTTAAGGTACGCCAAAGTATGTGAAATGTCACTTCGACTTGGGGACTCTCTCGGGGCTGTAATTCACGATTTTTTTTGGGGGGGGGGGGGGGGGAGCTAAGGTTTAGGGTTTAGGGTTTAGGGCTTAGGGCTTAGGGTTTAAGGTTAAGGGTTTAGGGTAAGCTCTGGCAGTCATGGCTTTTTGGATGAAGGGTACTTGCTGAGTGGCCTGCCAGTTAGTATGCGTGGGGACATGCGTTCCGCACCCTCATCTCATTAATATTTAGGGAGGGAGGTCCTTGCCCCAAAACCCTACGCCCTACACCCTACGCCCACATGTTAGAGTCAAAGTTCTTCATTGAGATCTCAGAAGCGGCAAGGATCCATGATGAGGCAGTGAACCGATTGGAGGTCGTGTACGAGGCCCACAACATCTCCATGACAGCTGGGGTGACGGAGTCTGCGCCTGGTTAGGCCTCTGGAATATTTTCTTATTCCTTATATTGGGCTTTTGAGGATCCGATCTAGTATATATTTTTAAAGGGGTGTGAAAAGGCCAACCTAGGTGCTGCAGGACCTCATTGACACCTACATGACTCTCTTCCTCGTCGGCTCGCAAAACTTCACCGCCACCACGGTTTCGAAAGAGCGCGGCGTGGTGATGGAGAGCTACCCCGGCTGGCAAGACACCCGCCAGTTCACAATCGGAGTGCGCTCCGGTGTGCTGGCTGAGAAGCACTCGGATGCCCACGTCTCCGGTGACAACTTATCGTTCCGCGTGGCCACAGATGTTGTCGAGGAGATTGGCGAGCGCTATGGTCGTTGGCAGGATTCGGAGTGTCGGGACCTGAAGACCTCGATCAGCAAGTTCGAGCATGCCGGAACCGGACGTGTTCTCTTGAAGGACTTCTACTCTGCAGCGCTGGGGGGCCAGTGGCAGTTCCTTTCTTAGCAGGCAGTGGGACTTTCGAAGTTTTCAGTGACCTTGATGTACCCTAAACCCTAAACCATTATTCCTGAAGGGCCTTGTACCTTTAAGCAAATTCAAGGTTCTCTGAAAGCATCGACTACTTGCGCGAACTTGGGGCTCTCGACGAGTCGGATCCCTCCCACCTGGCGGTGTTCATCCCGAACTACGTCAACTCACAGTCGAACTGTGTGGCGTCGTCCAGCATCTACTCTGTTCCTTTGCTGTCGAAGAATGGCTTCAACATCTGCGTCATGTGAGGTTTCCATTGCGTCCGAACAAACCCTATCTTCATTGCCTTACCTTCTGCCTGCTTTCAAGCATAGGCTTCTGCTGAGCTGCAAGCTGCCCCTTCTGTGTTTCCTTAGTCTTAGACTGGTGGGATGGCATGGGGCCAGGCGTAAGCAGCAAGACAAACCTACGGATGAACTACAAGGCTCCTATAACCCTACGAGTCTTAACTACCCAGAAGTATGCTTCAAGTAGGACTACTTCGGGCTGCATTTAGGCTTGGATCTGGCCAACAACCTTTAGCCGCGAATCATGCAAGGTGCTCCGTGCAGCCAGCTCAATGGCCCCTGAAACCAGGCCCTGAAGCACCCTGAGCCCGAAACCCTTTATATTTCAAGGGTCCATGAACTTTGCATGTCAAGCACCCTCAACCAAAAACTCTTTGTTCATTGTCCACAGGAGCCGTGAACCTGAATCACCCCTTTTGAAGGGTTCATGGGCCTTGTCAATCTCAAGGCTGAAGCCGTAATGTTGCCATGGACCCCCAAGTACCGCAGCTCCCCACGCCGTGGGTTTTTCAGCCCCCGACCCTTTTACTGGGAGGTTCATGGGTCAGTGTAAGTGGGGAACTATAGTGATAACTGGTTGTGACCTTGTTTAGGGTACCACTTATAACCCTGAAATCTGCTCATGAACCTTCAAGTATTTCAGGGGTTGGTCTAAAGGATCCTTCTGGGAAGTAGTTCAGGGGGCTCCTATTGGTTTATCTAAGGCAAATGTTGGGTAATTTTGGGAACAGGTATACTGTTTTTGATCACTTCCTGCTTACAGGTTCCTAGCAGGGAATTTAGGGACTGGCTAAGCAAGTCCTTACTTTCTGGATCAACTCCCAGGGGGTTTGGGCGCCAGCCTCGGGCCCAGGTGTGCTGCATCAACGAGTGTGAGGGGCTGCTGGGACATCTGGAAGCCAAGGTGCCCAGCTCAGAACAACCGACAAGAGGCTGCAAACCCCAAAGAGTTTTCAGTCATCTTCAATCCTGAATTTCACGCCCTAAACCCTAAACCCTAAACCCTAAACCCTAAAGCCTAAATCCCGCTGCCAAGGTGGCGGCGCCTGAGGCGACGCCCGAGCAGATCTTGGACATCGTGGCCCAGCTGCCCTCGGCCAGCGTCCGGGCTCCCCGCAACTTGGGCCCGACTACTTTCCTTGGTTTGGGGTTTAGGGTTTAGGGTTTAGGGTTTAGGGTTTAGGACTACTTTCCTTGGTTTGGGGTTTAGGGTTTAGGGTTTAGGGGTTTAGGGTTTAGGGTTTAGGATTTAGGGGTTTGGGGGTTTAGGGTTTAGAGGTTTAAGGGTTTCGGGGTTAGGGGTTTAGGTTTCATGATGAGTTTCCCGAGAAAACTAACCCCAAAATCCCCTTGAACGCTCCAAGTCGGTCTTCGGGTCGGAGGCTCGGCCAGAATGCGGGCCCGGACCCCCAAGCATTGCAGACGAAGAGGGTGGCCGAAGCAGCTGTAGACCCCAGGCCCTCACCCCGACACCCTCAAACCCCAAACCCCAAAACCCTAAACCCTAAACCCCAGACCCGAAAACCCTAAACCCTAAACCCTAAACCCTAAACCCTAAACCCTAAACCCTAAACCCTAAACCCTAAACCCCAGACTTCTGTTCAGGAGAGCTTCCTGGCCAGCTGAAGACCCGCATCCTCGAGGTGGCCTCGCAACACGAGGGCAAGGCGCCTCGGAGCCGGGCGTTTCAACCCATGCCTTGCGTGAGAACCTTGGGGTTTAGGGTTTAGGGTTTAGGGTTTAGGGTTTAGGGTTTAGGGTTTAGGGCTACTTCTTTCAGGGTTGGGCAGTTCCTGGCGCGAGGGTTTAGGGGTTCGGGGCTTGATAGTCGGAGGCGCCTTTTTTTTGCTTTTGTTTCTCTCTCTCTCTCTCTCTCTCTCTCTGTCTCTCTCTTTCAGTTCCTTCACGAGAGGGGCATGGGCATGTTCATTGAAAGACAAAGGGGAAGGTTGAGGCTGAGGGTTTCCGCACGAATTCGTAAAATTGGGCCATGAATGTTAAGCCTAAGCCCTAAGCCCTAAACCCAGGGTTCCTTCCCACATGCAACACGAGGGAAGGCCCAGAGCTCACTGCTCCATCCAAGGCTCCAGAGCTCTCAGATCCAATTTCTGCAGCCCTAAACCCTACACCCGAAACCCCAAACCCCAAACCCCAAACCCTAAACCCTAAAAAAGAACCCTAAACCAAAAAACCCTAAACCCTAAACCCTAAACCTGAAGCTGCTCAAGTCGAAACCCTGAGATCCACAGCCCGCAGGTGCCCCTTCACGGGCGCCTCTTCGCGCAGTGGCTGCACCACGCCTATCCCCGGGAGTGCCCCTATCCTCACGTGGCGGGCGACTTGTCCAGTCAGTTTCTTGCGCTCGCAGGAATTGAAGTTCAGGGTTCTGCTGCAAGTAGAGCCCGGATGCAAAAAAAGGGTTCTGCTGCAAGAGGGTTTGGGGTTTCGCGGATTTTGTACTCCTCCGTCTGGAGAACTCTGCCCGTGTCGGGGCGTCTGCGGGCAGCACCCTAAACCCTGAACCCTGAACCCTAAACCCTAAACCCTAAACCCAGGAAAGACGAGCCCGATGACAGCCGATGAGTGGTGGCAGACCAGGGGCCAGTCTGTCTCCGCGACGAGCCTCGGACGTGTTGCCAAAAGGGTTTAGGGTTTAGGGCTCGAGCACCATCGTCGTGGGGGTTTTTATGCCGGGGGAGAGAAGGTACCGACTCACCCTCATTCAACGCCCCCCAACCCCTTCGCCCTCAACATCCCAGGAAACCCCTCCAACCTAAACCTTAAAAACCCGGAACCCTAAACCCTAAACCCCTAAACCGTAAACCCTCAGAAAGCGACCGAAAAAACACAAGGAAAGAGGAGATGAGGCGCTACGTAGAGGCGGCGAAGTCCGAGCCGGCACCGAAGGCGCTCCCTTGGTCCGCAGAGGAACAGCTGGTGGCGCCGAAGACCCTTGGGAACGGAAGGGGCTAAAAATGGTCCAAAGGATGCTATTTGTGAATGTAGGGTTTTGGGGAATTCTTTTGGGGTTTTGAGAAGATAAGGGTTATATGTATTTTAGGAGAGAGCTTGGGCTTCATTTGCGCTCGCATTCTCTGCAAACAGACCGTTCATGCGCCCTTGGCCCTGCATTCCTCCGTGGTTAGGGCCCCCCTTCGCATGCCCAAAAGATCTCATGAGGTGAACGAATCTCGCATCCGAAGAAGGGATCCTCATCCGAAGATCCCTGCGCATCCCCCCAGCCAAGCATCTCCGAGCGCTCAGGAAGACGAAGCCCTCGGGTTCCAGCTGGCGCCAGGCCCTCTTCGTGCTCTTTGGTTTGGCCGCCGCCTTCTCCTTTGGGAGCCAGGTTTGGCAAGTGGGGCGCACCAGGGCACCACTCCTCCCTTGCCACAAGCAGCATGCGTGCTGAGCGCCGGGACCAAAGCAGGGTAGTTGCTTTCCTTTTGCAGCCTAAGTCCGAGGGCGAACGTCCGTTGTCGGTCAGGGCGGAAGACCCGAATGCACAGGGACCACTTTGAAGAAAAAAGAAGCTGCGCGATGGTGGCTTGAGGTTTCGGAGTGGTCTTGTGATCGGGCGGTGGGGCTTAGGCCTCTGGTGTTTGGGGACAACTTTTTAGCCGACGAGCCACCAATTCTCGGGAATCCGGGGCACACTGGACTCGATGACGATGCGAGCTGTGCTTGACTGACACAGTGCAGACATGTAACTTGCGGGGGCTCATAAGGCTTACGTAGTGCTTCAGGCTTCGAATTCACGTCCCGCAGAGGGAACATCTGAACACGGCATGAGGCTGTCAGCTGCAAATGTCGAACAGAACCTGCGGAGTCAGCCCAGACCTGAGTGGATAGCACGGGTATTCAGCCCCTCAGTCGGTTAGGGTTTGGGTTTAGGGTTTAGGGTTTAGGGTTTAGTGTTTAAAGTCGGTTTGAGGTTGTCCAGAATAAGCCCCTCGAAAACCCTTTTGTTTGGAGGTCTGCAAGATGCGTAGAAGTGTTTTGGTTGAACATCAACCTGCGGAAGAACTGTGGGTTTGGGGTTACGATAGGTTTCACGAAGGTTCAGCAACTTGAATTTGGAGGGTCTTGCGAGTGTTGCTCGAAGGTTTATGAGCTATTGCAATTCAGGAAGTAATGTTGTCTTACTTGTAGTTTCGCGTATATCTCAAATAACTACCCATGAGCCTGCCAGAATTTGCGTCTCGGCTAGTTCGTCCGAGACCCCGCAGCTCTCGAAGCCACAGACGTGTCCCCAACCCTCCCACAAACCCTTCTGTCCATCCAGAGATGCTAGACCCAGAGGCCCTGAACCCTGAACCCTCAACCCTAAACCCCACCACCAACGAAGCCGCCGACCATGAACAGGTGCGATGAGCTGAAGGGTCAGGCAAGGGACCTGCCTCGAGCCCCAGTACTCGAACGTGTGAGCATCTGGCCCCCGTGTAAACCTCAAATGTACTACATGTTTGTTAAAGGCAACCCCGAACAGGGGTTCCCCAAAAAACTCCAATCTTGCCCGAAAGCCCCGAAATCCTAAAGTTCCTGCCCCCCAAAGGGTGGCTTACGAAAATAGGGGGCCCCTAAAATACACCCCGAAATAGTAGAGGGTTTAGGGTTTAGGGTTTAGGGTTCAGAGCTCTTTGCAGCGAGATTCAAGTTTTTACAGCTCTGCAGGTGCATGAAAGACATGGTTGGACGACAGCATTGGGGCTTTTCCACACACACACACATGGAAGAGTAGACTTGCGGGGTGCTGAAGGCAGGTGTTGAGGCTTTGGCGCTTCGGGACTTATGTTAGCAGTCTTGTCCGCATCATTGCAAACCGTATTGAACTGCAAACCCTAAATGAAAACCCTAAAACCCTAAACCCCTAAAACCCTTGAACCCTAAAACCCCTAAAACCCCAAACCGCAAGACTTGGGATTGCTTTGGGCTACGGCAGAGGAAGCAGCTTTCTCGCGAGCCCGAGACTTGCGGCTTCGAGTTGAAGGGTTTAGGGGGCTCCCGAAATTAAGCTCTAAACCCTAAACCCTAAACCCTAAACCCTAAACCCTAAACCCTCTCTACCATATATATTTAAACCTTAATTGTATTTTCAAAATTTGGCCGCTTTATTTTCAGAATTTGGCCGCTTTATTTTCAGAATTTGGCCGCTTTGTTTTCAGAATTTGGCCGCTTTATTTTCAGAATGAGCCAAAATCAGGCCAAAGGCTAATTGAATTTCAGAATTTGGTCGCTTTATTTTCAGAATTTGGCCGCTTTATTTTCAGAATTTGGCCGCTTTATTTTCAGAATTTGGCCGCTTTATTTTCAGAAATTGGCCACTTCAGAATTTGGCCGCTTTATTTTCAGAATTTGGCCGCTTTATTTTCAGAATTTGGCCGCTTTATTTTCAGAATTTGGCCGCTTTATTTTCAGAATTTGGCCGCTTTATTTTCAGAATTTGGCCGCTTTATTTTCAGAATTTGGCCGCTTTATTTTCCGAATTTGGCCGTTTTTGGCTTTCTCAATGTAGTGGGATTCTCTGGGTGGGTGGGTGTTATATCCGAGCCGTAAATAAAGCTTAACCATAAAGCTGCTCGACCCGGAGTGCTGAACCCTAAACCCTAAACCCTAAACCCTAAACCCTAAACCCTAAACCCTAAACCCTAAACCCTAAACCCTCTCTACCATATATATTTAAACCTTAATTGTATTTTCAAAATTTGGCCGCTTTATTTTCAGAATTTGGCCGCTTTATTTTCAGAATTTGGCCGCTTTATTTTCACAATTTGGCCGCTTCAGAAATTGGCCGCTTTATTTTCAGAATTTGGCCGCTTTATTTTCAGAATTTGGCCGCTTTATTTTCAGAATGAGCCAAAATCAGGCCAAAGGCTAATTGAATTTCAGAATTTGGCCGCTTTATTTTCAGAATTTGGCCGTTTTTTTTTCAGAAATTGGCCGCTTTATTTTCAGAAATTGGCCGCTTCAGAATTTGGCCGCTTTATTTTCAGAATTTGGCCGCTTTATTTTCAGAATTTGGCCGCTTTATTTTCAGAATTTGGCCGCTTTATTTTCAGAATTTGGCCGCTTTATTTTCAGAACTTGGCCGCTTTGTTTTCAGAATTTGGCCGCTTTATTTTCAGAATTTGGCCGCTTTTTTTTCAGAATTTGGCCGTTTTTGGCTTTCTCAATGTAGTGGGATTCTCTGGGTGGGTGGGTGTTATATCCGAGCCGTAAATAAAGCTTAACCATAAAGCTGCTCGACCCGGAGTGCTGAACCCTAAACCCTAAACCCTAAACCCTACAGAAAGGACTGTTGTGAGGCGGAGTTGTTGGGTAGTTTTCAGTCATTTAATAAGGTTTAGGGGTTAGTAAACGCTTACAACTTTAAACTTATGGCCTCACAACAGTCCATTCATAAGTGGGAATCTTGACCATGATGTTTGGCATACATGATTTGGGGGGGGGAGGGGGGGGGGGAGGGGGGGGGGGGAGGAGGGGGGGGGGGAAGGGGGGGGGGAGGGGGGGGGGGGGGGGAGGGGGTCCTGGAAGTTGGCCCATCTTGGCAGGAGTTCCCCCCCCCCCCCCCCCCCCCCCTCCCCCCCCCCTCAAGCGTAACAGCCGTAGCTGTGCCACAGTTGGTTTGCTTTTTCACGTATTTCCAGACCTGTTATTCGGAAGTTCCCTGCCTTCGAAACACAGCCTTTGCCACAGTTGGTTTGCTTTCACGTATTTCCAGACCTGTTATTCGGAAGTTCCCTGCCTTCGAAACACAGCCTTTGTTTCGAAACACAGCCCCTGTTTCGAAACATGGATGTCACAGCCACAACTGCTTCACAAAACGATATCCAATCTCACCTTGGTTCCAGCGCTATATCTGAAGGTTGCGATGTCACATGTGCGAGTAAAAGGATATCTGCTCATAGTATTCTCGCGTCCCCGGGGCCTACAGGACATGTCTTGATGATGTGGGTGCTAATAATGTAGGGTTATAAGGTTAAAAATCCTATAGAGTTTAGCGTTATGACCCTAAACCCTATATGCTTTAAGGCTTAAGGAAAACAGTAAAGTGGTTAAATCACTGAGGGACTAGGGTTGCGTTTTTGCAATGCCCTAAACCTTAAACTCTAAACCTTTAACCTCTTATAGGGTTTAAACCCTAAAGGGCTAACCCGGTAGGGTAGATAAACTCTGACCCGAAAGGGGCCCTATAGGGTTTAAGGCTTAACCTAGTTTGAATGCCCAAACTTAAATTTAAATCCCCAGGCCTTAAACCTCTGAAAACCTTATAGGGCTTAAAGGCTTTAATGCCTAAACCTGATGTATTTAAGGTCTGGGCATTTATACATTCAGCATTAGAACCCTAAACCCTTTATGCTGTAAGGCTTAAGGAAAACAGTAGGATTTAAGCCTCAAGGCCTATAATATAAGGTTATAAGGTTCTAATCCTATAGAGTTTAGCGTTATAACCCTAAAGCCTATATGCTTTAATTAAGGCTTAAGGAAAACAGTAAAATGATTAAATCCCTGAGGGTCTAAGGTTACGTTTTTGCAATGCCCTAAACCTTAAACTCTAAACCTTTAACCTCTTACAGGAATTAAATCCTATAGGGTTAAACCTTTAAAAACCTTATAGGGCTTAACTGTTTTAATGCCTAAACCTGATGTACCTAAGGTGTGGGCATTTATACCTCCAGCGTTATAACCCTAAACCCTATCTGCTGTAAAGCTTAAGGTAAACAGTAGGGTTTAAGTCTCAAGGCCTATAATATGGGGTTGTATCAAAACCCCGCGCAGTCGATTTTGAAAGGAATTGCCCGAAGCGTTTGGGCCGTGCTTCTGACTCGTAAAACGATAATCAAGAAAATGAACCGATAACTTTGTAGTAACAGGGCGGGCAGGCGCTATTCCAGTGATAAGCTTGTACTACAAATACATGAAAACATTGAAAACCCAGCCTGCTCAGCTTGCACTACAAATCAACAGAAACCTAGCCGGTTTCAGTACTAAGCTTGTACAACAAATCAATGAAAACCCAATCGGCTCACGGGAACGTCGGTTCCAATACTAAGCTTGTACTACAAATCAACGAAAACCCAACCGGCTCACGGGAACGTCGGTTCCAGTACTAAGCTTGTAGGAGGAATAGATTTCACTCGGGGTTTTTATACAACCCCATATAGGGTTATAAGGTTCTTATCCCATAGAGTTTAGCGTTACAACCCTAAACCCAAACACTATATGCTTTCAGGCTTAAGGAAAACAGTAAAGTGATTAAATCCCTGAGGGTTACGTTTTTGCAATTAAACTCTAAACCTTTAAGCTCTTATAGGGTTTAAACCCTGTAGGGCTGCACTATAGGGTTTAAGGTTTAACCTAGGTTGAATGCCCAAACCAGAATTTAATTCAACCTTTAAACGCCTTATAAGGCTTAAAGGTTTTAATGTCTAAACCTGATGCACCTAAGGTCAGGGCATTTATACCGTCGGCGTAAAAACCCTAAACCCTCGTACATCTGCTTTGCACTCGCAACAAAATCAACTTCATCCAAAACACTGCATCACATTCAAAAAAACTCCGCCTCACAACAGTCCCCTCTCAAACCCTAAACCCTAACCCGCCCAAAACGGCTCCCAGGTCTGATGAGCTCCAAGGCACCAAGCAGAAGCTGACGTCCACCGAGGGCGAGCTACGCCGCCGCCGGCCAAGACCCTGAAACCCTACAAAACCTCATCGCCACCGGTTGAGGGTTTAGGAGGCTAGGGTTCAGGGTTTGGGGTTTGGCGTTTGGGGTTTAGGGTTTCGGGTACCTTGCAAGCCCTACTTGGAGACTCATGGTACTTAATATAACCCAGGTATTACAGTACTTAACTATGACCCAAATGTGACCATATTAGGGCACTTATAAGTGGGTTATAAGTACAGTTATGACTGGGTTATGAGTACCATGAACCTCCAAGTATAAGCCCCCTGTGAAGCCCTCACCACCCTAAACCCTGGGATGTACCCCCTTATACTAGCAGTCCTTCATAGGGATTTTTGCGCCCCCTATTTTTTATCCCCTATTCAGGACTGGGAACATCTGAGCACTAAACCCCCAAACCCAAACCCTAAGCCCTAACCCCTAAAGACCCTAAAGCCCTACTTGAAGGTTCACGGGCAGTTCTCGTTACCCACTTGCAACTACCCATGAACCTCCAAGTAACCCCTTCTTTAACCTCAACCCCTAATGGCCCAAGCCCTAAACCCTAAACCCTAAACCCTAAACCCCAAACCCCGCTCCTCAGAAGTTCCCTCCGAGGTCGGACTTCCGAACTTGACAACGAGCGGCTGCGGGTGGCGGAGGAGAAGTCGGAGTGGGAAAGCAGGCCCTCTGTAGGGTTCAGGGTTTAGGGTTTAGGGTTCAGGGTTTAGGGTTTAGGGTTTAGGGTTTAGGGTTTTGGGTGATCATAAACCCAAATGTTCCCTAGAACCCTAAAGAGAAACCCTCCAGATCCCTAGTTTGCCTGTTAAAAAGCAGCCCCAAGCCCTCTCAAGGCAGCCTAGGATCCCACGGCCAGAGAGCCGTGTAGCCAGAAGCCCCCCGAAAAGTCTGCAAAAGCGTCCTAAGACCTAAGACCCGGCGCCCCAATTTCCTGAGCCCTAAGTCCTTACAAGGGCACGACTAAAGCGTCATGTCCTGAACCCGACCAGGATGGGCTATTAGGCCCTATCATCCCCATAATCAACCTTATAAAGGGCCTTTTTAGGGTTATAATTTATAATAGGGTTTAGGGTTTAGGGTTTGGGGTTTAGGGGGTAAATCCTCGAATGCAATTGAAGGTACGCCTCCCTCCTTCGACAGTGCGAATCCCTCACAGCGGAGCGCAGTCAGCTGACGTCCGAGATCGAGGCAGCCTTTTGGGCTGTGGGGCTTAGGGCTGAGGGCTGAGGGCTTAGTTTCTAGGGCTTTTAGGGCTTTTGGACCTATAGGTTTTTTTGGGCTTTTGGGCTTCTAGGGCTGATCGGGCTTATATTACAGGGCTTCTAGGGCTTACAGGGCTTGCAGGCGTATAGGGCTTAGGGTTAAAACATGTGAAATCGGAAGCCTGCTTCTCAAAGGAGCTGACGGAGCATGCCGGGCTGTTGCGCGACGAGGCCCAGCAGCAGCGCCAGGAGACGCCCTCTCGCGGGGCTTTCTAGGTTACTTGGAGGTTCATGGGCATTCATAAGTGGGGTTATAAGTAGGGTACGTATACTTAGAACTGGTTATAACCTTATTTCGGGTACTTGTAACCTTACTTATAACTACCCATGAACCTTCAAGTAAGATTTCTCACCTGGAAAGGGACAAACGCGGCGGTACATGTGGCGTTCAGACATTACAGCTGGTGGTTCATCTTTTCAGAAGGCAATTGTTGGTCATACTCAAAGCGCCCCGCCATGAGGGACAAGAAAGTTTGGGGGCATTTTCTACCTTGCCGGGGCCCCTAAACCCTAAACCCTAAACCCTAAACCCTAAACCCTAAACCCTAAACCCTAAACCCTAAACCCTAAACCCTAAACCGGCCCCCTTCAGGGACTGCTGAGCGTAAGCCTTCTGAGCTCTGGGTGCCCCGGGCTCCTTGCGAGGAGATGGAAGATGCCTACGGCAGCGCCTTGAAAGCAACCCTCCCCAAACCCCGCGCCTCCCCCCCCCCCCCCCCGTCATTGGAGTTTAGGGTTTAGGTTTAGAGTTTAGGGTTTAGGGTTTAGGGTTTAGGCCCCCCCCCCCCCCCAAAGTTCCCTCTTCCAGCCACAACCCAGTGAGGTGTGACGTCTGTCCTTGAGAACGAGCGCGAGGAGGCGAAGAAGGAGGCTCCGGGCATCCTTACAGGTTTCAGGGTTTCGGGGTTTCAGGGTTTCGGGGTTTCGGGGTTTCGGGGTTTCCAGGTTTCAGGGTTTCGGGGTTTCGGGGTTTCAGGGGCTTCCGGGATTTTAGGAGTTGAGGGGTTTCAGGGTTTTTTTAAAGTTCAGAAAGTTTCGGGGCTTAGAGGGCTTAGGGTTGAGGATGCCAGGATCTGGGGATCTTGCCTCCGGTCTCGGCCTCGGGGTGCATGCCCCCCCCCGCCCCCCCAAACCCTAAACCCTAAATCCTTAAACCCTAAACCCTAAACCCTTAACCCTAAACCCTAAACCCTAAATCCTTAAACCCTTAACCCTGAACCCTAAACCCTAAATCCTTAAACCCCATCTCCGCAGGCAGAGGCGTCCAAGCTTCAGATCCAACAGCTGCGGGCGGACTGCGCAGGGCTCCGTTTGAGGGCTTGAGGGTTTCGGGACCCTAAACCCTAAACCCTAAACCCTTCCTGTATACCTATGTACTACATTACCCCTAAGATCCCTTATAGGGTTCAGGGTGTAAGGTTTCGGGCTAAGGGTTTAGGGTTTAGGGTCTCTCCTTTAGTCCCTGGTTCTTTGTTTCTTTTATTATTATTTTTATGATTATGATTATTATTATTATGATTATTATTATTATGATTATTATGATTATTATGATTATTATGATTATTATTATGATTATTATTATGATGATTATTATTATTAGTATATTTCATTTTTTGGGGGGGTTCATGTTCCCGCCTTCTTGTGGCTGAATTGGGGTATGCCAATTTTGGTTTAAATTGGGGCTAGGATGTTTTTTTTTTTTTTTTTCAGATTTAGGGTTTAGGGGGTGGATTTGACGGTTTGGGGGTGCCTTGGTGTGTACGTCTACATCGTCCCTGGGCGCAGAGTTCATCGAAAGCGATCAACGGCAGCTGAGGGTTCGCTGCGTTGAAACCCTAAACCCGAAACCCGAAACCCGAAACCCTAAACCCTAAACCCTAAACCCTAAACCCTAAACCCTAAACCCTGCAGGACCACGAGCTCCTTATGCAGGATAAGGAAGAGCTGAGTCGGGCCTTCGATGCCATGAAGGAGGACTCGGAGAAGGCATGGGGCTAGGGTTTAGGGTTTAGGGTTTAGGGTTTAGGGTTTAGGGTTAGGGTTTAGTAGGGTATAAGGGGCTGGTGTGGCGCACGAGGGCAGAAGTAGGGGGCAACAAGTGCGAAGGCGCGGCGTATCCCGTGAGTGATGCTCTTTGAAGGAAGGGAACATCATTGCCTCTTGTGGCCTGGACCCGGCTCCCCGCAGGCGTCACGGCAGATGCAGGAAGAGCAGGCTGTCACAGTGGCGCGTCTGCGGCAGCAGCACGAGGAGGAGCTTCATAGATGCGCATTTCTGGACAAATGGACGTCCCAGTTGCTTGCGCAGTGTCTTAATGAGTCTTAATGATTGAATAGTTAGCGGTTCTTGGCAATAAAGACATGTGCCAGGCGTCACGGCAGATGCAGGAGGAACAAGCGGCCGCAGCGGCGCATCTGCGGCAGCAGCACACGGAGGAGCTTGAGGCAGTGAGGGCAGAGATGGCGAGGCAGACGGAGGAGTTCCAGGTGGAGAAGCAGCAACTGCGCCAGAATGAGGCCAACGTGCTACAGCTCCACAACGACCTTTCGGGAAAGTACTCGCAGCTGGAGGCACAGCTTGAGCATGCGCGGGAGGAGGCCAGCAACAACATCCAGGCCAAGGACGCAGCCTTGGAGAAAACAGCCCAGACTGCCCGCGATCAACAGGCGCAGCTGGAGCAGAAGCTGCAGGAGAAGCAGTCCGAGCTCGACAGGAGCCGCTCAGACTTCGAGGCACAGCTGGCGCAGCTGCAGCAGGAGCATGACGGCCTGCAGAGGCAGCATTCGGAGCTTCAGCAGGGGCACACCAGCTTACAGACGGAGCACAAGCAACTGCAGGCCAACCATGCAGATGCGGTCCAGGAGCGGGAGAAGGTGGCCAGCGACTTTGATGAATTCCGCCGGGAGATGGTGCAGAAGCTGAGGGACAAGGACGACAACCTCTCCACCACCGTCGGCGACCTCAGGGCGGATGCGGAGAAGTCCGCCGCGGCCAAGCAGGCCGAGATCGACCGCCTCACCGCGGACTTCGAGCGAGAGCGGCAGAACCTGCGAAACGACGTGTCCGAGACACAGGCCTGCACAATGGATACTGCATAGCCCGAACACGTGCACAGAGATGCATCATGACAACCATTCAAGGAATATAAGCCAGTCAGCATGTCTGTACACAGGCTGTTGCCTATAGTTTACAAGAACGCATGTATGTACACGTGCGTACACACACATTGCATCTATCTGTCTATGCAACATATCTTGTGTTCAATAGTGTATCAGGGATGGATTAGGGTGTAGGAAGGTTTCGGGCCAGGGTCCCAATCTGACAGGGACCTTTAGAAACTTGCGGCCTCAGAAAGCAGCAGATTCAACATCCCGACGCGACCTCACGCTTCAGTGAAATTAGCGACCCAGCTCGGGGAAACCCTAGCCCAGGAGAATGGCTGCTGGCGGCACAGGGCTTCCCCCCTAGACCACGAGAAAAAGCCCCGAAGCCTCTACGAGCCCCGAAATCCTTAAGCCCGACCCGAACCCTAAACCCTAAACCCTCAACCCTCAACCCTCAACCTTCAACCCTAACCCTAACCCTAAACCCTAAACCCTGTTGTTCTTGGCGAGGCGCAGCTTGCAGGTATCTTGGCCGCATACATCATGCAGCAGATCTACTTGGCCCCTGCCAAGCGTATGCCATACCAATCGGGTTTAGGGTTTAGTGTTGCCTATCTGCTAGACCCTTAAATCCAATCCCTGACTGATCCCAAGACCTTGAACCCTAAACCCCAAACCCAAACCAAAACCCGAGGCCTGCGCGACGAGCTTCAGAATAGCAACCAGGCAGGTCGCTTTCGATATCGGGCTCTCGGTTTTGGGGCAGCTTTCGTGGTGCAGGGAAGGCGTCGAAGCCCGCTGGGGTGTCATCTGGCCGCTGCTTCTCCCTAGCTGAAGATTCTTATTCCTGTAAAGGGGGGCAGCCCAACACTTAGCTGCAGAGCTCAGGGTCTGGTGTCTCCTAGCAGATAAAGGATGGCTAAGGTCTCTTTTTGTACTGGTGGGGGCTTGTTAGAACCCGAACAGCCGGCATCAGCCTTCAGGGCAGTGAGAGTTTAGGGTGGAAGGTTCAGAGTTTGGGGTCTTGGCATACGGAAATCGTGCAAAATCTGCGGCACTGTTAACGTTCCGCCGAGGGGCCATGGTTGACAATGCCATGTCGACAAACCGAGAAGTTGAAAGACAAACTTTTCAACACCCGGAGAAGAAAGGTGTGTGTGTGTGTGTATCTGAATTCACCGTAACGGAATACTGTAACGTTTTAACTATAACACACACACAGAAACACAGGTACATATCTACATGCATGCGCAGGTATGGATAAATAGTGCCATTGCCTAGGACTTTGCACTTGGACGTCCCAGCTGCTTGCGCTTGTTAGGATAGGCAGTGTCTCAATGCATAGCAGCTCTTGGCAATAAAGACATGTGCCAGGCGTCACGGCAGATGCAGGAGGAACAAGCTGCCGCAGCGGCACGTCTGCAGCAGCAGCACGCGGAGGAGCTTGAGGCAGTGAGGGCAGAGATGGCGAGGCAGTCGGAGGAGTTCCAGGCGGAGAAGCAGCAGCTGCGACAGAACGAGGCCAACGTGCTACAGCTCCACAACGGCCTTTCGGTAAAGTACTCGCAGCTGGAGGCACAGCTTGAGCATGCGCGAGATGAGGCCAGCAACAACATCCAGGCCAAGGACGCAGCCTTGGAGAAAACAGCCCAGACTGCCCGCGATCAACAGGCGCAGCTGGAGCAGAAGCTGCAGGAGAAACAGTCCGAGCTCGACAGGAGCCGCTCAGACTTCGAGGCACAGCTGGCGCAGCTTCAGCAGGATCATGACGGCCTGCAGAGGCAGCATTCGGAGCTGCAGCAGGGGCACACCAGCTTGCAGACGGAGCACAAGCAACTGCAGGCCAACCATGCGAATGCGGTCCAGGAGCGGGATGAGGCCAGCAACAACGTCCAGGCCAAGGACGCAGCCTTGGAGAAAACAGCCCAGACTGCCCGCGATCAACAGGCGCAGCTGGAGCAGAAGCTGCAGGAGAAACAGTCCGAGCTCGACAGGGGCCGCTCAGACTTCGAGGCACAGCTGGCGCAGCTTCAGAAGGAGCATGACGGCCTGCAGAGGCAGCATTCGGAGCTGCAGCAGGGGCACACCAGCTTGCAGACGGAGCACAAGCAACTGCAGGCCAACCATGCGAATGCGGTCCAGGAGCGGGATGAGGCCAGCAACAACGTCCAGGCCAAGGACGCAGCCTTGGAGAAAACAGCCCAGACTGCCCGTGATCAACAGGCGCAGCTGGAGCAGAAGCTGCAGGAGAAACAGTCCGAGCTCGACAGGAGCCGCTCAGACTTCGAGGCACAGCTTGCGCAGCTTGAGAAGGAGCATGACGGCCTGCAGAGGCAGCATTCGGAGCTGCAGCAGGGGCACACCAGCTTACAGACGGAGCACAAGCAACTGCAGGCCAACCATGCAAGTGCCGTCCAGGAGCGGGAGAAGGCGGCCAGCGACTTTGATGAATTCCGCCGGGAGATGGTGCAGAAGCTGAGGGACAAGGACGACAACCTCTCCACCACCGTCGGCGACCTCAGGGCGGATGCGGAGAAGTCCGCCGCGGCCAAGCAGGCCGAGATCGACCGCCTCACCGCAGACTTCGAGCGGCAGCGGCAGCAACAAATGTCGGAGCACAGGCAGCTTCTTGAGCGTCACTCTGCTTTGGAGGCTGGGTAGCAGAGTTCTCTAGTCAGCACAGGGCCATAGGAGAAGACCCGAATCCCACCTTGATCGGCAGCCCAAGTGTGGGAGCCCTGGAGGCCACGCTGTCCCAGCAACGTGCCGAGATCGAGGGGCGAGATCGTCGCAGCTTGCCGCGGTGTTGCGGGGTCGGTGAAGTTTCGACTTTGGTGAAATTTGGGTTCAGGGTTGGTTCAGAAGGGGACCCTTGCCAGCACCAGGAAGCCAACTTCCTCTGCAAGGTGTTGTTTCGGCCACGGGTTGCAAGTTTCGAGGGGCCCGAAATCCCCAAAGCACAGAATCTCGCAAGTCCTGAGCCCATAGCCGCAACAGACCCTGACCAGGCATTTGCAATCAGAGAGGACTGCAGAGCCCCCTCCGCAAAAAAAAGACCCTAAACCCGAAATAACCCCAAACAACAAAAAAAGGGAGAGATGCATTGCTATTGTGCTGTCGCAAGCCTTGCATGACAAGCAAATGAGCGAATTCCTGAACACAACAACGGCGCCCACAAACTTTTTCAAGTTTGGGCCGCCTTTATAATGATTATAGATCTGGAAGGAACACCATAGTATCTTTCCCTTGGGTTTTTTGAGTATGACAGGTCGCATGAGCGAAGCGATTAAGACACCCAGAAAATAGGAATAACATAATGCAATGGCAAGATACGACCAGAAGATAGAAAGTTGTCTACAGGAAACGGACCACCTATCCAAAAGAGCAAAAAATGAAAGAAACCAAAAGCACAGATAGAAAACGATTAAATCTGAACTCCAATACCCTCAGAGTCCTAGGTGCGACGCAGGAGGCAGACGAGCACCAGAAACGTCTCAGTGATGTGCTTCTTGCCGGGGGTCCCGGCGTCCAGCGGATTGTTTTGAGGTTCCCTCAGCCCTTAAAAAAGCCGCCCGTAAACCCGTATGGGCCCATTTCCCGTGAACTCAGCAACCCTAAACCCAAAAGAAGCAGACTTCTGTCGACATGAGTTGAGGACCCCTGCCAGTTCGGGCTTCTGTGCAATGCGGCATGAAGAGCCTGAAGCCTGAAGCTTTCCAAACACTAAGCGGCCGAAACCCCTACACGCCCCAAAGGCTCAACTCCAGTTTTTGGGTTTGGGGTTTAGGGTTTGGAAGACTTGTCCGGAACCCTATAACCATGGTTTAGAAACCCTAAACCCTAAAGCCTGAACCCTAAACCCTAGCCCTAAACCTTAAACCCTGAACCCTAAACCCGAAGCAAACCCTTAGTAACAGACGCCCTCTGCTTCTGCGCCCGAGGAGCGCGAGGGCGCCGAGCAAGAGAGGCGGCAGTCTGCCCACCTCAACTGAAGCCGAAAGGTTAGGGCTTAGGGCTTAGGGTTTAGGGCTTAGGGTTTAGGGTTTAGGGTTTAGGGTTTGGGGCTTAGGGCTTAGGGTTTATAAGGTTTAGGGGTTAGGGTTTATAGCATGGGGCCTGCTTTCAGGTTTTGGTTGGGGGGCATCCGAGGTTTGTCCCTAGAATCCTAGAACCCTCAACGGCTCCGCAAAGCCCAGCATGGACCCTACTCTGAAACCGACACCTTCGGGGCCAAGTACCGGAACTTGCAATGCCCGGACAGCAGCCGAAAGAGTCCGGCCTGCGCAAAGTCTGAAAAGGATGGGGTTACCTGGACTTTCCCCAAAAAAACAGGGTATAACCTCTAACTGCAGGCCTAAACTTGAACTTCCTCAAGCCCCCCAGAAAGTCTAAAGTTTTTCAAGACTCTTGGGTTGCGGAGTGCCAGAACTAATTTTAGGGTTTAGGGTTTAGGGTTTCTCACACCCAGCCCAGATGAAAAAAAAAGGGTTTCTCACATCTTCATGATTGGGCCATGGTAGTGCACGATGTCCCACACAGAGAGGCAGCTTCTTCAGCGCCAGCTCGACCACCTGCGCACCCAGATGGACGAGGCGGGGAGGAACCCTAGACCATAAACTTGAAAACCCTAAACCCTAACCCTAAAGCCCTAAACCCTCAAACCCTCAAACCCCCAAGCATTGGGCTTCGAGGCCTTGAAGCAGAAGGAGCACGAGCACAACACATCGGCCGCCAACCTTGAGCGCCTGCGTCGGGAGGCAGAAGAGGGGACTGGGAAGGGTTTAGGGTTTGGGGTTTAGGGTTCAGGAAACTCAACGTGGAGAGCCCATTTTATATGAATGTGAGGTAAACATGAGACTTCTTGGCGTTGTAGGAGGGTTTGAGAGGAGTTTTGGGGGGCTGGTTGCGGGGCATTCAGGGCATTCGGGTTTCTTGTAGGAACTGGAATTCCTGTAAAGGATGCCCTAAACTAGGGGTTTAGGGTTTTTAGGGTTTCCTAAGCCCAAAACGCTAAACCCTAAACCCTGAAGTTTCTTGAACTTTGGTCTTTTTATGCTACGGTTCCCGGCCACCCCTGGCTCTGGGCCTCAGGCCTCCCCTAAAGTCCGTTTTGGCACATGCTCTGAGTCCAGCTGGGAGTAACTCTTATTTGAAAAAGGGTTTAGGGTTTAGGGTTAAGGGTTCCAAGGGGCTTGCGATGCATAAGAGGCTTCCAAGGGCAGATCTGCTCAGGGTGTTCGGCCAGTGCCCAGTCATGACACGTACAGTAAGTTTACGGCTTAGGGTTGGGATGATGTTCCCCTTATACTAACATCCCCTTTTGGAATCATATTCGGGGGTATTGCGATCCATATTAAGGACTGTTAGTATAAGGGTGAACCCTAAACCCTAAACCCTAGACCCTAAACCCTAAACCCTAAACCCTAAACCCTAAACCCTAAACCCTAGACATCCCAAAATCAGGGCTGAGTGTGTACTTGCCACACAGTACGCCTGAGGAGTTGGAGCAGGCGCGGTCCGAGCTGGAGCGGGCTCAGCACGTTACGCAGGACTCCTGTGTGTAGGGTTTAGGGTTTAGGGTTTTAGGGTTTAGGGTTTAGGAGGCGTATGGGTGGGTTAACCAAACCCTCTCTACCCAGCCCAAGCATGCGGAAGCTACTTTCGCAAGGCAACTATGCACTCAGGCAACATCGCCTGGCTTGAAGCCTTTGAAAACCCTCACTGGGCCCTGCTTCTGTTTTGCAGTGCCTACAGATTAGAGGCACTCCCCTCTGACTCAGTTATTAGGTACATTCATTCTTTTCAAGGCACAAGGCTACTCTGTGTAAACCCTAAACCCCCAACATACCGAGGATACCCCTTGATTCGGGGGCTCATAGTACATGATTGTATGCACTCTGGGGCCCAGGTTAACAGCATCTTCGGGTATGTTGCCATGCAGTAAGAGGTTTCTTAAACCCTCATAAACAGACAGGCGCGCACAGACAGACGTAAATATAAACATAAACATAAAATACAAATATAAACAAAAATGTTTAAAAAACATAAGCATAAGTATAAACATAAGCAAGTGCATATATATATATATAGATATGTATATATCTACATGGCCATGTGTATATGTATATATCAGGAGAAGCAGGCCGAGCTCTTGCGCCAGTCCGAGGACTTCGAGGGCCGGGTCCGGCAGCTGCAGGAGTGCCCCCCCTGCCAGCTTGTGCCGTTTCTTTCAGAATTGGAATTCAGGGTTTAGGGTTTTAGGGTTTAGGGTTTAGGGTTTAGGGCTAAGGGTTTTGGGTTTAGGGCCGAACCCGAAAACTGTCCTAAACTCTACCCCTAAACCCTAAACCCTCAGCTAAGCGGGCGCCTAAACCCTGAACCCTGAACCCTGAACCCTAAACCCTAAACCCTAAACCCTAAACCCTAAACCCTAAACCCTAAACCCTAAACCCTAGCAGATCCTGGGAGCCCTGAAGCCGCAGGAGCACCAAGCCGACCTCGAAGCGCGCCACGGCACCCTGCAGGCTGCTGGCTTGGGACATTTTTGGGGACTCTGCGTTGCTGGTTCTCAGGAATTAGGGGGGTTTAGGGTTTAGGGTTTAGGGTTTAGGGTTTAGGGTTTAGGGTTTAGGGTTTAGGGTTTAGGGTTTAGGGTTTAGGGCAATCTCTGGAGGTTCATGGTACTTAATGACCCCATTATAACTGTACCTGTATAACCCAAATTGTAACCGTATTAGGGCACTCAAGGGGCTTGAAAGTGGGTGATACGTACAGGTATTATTGGGTTATAAGAACCATGAACCTCCAAGTGGCTGGTGGCAACAGAAAGTAGTGGAGAGAGGCAAACGCGCTGCCTAGACCTAGCTTTCGCGCATATGTTGAGTCTCTGCGCGCGGGCATGGGGCTGATGCCACTAGATGCCAGCAGGCTCCCGTAAAGGAACCATTGCAGAACCACAGTTGCTGCAGAGTAAACAAATCTGAGTTCTGAATACGGAACCTCAGATCACATTCACAACCGCGAAGAGACGCTTGGCGCAAAAGCCGCCAACTTCCAATGGACTTGGCTGCAAAGAAGACTACCCCCTTGCGCACCCGGCAAGAGCCAGGACAACCACGAACGCCTGGCACGCGAAAGAGAAGCTGTGGGCCGGGACTTCGATGGATTCCGGGCCGAGGCAGCGGAAAAGCTCCGCGCCCGTGAAGAGGACCCAGGGGTCCCGAGTTGCTGTTCGTGAACTTGGCATGCAGTTGCCTGATACTTGGAGGTTCATGGGTAGCTATAAGTGGGAATATATAAGTAGGGCAGCTATATTTATAACCGGTTATAACCTTCTTGAGGGCACTTACAACTCTACTTATGACTTCCCATGAACCTTCAAGTAAGGACGGCACGTTATTTGTCACATTTCCCTTGATTGTAACGTAGCAAGAGTTTTTAGAAGCAGCCCAGAAACATCAACCTAGGAAGTCACACATGTCACACACGCTCTTCACTCGCTCTTCACTCGCTCTTCACTCGCTGGGTGGGTTGTAGCAGGGTTTCTTGAGCAGGGGCCCAAAATGCGTCAGATTCAGTGTTGCAGATGCAGGGCAGGAGCTCTTGTGGATGCCAGTAGGAAAAGCACTTCACATTCCTTGGTAGCTTGCTAGGTATGGGGCATTTCACATTTTCTCTTATTGGGTTTAAGAGGATCATACGGAGGAATGTTTTTAAGAGGGTTTTAAGCCATCCTAGCTTTAAAGCCTGTTATTTGAGCTTGCAGCCCGCGGCAGTTTTTTGCCGACGTGAAAGTTGCAAACCCTCATCCGCACGGAGGTTGAACAGCACTATTGGGCCTTTTGCATCTCTGTTAGAGAGTCTGTTCCTGGGCCCGAAGGTCTGATCTAACATACCTCGTCCTGAGCAATCCCGAACCTTGAGACATTCGGAGCTGCAACCCTAAACCCTAAACCCTAAACCCTAAACCCTAAACCCTAAACCCTAAACCCTAAACCCAGGAGCTCGCCAAGCAGCTTCAGGACCAGGCAAGCGAGCAGCCACATGGCTGAGCTGGCTTCCACATTGAGCGTCCCAAGTTCCAGCACTCCTGGGTGCGCATGGGTACACCCTAGAGCCTAAGCCCTAAACCCTGGGAATATTTTAGGGTGTAGGGTGTTTAGGGTTTAGGGCTTAGGGTCTACAATTTCTTAAATTCAGGTTCTAAGGGGAGTGTAGGCTCCACAATCAGTTCAGGGCGCTGCTGGAGAAACTCCTGCCACCACAATCTCCCTCAATACGAGTTTTGGGCTTCACAAGCCAAGCCACAGAGCATGAAATCTAGAAGTCGAGGGTTTAGGGTTTAGGGTTTAGGATTTAGGGTTTAGGGTGGGGTTTGGGGTTTGGGGTTTGGGGTTTCCTTGCCCAAGGTCAGCTCAAGCCAGTGACTTCGCGGCGCACCGGGCGAAGCTCGAGCAGCATCTTGCCCTAATTTCCACGGCTTTCGTGGCATGATGGAATTCGAATGTGCTCCCAATATCCCCCCCCACCCCAAATTCCCGAAGGCCCTAAACCCTACATCCTTTCAAACGGGTTCCTAAAGAGGCCCATCAACCCAGGAGTACAGGTTTTCGGCTTTAGGGCTTATGTATGGGTGCCTAGACAGAAAGTTTGGTAAAGGCTCTTCCCAGCTGACTGGGTTCAAAAAGGGTTTAGGGTTTCGGGTTTAGGGTTTAGGGTTTAGGGTTTAGGACCCAAAGCCCTAAGTAAGTCTCGTAAGCCTTCTTGCGACCTTGCGCTCGAAAAAACGCGTCCTGCAGCTGGTTGACGCTTCGTGCTGACACGCACACACACTCTATCAACAAGGTGTTGCAGTCGGATGCGGCGAAATCCCCCAGTCCCCATGCCAACACCCTAAACCCTAAACCCGAAACCCTAAACCCCCAATCCCAGCAGGCAGTGCGGCGACTTGCAGCAGCGGCTGGAGCGTTTGCATGCAGCCTGGGCAGCATTCTTGAGGGTTTTGGGGTTAGGGTTTGGGGTTTAGGGTTTTGTGTGTTCCCTTTATCTTTCTGGGTGTCACAAGGGTCCGGTCCTAACACCTAAACACAGAGGCTTTTCGCTGGTCCATGCTGTTGAGCTCTCCAAAGCCCTTTTGTTAACGCCATCTTAGACCACAAAAGGGGCCGATTTTCCCGAGGTAGGTCCGAAACCGGTTCTCCTTTTCGTTCCTGGGTTGCCCGGAAACCTAACGCTTAAACCCTTCAGCAGCCGAGGCGGAGCACACAGGCGCGGTGGAGGAGCGCGCTCGTCTGCAAGAGGAGCCCGGGCGGACCTTTTCGGGTTTTGTTTGGGTTTGGGGTTCAAGGTGTTCAGGGCTTCTTCTTGAGTTAGGGTTTGGGGGATGATGGGATAGTTTTTGCCGAGGTTTTTCGGGTTTGGGGTACTGTTTCATCATTGCCCGGGAGAGTTTATCCTGAATGCTGCGCCTGTCAGGGTTCAGGGCTCCAGTGACTCCAGGCACATCAGATTGGGTTCCTTGCAGTTTGGAGTAACCCTACACCCTAAAGCCCTAAATCCCAGGAGATGGGCATACAAACCTTCTTGCTACCGTCTTCATAGCACCCTTTGGTGGTTCTGGCAAACAAGCAGGTTGCCAAGGATGCGGCTGTCTTTCTCCGAGGTCCTTTTTGGTCCGTAATTTCTTCCTTACTTCGCCTTTGGATGAACTTTAAACTTTTTGGGTTTCCTTATTTAGTAGGAATGATAAAGTTTAACCTTTTTCCCCTTGGTTATTGGAGAAGTAAGCTTCTGTGAGTAGAGCTTCACTCCCTTGAAGGGAGCTGATGAAGAGCTCACGGGGCCCTGTCACCATGATGTAGGGCGCCCAGCATGTTCCGAATCCTGAAACCCTAAACCCTAAACCCTCAACACCAACCCTAACCCTAAACAAAAACCCTCAACCCCAAACCCTAAACCCTAAACCCTAAACCCTAAACCCAGAATTTTTAGTTCCTGATAGGAGTTCGACAGCTTTCGTGACGCATCGGCGCAGAAGCTGCAAGCCAGCCAAGACCAGCTCATGAAGACGGCTTCTGAGTTGCAGGACGCCATCCTAGGGTTTGGGGTTCAGGGGTTTGGGGTTTAGGGTTTAGGGTTTCGGGTTTAGGGTTTAGGGTTTAGGGATAGTGTTTAGAGTTTAGGGTTTAGGGCTTTCAGATGCTGGCGCGCCGGGCCTGTGTGGGAAGGGCATGTGGCTCAGGTTGTTGGTTGCCAAACTCGACTCTTACATCCCGCTTCAGACTTGACATTCCCGGAACCCTAAACCCTAAACCCCATCCCCCTTAATTATATTCACAGCCCTGATGAGGGAGTATCGTACCCCCCCCCCCCCCCATATTATGCAACCTAAATATCCCTAAGCCCCTCGGACCTCCCCAAACCCTAAACCCTAAACCCTAAACCGCAGGAGGAGATGACGCAGCAGCAGAAAGCCCAGCAGGTCGAGCACAGCCGCCAGCGAGAGGAATGGACTGCAGCACAGGCCTCACATGAACATGTAATATAGGGGTCGGAATACTTACTAATAATTAATACTATTCCCTTAGTAATATAGGGGTCGGAATAATTAAAAATATTCCCTTAATGATATAGGGGTCGGAATAATTTCGAATAATATTCCCTTATGGTCCCTGTCTAATCTTACTAGAATAACACCCAGGCCCCTATAGTAAATGATATGAGTATGGGAAAACCATGTGCAATGTGAATCTTGTCTTGATATTGCATGCGGTCCGGTTTTGACATCTCCCTCGCAAGGCGATAGGGGTGGCCACCCGAAAGCGATGCCCACGTAATCGTGTCAATACTCGCCAAGCGAGAGGCCAACCATGTATGTGGTGCAACGTTTGGCGCACAAATTTTAGCCTCTCCTGTACGTATACGCATACATACATGTATCTATATACATATATATGCATCTGTTCACGCAGATGCAGCTTGTTCATCTTTTGTCGGTTTCAGGTTCTCTTCAGGTTAGGACATGTTGGTCCAGCCCCCCAAACAGGCCGAGCTGAAGACGGCCTCAGCGGCCGAGCTGGAACGCAGCTCGGCTTGGAGCTTGAAAACATGTGGTAAGTAATGGGGCCTAGGGGGTTTAGGGTTTATGGGGCCTCGGGGTTTAGGGGTAAGCCTTGACTTTCGTGCTTCGGGCCTGATAGTTCGCGATTGAGCATTTGGATGTTGGAGGCTTTGGCATGCGCAGCTTTAGTGTGCTGCTTGGGCACCCCAGGAGCCTCCTGAAATTGCCGCGCCGAGTTTTTGTCATATTCCTTGGTCGTTGAGAGGGTGTCGCTGTGCATACGTACCTGATGTTTTGCAAGCTCACTGGACCATACCCAAACCTTCCAGCACCCCGTCTTGCAACAGAAACCCTAAACCCTAAACCCTAGGCCCTAAACCCTAAACCCTGAATCTCAAGGCAAGCAAGGGGAGTTCGACGCCGAACGCAAGCGATTGGAGCAGAGCCGGGCAGAGCTTGAGCAGAGGCTGCAAGCTGCGGTTGCAGGGTTTAGGGTTTAGGATTTGGGGTTTAGGGTTCAGGGTTTAGGGTTTGGGGTTTAGGGTTTAGGGCTTAGGGTTAATTATCTTGATGTCTTGCTGAGGAGTAGCTGCACCTACGTCCAAGAAGCATTGCTTGAAAGGGACAAGGCAGCAATGCAGAAGAAATCTTCCGGGTCAGGTGACCAGAACCCCAAACTGATGCACTTTGCACGTTAATTCACCGAAATCCGACGAGAATAGAAACGTGGAGCTTTTCGGACGCCCCAACTATGTGCAGGGTCGCGGACCTCAGCCGCGACAAAGCGCAACTGAGCTCTGACATCGAGGACGCGTCATGGGGCACAGGTTCAGTTGCAGCGCTTGGGTGGGTCTGAACCGAGTTTAGGGTGTAGGGTTTAGGGTTTAGGGTTCGAATCGTAGACCACATGCTCAGCCAGTTCCTGTTCCGTGGGCAGCAGAAACATTAGCATTCCGAGCTCTACATAGCCCTGCAATCCCAAGACCTGCGAACCCTAAAGGCCTATGCCCAAAAAGCCTAGCACCCTACGGCCCTAAGACCCAGAACCCTATAGCCTACTGCAATGTGTGTGAGAGACAGCGTAAGGCTCAGGAAATCATCTTCTGACGGCTTGGGCCATGAACAGTTATCGTCACACCCGGCTTGCCACCAAGGTGCGGTAAGAGTCGAAGGCCCTAGACCCTCCTAAGCTTTCAGCTTTCCGAATGCCGGCGATGTCCTTCACCCTTCAACGCCGAAACCCTAACATCCGAAATATCAGCATCCCTAAACCCTAAACCCCGAACCCCAAAAACCGGGGTGCGAAGTGTGGTTTTGGGTAGGACACTGCCAATAGCCCAGTGATGTCCCCATGTGCATGCCTATAGGCGATCCCATCAAGGCGTAACGCCAAGGGAAGTTCTCTTAGGGTTTAGGGTTCAGGGCTTAGGGGCTTAGGGTTCAGGGTTTAGGGTTTAGGGTTTAGGGTTTAGGGCTTAGGGCTTAGGGGCTTAGGGCTTAGGGTTTAGGGTTCAGGGTTCAGGGTTTAGGGCTCCTCAGTCGGACAGTAGAACCCCGCTGTGCTCTGGCTAGTCGGGGTGGCAAAAAAAATCCTTTACCCCAAGCCCCTAAACCCCAGATAGGCCCCTAAGCCCGAAACCGCTCAACCCCTCAACCCCTCAACCCCAAAACCCCTAAACCCCTAAACCCCTCCACCCCTAAACCCCTCCAATCCCTTTCCAGGAGGTGCAGGGCAAAGCCTCGGAGCTCCGCCGGGGTGCAGAGCAGCAGCACGAGCAGATGGCCGAAGCCCACCGAGGCCAAGTGTGTGGTTTTGAGTTAGGGTTTAGGAAACAGGGCTTGGGGTTTGGTGTTTAGGGTTTAGGGTTTCGGGATGCTACAGGATACTGGAACACATTAGAGCATGGTATGTTTCTTGCTTGTGGTGTGTGTGTGTGTGCGCGCGCGCTGTAGGGTTTGCGCGGGGTTTCTGCAGAGGTTTTTTTGGGGGGTTGACCTTTCAAGGCTTTCGGGTTTGAAGGTCGGGCGGTCGCTCTGATGGTTTTGGTTGTCAATTGTTGTCATGGCTTTAGGGTTTTGATTCCTAAACCCCAAGCCCCAAGCGCTAAACTCTAAACCCTAAACCCTAACCCAAGCTTGAGGGGGTGCTTTGGTGCTCTGGGATTCTGGGATTCAGCAGCCTCGTGATTGTTTTTTGGATTCAGCCGTCAAGATTGGCCAGAGGGGGGTGTGCTTAGCAGCTGCCTGCTCCTACTACCCGTGAAGTTGCATGGGTTTTGAAATGTTAACATAAATATAGTTGTAATTAAAATGTAAGTTGTTAAAAGTATATAAATATATAAATATGTAAAAATGACTCTATCAATTTATATATATATATATATATGTGTGTGTGTGTGTGTGTGTGTGTGTGTGTGTGTGTAAAAATATAGAGAATTATAAAAAATAGGATAAAAAATAGGAATGAATACATAAATATAAATATAAATATAAATAAATAAATAAATATAAATATAAATATATATATATATGTATGTATGTATATGTACGCAAAATGAGGTCCCCTGAGGTTGGCTTGCGTGTAACGGGGCTTGTCAGAAGCCCCGTGCAGGGAGTCGATCCCTTTGGTGGCAGGGGTTCAGTCCTCGGGGCTCGAAATCCTAAAAAAAAAACCCACAAGCCCTATAAACCCAAAAGGTTCAGGGGGTAGGGTTTAGGGTTTAGGGTTTAAGGTTAGGGCATGAAGCAGCTTCCAGGTTCAAAAGGGTTTAGGGTTAGGGTTTAGGGTTTGCTGTAGGGTTTATGGTTTAAGGTTTGTGAGCCTAGCCGGCCTTCTTGCAAATACTCGCATCGCAAAGCCATGAACCTCACCCTCATCCAGCACCGACAGCCTTCGGAATTCGAGTATATCGGGGGTCTCTGGGGATGTGGGTCCTTAGGGACACAGATGAGGGTGAATTGGGTTCATTGGTATACACTCTCAAGAAGGTCTCCTACCCTAATGCGTTGTGGGCCCTCTTCCTTAGTGATCAGACCAGGTTCGTCCTTAACGGTTCGAGGCAGGCTAATGCTCATTGGGTCCCAAACTTTCACGCCCTACTCCAGTAATTCCTTTTACGGCAGCTTGGTTGCATTGTACACAGCTTAATTGGATGGAACTCTGATGCTCGTGCGGCGGAGGAGTGAGTGTCTGTAAAAAAGGTATACACTCTCAAGTTTATGAGCCCGAAGGCGTGGTGGGTGGCTTGCAGAGTGACCTGGAGCGCGAGAGGCAGCAGCGCGAGCAGGCTCCGGGGAAGGTTCAGGGTTTAGGGTTTAGGGTTTAGGGTTTAGGGTTTGGGAAGGCTGGGTTTGCGAATCCCCTCCTACTCTCGAACCCCCATCGCCCCTTACTGTCAAGTAGTTTCACTTCCCAGTAAGAGCGACTAGGGTATCAGGGTGGCTCTGTGTCCCATTGCTGAGAAAGGCATTTGCCCCATGTGACATACCCTAGACTTTACCTTCTGTACCCTAAACACCTTAAACTAGGGTCGTGCCCTACTTCAGCAACAGTCCTTATAGGGCATCTTTATGAGACCCTTCACCATGTCGTGGTAGCTGTTACAACCCTCCCTAAACCCTCCCTAAACCCTAAACCCAAAGAATAAAACCCTAAACCCAGCAAAGCCCTAGACCCTAAACCCTGAACCCTAAACCCTAAACCCCTGCTCCGCAGGTGGAGCAGGCTCGGGCAGCTCTGGAGGAGGCGCATGCTTGGCGATTCCGAAGCACCCCAGGGGTCTGAGCAGGGAATGAGGCCCATGAGGCCCTTTAAGGGACTATAGTCACTATAGGGTTTAGGGTTTAGGGTTTAGGGTTTAGGGTTCAGGGTTTAGGGTTTAGGGTTTCCCTCATTCCCTACTAAGAACCAGCAAGTCGAAGTAGACTTCAGAGTTGAGGACAGCCCGGGTGCGACAAGGGTTCCTAAATCCTAAGCCATTCTAGACCCTAAACCCTAAACCCTAAACCCTAAACCCTAAACCCTTAGCCCTAAACCCTAAACCCTAAACCCTAAACCCTAAACCCTAAACCCTAAACCCCAGAATCAGCACACCATTTGGGATGTCAGCCACCAAGCTGCAGGCCTTGCGGGCCAAGGAAGAGGCAGCCCGGCTTCTCGAGACCAAGGCACGCCTCGACCTTGCCCTTATTCTGAGGGTTTAGGGTTGAGGGTGTTCAGGGTGTTCAGGAAGGCTTGGGAGTGTAGGGGTTGGGGTTACAGCAGGGTTTAGGGTTTAGGGTTACTGCATTTTTGTGGCTGACCCAGCTCTTCCCTCCGCCTCAACTCAGCTACGCCCGAACCCCTACACCCACCTCTCTATCCCTCCCCAAAAAAGGACTCTTTGAGGTACAGTTACAATTATGGGGAGCTCTCTCTATCCCTCCCCAAAAAAGGACTCGTTGAGGTACAGTTACAATTATTTGGAGCTGTTTTCTTTTGGGGGAGAGAGGTTAAATCCAAGAGCACTGCAGTTCGAGCGCTCGACCGCGGAGCTCAACGAGGTGGTGGCCACACTCCGGCAACGTGACCAGGAGTACTTGGGCTTAGGGTCTAGGGTTTAGGGTTTAGGGTTTCGGGCTTAGGGTTTTGCCTTCTCCCTTTTGTAGGTACCTCATAGAGAGGTCTGAATACTTAGAGTCGGATTGTGGGATTGTAATTATTCCGACCCCTATATTAACTTCTTTACCATGGCATCCTGGACCCATAAACATGGGAGGGTCTCAGCCTCTGTAGCGGCTTAGGAGCCTTTTTTGCGATTTGGGTCTTGTTTTGCGGTGGCCCATCCGTAAAGTTGCAGCACGCACTCAGCCGTCAAAGGCCCTCGCAAGATCCAGGTAAACCTGGGGTTTAGGGTTTGGGGTTTAGGGTTTAGGGTTTAGGGCGTGGACACGGGAATGCGAGATACGTAGCATAGCAGTATAGCATGCAAGCGGTGCCACGGAGCCCAACCAAATCCGTCCAGGAGCTCGGAGATCGATCGGCTGAGGTGTCTTCACATGTCGCTGAGCTTCAGGACGACCGCAAAGCTGTCTCAAGATTCGCATTTCCTTTGTTTGGGGGGTGGGGGGAGGGTTCGTTATGGACGGTGAGGTCCAAAATCTCATGAGATTTTGGACGTGAGAGGTTTGAGGCAGTGTGTGTAGTGGGCGCTATCAGAAAAGCAGGCTAAACAAATTGCAAATAAACCGTGGAGCCTGCTGTGTGTACATGGCATGTAGACCCTAAACACCTAAGCCCTAAACTCTAAACTCCTGCTTGTGCATGTTTTCAGCACGCTTTGGTTCTGAATTTGGGCTGCGCAAGGGGTAGCAAAGGATCCCCCCCCCCCCCCGCCAAAACCTGGGCACGGCAAGGACCTGCGGCAACGCCACGCTGAGGCTGAGGCCGGCCCTCTTCGGGGCAGGGTCTAACAAGTAGTGAATGCAGGTGCTTCTTTACAGAATGCTTTGTTCCCGGTTCTCTTGACTTGCCATGTGGTTATCCGGGATTCGGGTGGGCTGAGCAGTCCCGGGCAGGGGTTGTTGGAGCCTTCCGATCCCAAACCCTTGAACTTACACTCTGAGCCCGAGTGCGTCCCTTACCCAGCAAAGCCTGCCCACTGCCCACCATAGCAGTCGAGTAAGTATTCTTAGCAGCTGAATGAGCACACTTTACACTTCTTCGGATACTATAATCCCCTATGTACACTTTTTGCGGGGCGTGTGAACTCAGTAGCTAAGTATTTTAGGGCTCAACGTCATCTTGGTGCGGTTGAAAGGCGAACCTCTAATTCCACCTGCCAGCTACCAAGGCCCTACAAGCTCCTAGCCCCCGAAACCCGAAACCCGAAACCCTAAACCCTAAACCCTAAACCCTAAACCCTAGACCCTAGACCCTAGACCCTAAGCCCTGAACCCTGAACCCTGAACCCTAAACCCTGAACGAACCCTACCGAACCCTAAGCCCGAAATAAACACCCTGCAAGCCCCACCGAACCCCACAGCGGAGGCGGAGAGTGAGCGCCGACGCCTGGACTTGGAGCAAGGCTGGGGTACTGCTTACTACTATTTGCGTAAGAGCCCCCCAAAATATGAAAGAAACAATCTCCTTACTACCCTTATAGTCTTATAGGGAAGATGGGGAAGAACATTGTTGTGTTAAACCCTAAACCCTAAACCCTAAACCCTAAACCCTAAACCCTAAACCCTAAACCCTAAACCTGAAGGCCGCGCGGGTTCGGCGCGGGAGCTCTCTTCCAAGGACGCCGAGCTTGCGAAGCTCCGTGACGAGGCGCAGATGTTCATGAGGGTTCCTAAGAATGACCCAAGAGTAGGGTTTAGGGTTTAGGGTTTAGGGTTTAGGGTTTAGGGTTTAGGGTTTAGGGTCTAGGGTCTAGGGTCTAGGGTTTAGGGTTTAGGGTTTAGCGTTTAGGGTTTATTTGTGGGTTCTACTCAGTCTATGGATCCTCCCGGGGTCTGGGCAAAGGCCCTGGCCCATTCTGCTAAACACGATGTGTCCCCTTATGCTCCAGGGCATCCAACATAAATCCCGGGCCCCTAGAGCTTGGTTCACTCGTTTTGCAAGCTTTCTCAACCCGTCAAAAGGCTTTTGAAGCCTCTGAGCAAGAGGATGTCCGATTCACCAAGCTGCGGTCTGCAGGGGTTGAGATCTCTGACGGCTGAGGGCTTTGGGTTCAAGGGCGGAGGATTACAGACTCTGTGTGCGTGTGACTGTGTGTGCGTGTGTGCGCGTTTGGGACTTGAGCTTCGGGGCATCAGTCAAGGATCGAGGATCAGGCTGTTCGAGGGCTGCGGGTTTGGGCTTTTGATTCCTGGAGCCACTGTGCTCAGGCAGGACGTCTCCAAGCACGCGAAGAGGAGCTGGCGCGGGAGGTCCAGGCCAAGGCGCAGCACGGGGAGGGCGGGGGTTCTCGGGTCTGTCTTCCTATGTTCCGACACCTCAGAAGTTAGTTCTACCTAAGTCTTGCAACCCTGCGCCAAAGTCTAAACGCCTCCAAGCCCAAGACCAGGATAAGTTCAACTGTAGCCAAGGGCTCAATTAGAGCTGGCCGTGCAACTCAACTTCGGAGGCTCCGCGGACCTAAGCCCTGAACCTCCAAGCGTGCAGGAAGTGGACTTAAAGGGACCAAAACGGGCCCACAACTTTGGATGAAGCCCCCCCCCCCACAAGAGAGCCACCTTCCCCCACCCCCTTTCCCCTGAGGCCGCCGAGCATGGCCAAGTGTCGGCCCAGCTCCACGAACGTGGCCAGGACTTGCGGGGTTTGGGCTGGGCCTTGCAAGGACATTTGGTCTTCCCTTCTGGAAGGTTTGGGTTGGGGTGGGGGGCTTCCATCTGAGATGATGGAATATAAGATAGAAACGTGATAGTGATAGCCATAGCATTTTCCGAGGCCGATGAGCTTCCTGACAAGTTTGCAGCTAGAACCCGCGCCTTGCGTGTCTTGGCCTAGGAGGGCATCGACAGCATCCTGCGTAGTTGCAGACGTCCAAGACGTCCAAGATGCATGTGCGACCACACGCCCGCAGTAATGCAGGAGCCTAAGTTCATCTAGGCCGAATCAGCCCCTCCAAGAATCCCTGTCTCTGTAAAATATGTACATGACGTACCCAAAGTACCCATTTTATTAGAACTACTTGTGACAGGAGCTCGCAGATCGCACAGCGGAGTCGCAAGCGCAGAAAGCTGAGCTGGAGGCGGTTTGGAGTAAAATAGGGGTTTATGCAAAAAGGGTGTAGGGTTTTGGGTTCAAGACCTCCAATCCAAGGGCCCATTGGGGTGTTTTGAGAACTTGTGGGCTGACGTTTTTTTTTTTTGATCGGAGGTCGATGTTCAAGATGCCCTTGTCATATAATAATATAAGAATACAATAGAATATACCTGGTAATATAATATAATATTGTATTATTATTATTATTATTATTATTATTATTATTATTATTATTGAGAGGCTTTGCAAGACGGGATTCATGGTCAACGGTTAGTGCTGTTTAGGCTTCACAGGATCTGGGAAATAGTGCTAGGAATAGTGGTTGGACAGCGTGTCGCATCACGGTTTGCGTCCTGCGTAGGTCTCGGGGGTTTGTAGATTCTACACACTGCTTCCTACGGACTCAACCGGCAAAATTCGCTATGGATTGCTTGGCTTTTGCTTGCTCATTACCAATATACGTATGGATGTTCCCAAAAGTGGCGTGCTCTAAGCTTGGGTAAGGAGGCACGTTGGAACCCCCCGCGACACATACCCCAAAACATACCCCTGAATCATTGCCCGAAACATACCCGCGAAACATACCCGAAACAAACCCCCCCAAAAATACCATGCTGCAATAAGCATTATTCCCACACAGCAAAGCCGCGAAACATACCCCGATACATACCCGCAAAACATATCCCGAAACGTACCCCGAAATATACCGACGAAACATGCCCCCGGTCTCAACCCGATTTTTGAGACGCGGGTTTGCCGGAAAGACCCGTATAGCGCAAAGTTTTTTTTTAAATACCAACCTGAGCAGCCCCACACAAATTGTGTGGGGAATGGCCACAGGCCAGAGAGCTAGTTGCACTGGTCCTTGGTAGACTTTTCGGCAGATCGCTGCGCCCAAACCTACCCTCAAAAAGCCAAGCCTCAATGTACCACATATTTGTCACTGGAAGGCCCCCCCAAAGATTATGAGTCCAGCAGGCAAACACAGATCTGCGAATCTCGAACGCCTTCTACGCCAAGACGAATTAACAGTAGAAGCTGAGCAATGCATGCAAGGAAGGTCACTGCCCTTATTCCTCAAGGCATCATGTGCTTGTGACCGACGGGGCACAAGCACGCTCAGATGATTCTCCACCCCTTGCGAACTTGCCTGCAAGAAAAAACCACCAATGTCGCGTCGATGATGACAGGACCTCCGGCAGAAACATGCGGCGCTGGAGGAGGGAGAGGGTGGAGGGGTAAGGCAGGGGTTTCATATTGGCTTCGAGTGGCGCTGATCCGTTGAAGGGGGCTTTGAGACCTTTGGAGCATTAGACTTCGGTGATTTCAGGGTTTGGGCTTTGGGGGGGTTTGGCGCCGTAGTTTGAGGGGTCCACTACGGGTTTCTTCCCGTGTGTTTACTTGCGTGCGAATCATGACTTACACTGCAGCCATTCCGTCCTATGGGGCCCAGACCTACGTTTGGGCTGGGTTATGGTGGGCTCCTCGTTCTGAGGCTAAGGTTGCAGCCTGGTGCAGTCAGATAAGAGGCCTTTATTATGAGAGTAGGTATCTTGCATCTTGCATTGGGTAGTTTATCTCAGAATCTTGGAGTTTAAAAGGATTGTAAGGGCATAGTATTGGCAATGATTTAGTCTCCTGTATTGTAGTTTTTCGCGGTTGCATCGTTTGTTTACCGGTGGCTTCTGGGCAGTGTGTGGGAGTCGAGAGTGGAGGTTTGGCTTTGCTTGCCGCTTCCAGGATTTCAAGACGTTGTCTTAAACAGTCCTCAAACTTACACGGTCGGACAATGCGAACCGAACCTCAAGCCCCTAAGCCTAAGCGATTCAATTCAATCCACTCCCTGTGTTGGGGCGCCCTGAACCAAAGAAACATCAGACCCCAGGAGCCATCAACCCAGCCCCAATACAAAGGGTTTAGGGTTTCGGGTTTAGGGTTTAGGATTTAGGGTTTAGGGTTTAGGGTTTAGGATATAGGGTCCCTAAACCCTCAACCCAGTCTGCTGGCAAGGCGCATCGCTCGCAGCTGGCGAGCGAGAGTGAGCAGCTGCGCCTGGACCTGGCAAGAGGCCCACGTCAAAGCCGTCTTGAAGGTTCATGGGTAGTTAGAAGTAGTGTTATGATGTAAGTACCCTAAGCAAGAACCAGCTAGAGCTGTAGTTACCCTAGTTGTAACCCCACTGACAGCTACCCATGAACCTCCAAGTTTTAGACGGTTCTTAAGGGAGGAGGAGTTCAAAGGGGGTATGTAACCCAGGGTTCCCGAATACTCCCGACTACTCCCTCAGGCTCCGGACGTCGGGTTTGGGGTTCCGGGGCTTGGGCGTTGGGCTTGACCTTAAGGGCCGAACTCAGCAACACCATCTACATGGACCTTCAAACCGCCCTAGGGTTCAACCCGCTTGACTTGGAGGTTCATGGGTTATAAGTGGGGTTCGAAGAAAGGGGAACTAGAACTAGAACTGGTTATACCCCTATTTAGGATACTTAGAAGCTTATCTGGGGTTTATCCAGCTGCCCATGAACCTTATCACCTTATTTAGGATACTTAGAACCTTATACCTTATTTAAGATACTTAAAACCTTCTTCCTTTTTTTGGATACTTAGCACCTTCTTTAGGGTGCTTAGAACTGCCCATGAACCTTCAAGTAGGGCTCTAAACCCTAAACCCTAAACCCTAAACCCTAAACCCTAAACCCTAAACCCTAAACCTTAAACCCTAAACCCTAAACCCAAAGTAGGGCTCCGATGGCCAGGCCAGGAGCGATCCACCCAGGAGCTTGCGGCGAAGGAGGCGCAGCTCGCCTTGCTGCGAACGGAGGCGGGGGATTTAGGGTTTAGGGTTTAGGGTTGGGGTTTAGGGTTTAGGGTTTAGGGTTTAGGGTTTAGGGTTTAGGGTTTAGGGTTTAGGGTTTAGGGTTTAGGGTGTAGGGTGTAGGGTGTAGGGTTTAGGGTGTAGGGTGTAGGGTGTAGGGTGTAGGGTGTAGGGTGTAGGGTGTAGGGTGTAGGGTGTAGGTTAGGGTTTAGGGTTTAGGGTGTAGTGTTGTGGTTTAGGGTTTAGGGTGTGGGGTGTAGGGTTTAGGGTTTAGGGTTTAGGGTTTAGGGTTTGTCAAGTTGAGGGGCTTGGGGTCTAACTTAGAGGGCACTTCGGGTTCACTACTGTATTTCTCATGAGGAGTGTCGTGCCCAGTGGTACCCTTTTTTCTTTTTTTGAGCCAAATCGCTGGTCTTGCGCCCCATGCAAACTTTCAAACACCCACATCCCAAGCCCTAAACCCTAAACGCTGCCGGCACAGGCCAGTCAGAGCCAGGAGTCCGCGAGAGCTGAGCTTGGCGACCGCGAGCGGCAACTGCAGGTGCGACGCAGGGTTTAGGGTTTATAGGGTTTAGGGTTCAATTGCCTGGGGCTTCGGAGAGTTTAGGGTTTCTAAGGTTGTACCCTAGAGGTTCTCCTGAATGTACTCCGAATATGGCCCTTATACGGGTCCAAGGTGCAACTCATGCGGGTGTGCAGAGTTCTTGTAGCGTGCTTGACCGTGCGCGGGGCGGGGCGCAGGCTGAGAGGTCTGTGTACAGCTTGACATGCTCCGAAGCTGGCCTGCAGGAGTCCCTTATGGTCCCTTCACACTTTTACTAGAACAACCACCCCCCCATATTCTAATTATTCAGGCCCCCATATTGCGCTATCATTATCCTATCATGCTTTGCATGACTTGTCTTGGTTTTTCAAGGGGCACGTGGTACGAGGAGGTGGGTGAGTGCCAACCACCTGGTTTGGCCACGGCGTTAAAATCCTCTTCCTTTCCCAGCCAAACCCAAAAGCCGCATTGCAGAAAGGTGCCAAGGCAAATAAACCGCGTTGCAACCTTGCGGTGGGGTTGCGAGGCTGCTAGGCAGCTGGCAAAACGACCCAAGCCCCGCAGGTGCATGAAGACCCTGTAGTGTGGCAGTGTGGCTGGTCTGCTTGGCTATTACTTGCTTAAGAATCCACCACGAAATCAAGAATGCCATCTGATTATCTTGATTTTTCGGTGGTTTTTTAGGCAAATAGTGGGTAGCAACAGAAACCTGCGCCCCCTGAACCCTAAATCCCAAAAATCCCCAAGAAAGAACCCCTCGACCCTGAACCCCAAACGCCAAAAAGCCCTAGACCCTATACCCTGAACAATAGACCCCAAACCCTGAACAACCCTAAACCCTATTTATAAACCCTAAACCCTAAACCCTAAGCCAAAGCTCCTTCTAGGAGGCGCGCGAGGGAGCAGAGGCCGACCGAGCGGCGCTCCACCGGGAGAAAGAAGCCCTCCAGGTGGCTTCCCCCTTTTTTTGGGGGGGGGGGTTTAGGGTTTAGGGTTGAGGGTTGAGGGTTTAGGGTTTAGGGTTTAGGGCTTAGGGCTTAGGGCTTAGGGTTTAGGGTTTAGGGTGGGGGGGGGTGTGGGGGGAAGCAGGCTTTAGGGGTTTAGGGTTTGGGGGTTCAGGGGTTTAGGGTTTCAATCTGCCAAGAGTCCTGGACGCAAAAGGCTTCAGGATAGCAGCCTTGGTGCCTCGGTTTTTGCGGCGAAGAACTTGTCGAGACCCCTCTGCCGGCAAAAAGTGCTCGTCGGGACCTAAGCCCCAGAAGCCAGCAGAAGCCTTACCCTAAACCCCCCCAAGAGTCACCATAGGGTAGAAGTTGTATTGGCCCGGGCAGTCACGCCACAGTAAGCCGTTGACGTATAGGCCTAAATCCTAAACCCTAAACCCCCGAAACCCCCTAAACCATTTACAGTGAAGCCCAACATCGGCTCAGGAGCAGCTGAACCAGAGGGCAGCCACTGCAGCCGCGGAAGCAGAGAGATGCATGACTCAACGTGGTTTAGGATCCATCCTTCTTAGGGTTCAGGGATGTTGGGCTAAGGGCATAAGGGTGCAAGGGTGTGTTTTAGGCCAGGTGTGGGGCTTCTTATGTTCGGAATGGGACTTGAAGATATTCACTTGAAAACAGAGGCTTCAGGGGGATAAGGGTTTAAGGGTTTAGGGGCTTCGGCCTGGAGTCGACAAAAAAACACGTACTAAAGCTGTAGAGAGTGCAAACGAAGGAAAGTACAAGTGAATGAAATGAATGCGTGGAACTAGTGGGTGAACGAACGAAACGAGCGATCGTATTTCGTATTCTTCATTCGCTGTGTCGTTCCTTCCATTCTTTTCCAACATAGAAACCGTGTCTTCGTTCGCGAGTTCTTGTCTCTTGAGTTGACTTCGTGAGATCGCCCCAAAGGTTCGCAGGGTCCTAAACCCCTAAACTCATCCCTGAGCTTCTGAGAGCTCTACTCGTCCCAGAAACTGGGCTACCTTATTCGGGTCCCCCTTCTACTAATAACCCTAAGAACCCTAAGAACCCTTAAAACCCTTTAAACCTATAAAACGCCAAAAACTAAAAACACCCCCCCCATTTTAAGGGAATCTTACTACTTGGGATCCGAAATTTTGTGGGCTCGCTCGATGTTCGTAAGACCCAGGACTGGAAGCCGACAAGGCGCAGCTGTCGTCTCTTCTGGAGGCTAGGGGAGATGCGGGTTTAGGGTTTAGGGAGTTTAGGGTTTAGGGTTTAGGGCTTCGAGGGACATCGTGGGGTACATCGGGTTCAGGCCAAAGGGTTTAGGGTCAAAAGGGACTGGAAGGGCCAGGGTGAGGTTGCAGGGGTGAAGGATTCAGAAGTGGCGGTACTAGGGCTTGAGGCTCCGGTTGAGCATGTGAAAAACGCCCCGCTTGACTATAAGTTACCTCTATAGGGGTTCATATAGGGGAGTAAGATTAAGGGTCCCTTCTAGGGGTCCCTCCTTATAACCCGCAAGCACATGGCTTGCGCCCCAGGACGTGCAGGCCGAGTGCGATCGGAAGTTGGACGAGGACCGAAGCTCTTGAGTGCATAATATAGGGGTTGGAACAATTACGAATAGTTTTCCTTATGGCCCCTATAGAATTCTAGTACAATCACCCCCCCCAAAACCATATTCTAACTACTACCAAGGCCCCCTTTTATTAGCTCTTCTGCTGTGGGTTTCGGGGGCCCCTTGTGAGTTAGGATTCGTGCCTCCGCAAAGAGCAGCCCCTGTGAGGAGAACATGCAGAGCTCCAGTGGCAGCCTCGAATTGGCGATTGCGCGCTCGAAATCTGCAGCGACACCCAGCCCCCCCCTCCCCCCTCCTAAACGCCCAAATCCTCAACCTCCAGAATGGTCAATCAAACAGCACACGCCTTCACCCGAAATCTGGCCTCAGAGATCTTGTCCCGTTGGGCTTGCCACGGCTCTGAAGCGCATCATCAACGCCCTGAGCCCTGAACTTCCTCTGCGTGGTGCGAAGACGTGAGCATTTGAACCTACTATTCGCTTGAGAACCCCAAACAATAAAAACATATTCTTCCTTATAAGCGTAACATAGGGACTATACTTTTATGTTTTTACTTTTTTTTGGGGGGTTCTGAAGCACATCGCAAGAACATGTGCATGTGAACGACGCAAACGCTGCTTCGCAGTTCTGCTTTCTGCCAAGAAGCCGATCATTACATGTCTTAAGGGAGACCCTTACAGGGGAGCCCTTCTTAACCCTCTTCTGGCCCTCTTAAAGACCTTATTCAGAGGGTCGATATCCCCAGGGGTCCCCCTAATCCTATCCCCTAATTTCAGCACTCCCTGCGATCTCGAGCACTCCTTAAACTCGGTGGGCCTTCGGGCTGCGGGTGGCCCGAAGGCGCCAAAACCGTCTGATTCCATGAGTCCTCCCCGAGCTTATCAGACTGCAAGCCCCAAACCCCAAACCCCAAACCCTAAACCCTAAACCTCTTTTAGTGTGAGAGTCGACACCCCAAAAGGCCCTCCTTGAACCCCAAGAAGCCGCCGCCACCAGAAAGGGCCGCAGCCCCGAGGTCGGATCTCGCAGCTCGCTGAAGACTTCGACGGGCGCTTAGCCATGGGGACCTTGGGGGGGGACGAAGTGAACCCTAAAAGGGTTTGTGGTTCATGTAACTTTAATCAGGATTATTGTAGTATCCCTAACAGGGCTTGTGGTTCATGTACTTTAAGAAGGGCTATAGTAGTACCCCTAAAAGGGTTTATGGTTCACGTGCGTTAATGGGTATAGTAGTATAGGGTATATGACCCTAATTTTAGGGTTTATTTGGTCGTCAAGATTGGGGAGGGGTGAAAAGGGGAGGGGTGAAAAGGAACTTTAAAAGCTACACAGACTTCGGGGCTTTTTGTGGTCTAGGGTTTGGGTTTTAGGGTTTGGGGTTTAGGGTTTAGGGTTTGAAGGTCTCGGGATGTTTCGGGGGTTTCCCCACCTAAGGTCCCCGTGACTAGGAAGACGGCTCCAGTAGAGGGCGGGCATAGCTTGCAGGAGTTTGTCCTGGCTTCCTTGTCAAAACTTAAACCCTCAGTCCATTAAGCGGAGGGGCTCAGCACAAGCACAAATCACGAACAACAGTGGCCTCAAGCCGCAAAAAACGCCTGTCCCGTCACAGAACTCAGGCAACTCCCCCCAAGACCAAGAAAACCCTAAAACCCCTAAAGCCTAAACCCTAAACCCTAAAACCCCCAAAGCCCTGACCTCTCCTGCATGCCTCCAAGCCCGGGCCCCCACTCTGGCGGGGGGCCTCTGGGCTTGGGGTACAGGTTTTTTTTTTGGCGGCCCTTTGGAGCTCTTACGAACCTCAGGGCGTTTAGGGTTTAGGGTTTGGGGTTTGGGGTTTAGGGTTTAGGGTCTAGGGTTTATTTTGAACCATGTGTAGGCTACCTACTCTACGAACCTTGTAGAGCTGACCGTCGGGGACCACAATGTGTTTAATGAGTCTTTTTGGGGGGAAGCTAGGGCCCCTAAATCCTAAACCCTAAACCCTAAACCCTAAACCCTAAACCCTAAACCCTAAACCCTGCTCGCACCTTCAAAATCCCAAGTGGCGACCGGGCCGCGGAGGGATGGGGAGCCCAGCACCCCGAGATATCAACCCCGCCCCAAGCAAAGAAAGTCTGAGGCTCAGCCAGCGTTTAGGGTTTAGGGTTTAGGGTTTAGGGTCTAGGGTTTAGGGTTTAGGGTTTAGGGTTTAGGGTTTAGGGTAGGCTGCAGTTTGGGAGCCCGGACGCAAACAGAAAGGTCTTAATTTGTGAGCTTTCGGCATTCGAAGGCCCGTAATCCCTACGCAATCCTACAGACCCATGACTTGTCCTTTTTTGTGTAGGCAGGCCCTTGAAACATCTTTTTTCCCTTGTTGGGTTGAAGAGGCTCCTATGTTAGGAATATTTTTAGGGGGGCTCTTAGGGCCATCCTAGCTTTGTAGTCAGGAGTTAGGACACTGCGAATCAAGTACAGGAGCCATAGAGGCCCTGCCCCTGGCTCTGGGTGCCATGGGTGCAATGGGTGCCATGGGTGCTCCTGCCGGACATGGGAAAAGATGGGGTGCTCGCGCATACCCTAAGCCCCTTGTTGCAGCAGGCTTGGAAGGGTACGCCCGGACATGTTCAGGCCATACCCTAAACCCTAAACCCTACTCTGCTGGGTTTGAGGGCTTCAAGGGCTCGTGGGGCTGATTGCGCAGTTCTGATGCAGTTGATGGGGGGTTGAAGGGAGCTAAAGGGGCTCAGGGTTGTTGAAGCTTTGTGGGTTGGCTTGGGGGACAGGGTTTAGGGTTTAGGGTCTAGGGTGCAGAGTTTAGAGTTTAGAGTTAGGTTTCGGAGAACTTTTGTGGGACCCCTTCGGGGTTGAAGGCGCTCCAGGCTTCGCGCTGGGGTGCAGTAGCCCCGGAGGAAATCCTCAACAGCCTGTGTCTCGCGAGAGAGCTGTGAGAACCCTAAACCATGGAGCGGTCCTGAGCCAGAACGCCTCAAACCAAAGTCACACTAAACCCTAAACCCTAAACCCTAAACCCTAAACCCTAAACCCTAAACCCTAAACCCTAAACCCTAAACCCTAAACCCTAAACCCTAAACCCTAAACCCTAAACCGCAAGTTGGGGGCTCTGGATGTGGGGCAGGGACCCGGGGAGGTTTAGAGGGCAAACCTAAGCTCCATTAAATAAGGCTTCAGGGACTTATAGGGAGGCAACAATGGGGGCGTATGGGGTTTAGGGCTCAGGGTTAGGGGCCTGATGATTTAGGGTTTAAGGTTTAGGGTAGGGTTTAGGGTTTAGGGCCCAAAAGGATCCTGTATGCAAGGAGTTCAGTTGCAAAAGGGCCCCAACAGCCGCCTCAGCAGGAGCTGGAGACGGAATGCTTATCAAATTTAGGGTTCAGAGGCTTGGAACCAAGCGAAAGCGAACCCAACTGGCAGAGCATTTACCCCCTTAGGTTTGGGGTCGAGCTCCCTCGCTCCTTGGGGATCGAGACTTGGAGGGGCACCGCGGCTAAGGAAAAGCAGCTGGCGGCGAAAGAGGAGAAGGCGGATTGCATGCGCTGAGGGTCAGGGGGACAACAGGTCCTCACAGGACTTCCCACGGCCATACCGAGCCGAGCCCCTAAAGGCCCCAAAGCCCAAGCTGCGCAGATCGCGTCCCTCCACCGCGACCTTGAGAGCCAGGCGAAAGCAGTGGAGCAGGCGCGGGAGTGGGTGGGTGGGTGGTTGGTGGGGGGGGGCCTCTTAAGATGAGGGGAAGGTTAATTATGGTTTCGGGTTTCGGGTCCCAGCATTTTGCAAGGGGTATCAAGGAAGAGCTGCAGACGGTCGTCCTGTATTCACTGTTTGAGCTGGGGGTTTTCGAAAATAGGGGACCCCTAATATTGACCCCAATTGGTAGGATTCGCTTACAACAAGGACCCCAATAAGGTACCCCTAATTTCGGAGGCCCCCATTTGTTTTTTTCGCCCACCCCACAGGAGAAGGCAGAATTGCTAAGCAAGCTTGCCGACGTGGAGGCCGATGGACTCCAGCATACGGATGGATTCATGGGGTGGGGATTTCAAACTCGCGGCACACGGGGGCTTACCACCCTATACCAGAACCCTAAACCTTTGGGAGTGATTAGGACGCATTGGTCGTGTTCCGAGAGTGGGTTGGTTTCACCTCATGCCTTACTGGGCAATGCTGAAAGGGTACGTGGCCTGGCCTGCCAGTGATGTTGGAGTGCAGACTGCGATGAGCACAACTTTTTGGGTCCCTATTCCCGTACAGCATATTCCTCACTTTCTAGGATGCTGTACCAAAAAGTCCCGGAACGGAGAGTGAGAAGCCAACAGGGTGCAGCAAATCCGAAAGAGCCTCGGGCCTATCATGTCCATGGGGCTCGTTCTAAGGAGGCTGCTTTGAGTTGAAGATTCGTCTTTGGCGCCCAACAACCTGCGACTTTCAGTGTCCAACCCTACCATGCTTGGAAACACTAAACCGCATTAACGTACTCTTCGGCGGTTGGTGGCCGGTGTACGGTTTCACTAGACGGTTTGAGGTGCCTGGTCCTTTCTGTTGCCACGGGGAATAATCCAGGTGACTTTTAATTTTGCTGACAGATGTTTCAGTCCACGATCTGCCATCGCACGATTCGGGGTTCTTCAAGCTGGTCGAGTGATACTCTGCAGAGAGCTGCTGCAGTTTTGGAAGCTCTGACTATCGTTACCCTAGACCCTAAACTGTTTGGAACGATACAGAGAACATTAGCATGGCCCGTGCGCAAGGATGCGCGAAGTGCACCAAGGCAGAAAAAACCAAGCATGAAAGCCTGAACCTCTAAAGCCCCAGGCCCACACCCTGAAGCCCCAAGCTCTAAACCCGAACCCTCAACCCTAATCCCTAAACCCCAAAGCTCTGAAGCCCTAAACCCTAAACCCTAAACCCCAAAAACCCGAAGCCCCTGTAAGGGTGCGAAGGAAGTCTCCTCCTGTCGCGCAGGTCGCTTACGAGCAGAAGCTGGCCACCCAGGAGACCCCCCCCCCCCCCCCACACACGATCCCACTCTGTATATACATATGGGTTTACGGTTTAGGGTCTAGAGCTTAGGATTTAGGGTTTAGGGTGTAGGGTTTCGGGCTACTTACCTGGGGGTTTCAGATTTATAAGGGAACTCTACTTTTCGTATATGGGTAGTTGGAACACGGGCGGTAGATCGGCAATCTATGGCCTGTCCGCGAGGCTTCCGGCATTTCAGGGCTTTTGGGGGGTGGGGGATAAGAACGCCATTCATATTGCGTCCATGCCAAAAACACTGGTATTTGCAGCGTTTTCGCCTCTTTGTACAACATATGCAAGGATGTGGAACAAGAAAATCTGTCACAAGCGTCCATGCCTTTCGCGACCATGCCCAAAACACTGGTATTTACAGCGCTTTATGCCCAAAACACTGGTATTTGCAGCATTTTCGCCTCTTTGTACAACAGACTGTGCAAGGATGTGGAACAAGAAGTGGATGTATAGAAGCCATCTCGGGTCTTGCACTCCTATGCAGTTCTTGCAGCATTTGTGCAAAGTACCCTGATCCTCCCAGCAGGGAATGCCAGGACAGAAAAAAGTCGACGCTAAAGTCCGATGTCAATTAACCCCAAAGGAGGAATCCTGCCAACACCCAGGTAAAACGTACGTTTCGGTACACTCAAACCACGGCAATCTATGGCCGTTCCGGGTAGTTTCCTAACTTAGGGTCCCCTTTTGGATACCCAGTAGCAGGCGGCACCCTTCTAAAAGGGGCCACCTGCACTAAGCATGCTTGAGTGGCTGCATGGCCCTGAGACTTGACGTCCGAAGCCCTGAAGCCTCAAACACCCCAAACCCTAAAACCCCAGAAACACTCAAACCCCAAAATCCCAGAAAACCTAAAACCCCAGAAACACTCAAAGTCCAGAAACCCTAAAACCCTAAAAAGTTAAAACCCTAAAGGCTTAAAAGCCTAAAACCCAAAAACACCCAAAGCCCAGCGCCAGGAAGAGAGGTCCAACTACTCAGCGGCGCCCTGAGCCGATGCACAGGGAAGTGCGGGCAGGGGAGCAGATTCTTGAGGGCATTTCGGGAATTTAGGGTATTTAGGGTGTGCAGGGTATTTGGGTATTTGGCAGGTTTTTCTTGGGGCTCACTGCTTGCTGTTTTTTTCCAATTACATGGGAGCGTGCCAGTGTTGTATAGTCTTGCATCTATCCATTTTTATCGGTCTATCTATCTTTGCATATGTATGTGTATATATATATATGTATACACAGAGACTTTTTTCGATGGAATATGAACCTCCTATTGAGCCCCCCAAGTCCCTGCTCTGCTTGGGTTCATGATGCTCGCCTGTGCCCTAAGCCCTAAACCCTACACCCTAAACCCTAAACCCCAAACCCTAAGCCATCGATGCCCCAGCTCCTGCACCATCGTCCCCGCGCCCAGATGGCTGAGCTGAAGAGCGAGTTCAAGCAGGAGTTTGGGGTTGAAAAGGTTTGGGGGTGTTGGAGGTCAAAGCTGCGGGGTTCAGAGAGTCTCTCTCTCTCTCTCTAGTCCTCTCTCTCACTGTCTCTCTCCTCCGCCATGGAAGTTTTGTCGGTTTGAGGCTCTTGTGAGCAGCCATGGATGTACACTGAAAGCCCCCACAGGTTTATCTTAAGGGAGGGGGTTCAAGAATGTTCAAGGGGTTATGTAACCCTAGAACCAAACACACGCTGGCCAGGAGGCTTTGCACCAGAGGGCCCTGCACGACGAAGAGCTCGCCAGGTTAACCGACAGGCGGCAGCGGGTGCTTGGGACCAGGGTTGCCCGGTTGCCCTAACCCTAAACCCTAAACCCTAAACCCTAAACCCTAAACCCTAAACCCCAAACCCTAAACCCTAAGCCTGGGCCTTGAACCCTGAACCCTAAACCCTAGACCCAGAACCCTATGGGTTTGCAGGGGCTTTGGCCACCCTCGACCCCGAACCTCAGCAGTTAAAGCCCCCTCAGTTGAACTCTTGAGATCGATAGGCCCCAAGCCCTAAACCCGAAACCCCAAGCCCTAAACCCTAAACCCCAAGCCCTAAACCCTAAACCCTAAACCCAACTTCATGTAGCTTCATGTAGGTATGAACCCTTGAGTCCAGCGATCCTTCTCCCAGAGGCTGCAGCAGCAAGAAGCAGGCGAGAGCCGGGATCAGGGGTTTCAGGGTTCAGGGTTTAGGGTTTAGGGTTTAGGGTTTAGGGTGCTTCACAGGGCTTAGGATTCAGGGCAAAAAGGGCATCTGTTGGGATGTTCCCCCCTTATGAAAACAGCTCCTTAATCGGGATTATAGAAGGGGAATATCCCAAGGCATCCTGCCTAAGCTTACAGCCGTTGCGAGCTTGTGGACTCTTGCACGGCAGGGTTCGAAGAGGCCTTGTTGCAACAAGGGGTTTAGGGTTTAGGGTTACCCCTCCCAGCCCAGATGGAACAACAAGGCGCCTTGGGTTGAAGAGGATGAGCACAAAGTCAACGAGGTTTATGGGGCTAAGGGGTTGGAGTGGCATGGAGTATGCCAGTTGATATCTGATAGGTAACCTTTTAGGTACTGCCTGTATATTTCGAAAGGTTGCCTGCCCGCTTAACCCAAGTCTCAAAGTCGTGGCCGGCAGCCTCCCTCCTACCCCTATACTCCAAGCTGCAAATCCTTAGCCGCCCAAAAGTCCCAAAACCCGAAGCCCTGAGCATGACCTAACTCCCCGCGATAGCATATAAGAGCCCTAAGCCCATTCAGTCGGGTTGTAGGGTTTTGGGTTCAGTTGGTTTTCGGGATCCGTGGCTGCACCATCCGGTGTCTGCGAGGTCTCGTCGCCAAGGACAAGGAGGCACCTGCAATGTCAAGCACGCGTGCACCCAGGGCTTATTCTCCAGAATCCCCCAAACCCTAAACTCTAGCAGTGGGGGACCCTTATTCTGGTTAGGGCCTCTTTGAAGCATCCCATCGTAGAAATTGGCGCCATAGCACCCTAGCACCCTGTCACAAAGCGCGGAAGCAACATCCCTGGCTTACGTAGGGCGGGGGTCCTGGAGTGCCTAGAAGCAAGACTTGGGATCCGATACCTCTTTCAAGAGCTACGGTTTGGACCCCAAAACTGAAGCTGCCGGGAAAGCTTGCCCCGACCAATGCCCTTCAGGCGGCAGAGAGAATGAGCAAGCTCCAGGAGAGACGGGCAGGGCTCTGGGGATGTTGGCTCGGGCAAGCAAGCCCCGACCCTCGAAGCACGCTGAGTTGGGTATTTCGGGGCTCATTGCAAGAGTGTTAGCACTGTAAATACTAGGGTGCTTTAGGGCACAGACCCCAAGCTCTCAACCCGAAAATTGGGGTTGGCATCATCAGCCTCCAAAGGCCCGCGCCTTCAGGAGTCGCAGCTTCTCTGAAGAGAGCGGGGGAGAGAGGGCAAAACCTCGGCGCTGAATGCCGAGCAACTCATCGGGCTTGCCAAGTCGCACAAGCGCACCAAACCCTCAACTCAGTGCCGAGTGCTTAGGACTACGGACTCCCAAGACCTTCAACCCTACTTAGTAACTTAGTAGCTGAGTGAGCACACTTTACACTCTTTGGGATACTACAATCCCCTATTGAACTGAAAGTGTACACCTTTTTTTGGGGGGTATGAACTCAGCAACTAATCCTAAATATAAAGCTCAGTGGCGCTTCGGGGTCCGAGGAGCCACTGCGCGCGCTTGGCTTAAGAACCCAAAGGCCTCCTTTTCTGTCACTGTAGGGTTCTTAGTGAAAAAGCCCCTCATAGGATTCTTTGGTAACCTACCAAAAAGTAAGAGTTTCAGGTCCAGGTGTCCCAAGAAGCCTGAACTCCCGAAAGAAACAAAGAAACAAAGCCCTCGAAACTTTTCCCCCCCCCCCCCCCCCAACTTCTTGTCATCGCCAAGTGGCCCAGCCTGGGCTCGGGGCCCGGGATGAACTGAACAGGCTGGTTTAGGGTTTTAAGGGTTGTTTAGGGCTTAGGGTTTAGGGTTTTTAGGGGGTTCCTAGGCCTACCGTGCTCCAAGAACATGCCACAAGGTGTACTCTACTTGAAGGTCCATTGGAGTTATAAGTAGGCTTAGAAGTACCCTAAATAAGGTTATAAACACTTATAGTCATATCTAGCCTACTTACAGCCCCATTTTTACCTACCCATGAACCTCCAAGTAGCTTAAACCCTAAACCCTAGACCCTAAACGGGAAGAGATGCCAATTCCAGGAGGAACGGGACCAGATGTCCAGGCCGGCCGTGGCTTTAAGGGTTTAGGGCTTAGGGTTTAGGGCTTAGGGTTTAGAGATGCGGTTGCGAGATCCTGGCCCGAAACACGCCCGGAATGCCTTGCAACTCCAGGCAAAGAACAGGCAGATGCACCTTCTTCGCCCAAGTTCCCTTGGGCCGAATTTCTGCTACACTTCGGCCTGGTCGAAAGAGTACGAAGGTTCCACTGAAGCCCAAGCCCAAATCCTGCAACAACCCGCGCAGGCGCTTGGAGGAGCGCCTGCAGAGCCGGGAAGACGAATTCCGGCGCCAGGCAAGGTGGGGCTCGCTACTTGACTACGAGTTGCTTAAGACCCCCCCTCCACCCCCCCCCCCCCCAAAAAAAAAATAGCAATCCCCTCATTACCCTTAGAGGGAAGAATGTTTTGCTTAAGTATATTTTGGGTGGCTCTTAAGCAAACGGTAGTCGAATTTCGCTGTGCGCCCAGAGAGCCCCCAAAGCGTAGGAGGCACCCTCAAGGCACGGCAAGCCCTAAAGGCCCCAAACATTGGGATGCTTTCCCGTATACGAACAGCTCCTTGAAAAGGATTATAATAGGGGGTACTATAATCCTATGAAGGACTGTTCGTATAAGGGGAACATCCCAACCCAAACATCTCAAACACCACTAACTCCTAAACCCTAACCCCGAACAACTGCTCCGCAGCGAAGTCCTTTCGTCCGTACAGTGCCTGCTTGCTGAGCTGGAAGTCGCGTAGAACCCACAGGGTGAGCAGAGTACCCCTTGGCTTTCAGAGTTCGTGCACAACCTGCGCAGCCTTCATTCGCTGGCATTCTGGGTCTCAAGCCTATGGCAGTAGCAGAGCGCAGTACGACATCGGCTACTCGACACGTCGATTTTGCAGGTAGTTCTTTCGCAAGGACCAGCATATAGAGAGAGAGAGAGAGATATATATATATATATATATACATATATAGGTACAGAGAGAGATATATATATATATAGGTACATGTATATATATATATATAAGTCGCAGGAAGTTTGTGATAAGTTCCAGCCGCCTCAGCACTAGCGATCTGCAGCGGCGCAGAGGTGCTTCGTCATGGCCATGCCGCTGCGGCTTACATTGGACTCAACAAAGCACATTGAAGAAGGGGTTCAGGGTTTAGGGTTTAGGGTGCCAGGTTCAAGAGGGTTTGTTGTTTAGTGTTTAGGGTGCTTCTCGCAAGTTAAGAAAACCAACCCATCAGAAGACCATGTCTAAACGCTTCTTCAGAGACGGACATGCAGGAAAGAGCTGCTGAAGGCACAGGCTTGCGGCACTAGAGCGTTATAGGATGAAGTGGGACACGGCACCTTGTCAAAATTATGGTCCCTTTTGGATCCCTGTTTTTATACGGCACCTGTTATTCAGGGTACCCCAAAAGGGATCTTAATTTTCAGAACCACTCTAGTAGATCCTGGAAGCCTAGAAGTCTTTAGGGTTTCTGGTGTTTGTCTTCAAGGAAGATGCTGCTCCAGGCACACCGAGCTCCTTTTTTTGAGGGACCTCCTGGTGCGTCTAACCCTAAAACCTTAAAGTGGACATTTGGCCAACAACCCCTATAAGTGTGCGAAGGAGCCCTTCCTGTGGAGATGAACTAGCTAGGCCCTTGGGATATTTTATGTTTCCCTTATTGGGCTTAAGACCCTTGATATTTTCCCCATATTGGTCTTAATGGGATCCTGTGGGAACATGTTTTTAAAGGGTTTGAAGGGCCATCCTCGTGAAAGGGCCAAACAAGGCTGAACTTGCGCTTCCCGCTTGGTTTAGGGTTTAGGGTTTAGGGTTACCCTAAACCCTAAACCCTAAACCCTAAACCCTAAACCCTAAACCCTAAACCCTAAACCCTAAACCCTAAACCCTAAACCCTAAACCCTAAACCCTAAACCCGGCCCTCTTGGCACCAAGCTACACGGGGGCTGGGGGGTGTTTGTAACACGCGGAGTCTCGCACTAAAGAGGGTTTAGGGTTTAGGCTTTGACTGATCTTCCCCCTTATACCAACAGTCCTTAACAGGGATCATAAATGGGGGCTACTAGAATTCCTCTTAAGGACTGTGAGTATAAGGGGGAACATCCCAACTTATGAGACTTATTGTTATTTTGGGGACAGTTCTCAGGAACAACTGCCACAAGCCTCGAACCCGGGCCCGCGCAACTTAATCGCTACGGCACGTGAACATGTAAACCACCCTAGGCCCCAAACGTTACAAACTTCTAAGCAGCCAAGGGCAAACCCTAAACCCTAAACCCTAAACCCTAAACCCTAAACCCTAAACCCTAAACCCTAAACCCTAAACCCTAAACCCTAAACCCTAAACTCAGCACCGAGCGTGAACAGAGGCTCCCCGCTTTGTCGCGGTGCTGGCGTCCCGCACTCGGCACCTTGTTGAATCCTGGGAGGGCTGAGGGCTTCGGGTTTATTTAGGGTTTAGGGTTTAGGGTTTAGGGTTTAGGGTTTAGGGTTTAGGGTTAGGCCTGACACAGCGCCTGTGAGAGAGAAAGGGTGTAGGGTTCAGGGTTCTGGGCAGAGTCCATGCGTCACAGCTGTGTTTGGGGGTTACGGTAGGGCGTTGAGCTTGTATGGGAAGATAAAACGCATGATGTGAGTCGCTTTGAGGGATGCGTGTTTTGTCCTGATTGATTGAGGTACGCAGGAACCCCCCCCCCCCCACCCAGCCCAAGGGCCCAAACCCTAATGCTAGAAGCGCTAAAACCCTTCCACCAAATCACGAAAGCAAAATGTCCAAGACTATACGATTGCGTTCAATGGTGCCGTTCACACCTCCTGTGCCCAACCAAACCAAGTTCACGCCTCAAGACCCCAAACAGGGGGCGCACCTGCGAAGGTCTCCCCGACGAAGCCTAGCGAAAGATCATGATAGCGAGGGGGGGAAAAGGAGAGCGCCTGCGGGAGGAAGAGAGAAGGGTTGGATTGCGAGCACACCCTGCTCTCATGAACTTCAGCAGGCTTGCTCAAGGCGAAGCCAGAAAAAGCCCCCAGATCTCTCGAGGTTCCGGGCTCCCGCGCCTTGCCCTCGCAGCCCAACAACGCGCCTTTGGCAGCGCCGTTCCCCAGAGGCGTCGCAACGTCAGTGCCGCGCAGGTGCATGGGCTGGGCTGGGCTTTGTTCTTCGCGGGTGCATGGGCTGGACTTTATGATGGTGACGATGTTAAAGTATGAATCGACTATTTGTGTATTACCACTGTTTGTACATATACATCTGTATATATACGTATATATATATATATATATATCTATAAAGCTTTCTTGGGGGGTGGGGGAGGTGGGGTGCGGGGTTAGGGTATTGGGACTGGGATGCCCTGGTACTGCCCTTGGCTATTCTTCAGGGGCTAGGTCCTTCAAATCCCGACTAAACAAAACTGGCAATTGTTGTGAAAAGGAGTTGAACGGATCTCAAGTCAACAGTTCAGGGCCACGTCAGCCTGTTTCATGCTTTTGCGATTGCTCCAACCGCCTTGTTTTGAAATGACTGTCATCGTTGTTCTCACACCCTAAGCCTAAATCCTACCCCTGAACCTTGGGATGTCCCCCTTGTACTAGCCGTCCTTAAAGGGGATCATCGTACCCCCTATTATACGTAATCCCTATTCAGACTGTTAGTAGAAGGGGGAACATCCCAACCCGTAACCCTTCGTCCTTCACCCTAAACCCTAAACCCTAAACCCGAAAACCCTAAGCACTGCAGGTTCTGGTGGCCCAAGTAGAGGCCGCTGTGGCGAGTGGCCGGCACATCAATAAGGGCAGTCCCCTGCTCCTGGGCTCTGAACCCCCTTTATGCTAACAGCTCCGTCATAGGGATTCTAGTAGGGGGTACTATATAAGGGGGAACATCCAGGGTGTCTTCTTTCTTACGGTGGTTTCATGGTCCCTTCATATGGTTCCTTACCCGCTTGGTATGGAAGGGGTGACGGCCCATACTCAGGGCCTATGTAACCACCCTAAGAGCGTCTTCTTTGTGCAGCGGCTAATCCAGGCAAGGATGTCCCTAAACCCTAAACCCACAAACCCTAAACCCTAAACCCACAAACCCCTAACCCAGGCATCCTTGGGTGAGCGATGTTCAGCCTTGCAGGGCTTGGGGGCTTCAAGGAAATTTCTGGGGGCCAGGGTTCCACGGCCCCCCAAAATCCGAAGAATCCGAAACTTTTGCATAAGCCGCTAACACGGATCCTGTCCCTCAGCCTGGAAGTTTCAGCATTTCTGGGCTCAGAGGTACGAGAAGATCGGCGTGGAGGTGGATCGTTTGCGGTCCGAGAATGACACCGTCATTGCCAAGGACGGACTTTGGGGGTGTCTATCCTGGGACGCGAAGCTACCCCAAGCCCTTGCCAGCTTTTTTTTCTTGGGGTGTGTGTGTGTGTGTGTGGTAGGGGCGTAGACCTTGAAAGCTTGGGAAGCCGAGCTAGGCCCGCCTAGCTCCCCTTCCTGACATCTACCAAGTAGAAACCCCAACGCCGCCACGTCTCCACTACGGGGGCCCCCTTGCTAAACTAACTGTAGCTGAGGGACTTCTAACCTAACTTAGGATCCGTAGAACCCAATTTAGGGTTCTTATAACTCTACTTATAACTAGGGGCCCCTTCCTTGTATGGGATGGAGGTCGATGAACTGGACTCCTCTCGGGCAAAGCTGGTGGCGGACAGCACGGCCTTCGTCGCCGTCCCTTGCTTGCCAAACAGGTTGCCTCTCATTTCAAGGACATAGGGTGCACAGCATATGCAGTTCCACTAAAAGCGCAGGTGTTAAGATCATACAACCTTCCTTCATCGCAAGACCCTGAGTGGCAGCATTTGCGCTTGTATAACCCTAAACTCCGACGTCGGTTCCAATCTCCCGAACGCTGCAACAATCAAGCCGCACATGTTGCCAGGTTCAATCAGGCAGTGCCCTAACCCTAAACCTTCTACAAGGAGGGGCCCCCTTACTATACCAACTGTAGCTAAGGGACTGATAACCTAATTTAGGATCCTTATAACCCAAGTTAGGGTTCTTCTAAGTCTACTTATAACTAGTCCCTCCTTGTAGAGAACCCGAAGCCCTACACCCACAAGCCCACGACTCGAGGGAGTGCGCGCGGGGGAGGATGGAAGCATCTCGACTCTCCCTAGGGGGCGGGGGGGGGGGGGGGGATCTTGTTCTGTCGGGCTCGTTCAGTAGATGTTCGGTGTGGGCGTGACCTGGTTGGGCTTTTAGCTACCGGCGCTGCTGGAACCCTGAAAGCCCATAAACCTGCCCAGTATGAGCATTCTCGTACTTGGTTGACCTGGTGGTCTTGCAAGGTCCGAAAGCCGCTTGTCGTTACGTGGCGCATAACAGCATGAGCAGGGGCATTGTTTCCGAATGCTGGGGCAGCGATTCCTACTGCAATTGTTGGCTTCTGCTTGCCCGTGCTGCTTCTAACGCACTACCTGGAACTCTATTTCCCTACAGTTTAGTAGTAACTACCCCATAATTAGTAGGTAGAACCCATAAAGCTGTAGGCAAAAAAAAGGGTTCCAGGCCGACTCTGTGGTGCTCACTGGGAGCCCGTGCCTTGCACCCGAAATCGAAGGCCAAATGGTGGAGACCCTGCAAAAGATCGAGGAGTTGGATCGTCTGGGGCTCGGAGACAGGGGGGCCGATACCCTAAACCCTAAACCGCCCAACTCCCAAAACGGCAGCAGAGAATTGCAAAGCTCGGAGATACCCAACCTAAACCTGGTTGGATGAGGGTTACAGCTTTTTGCAGTTTTCGTAGCTTAAATTAAAAAAATCTAGTGGCGCCAGGCCACAGCCTGGACGCAAATTTGGATTGAGAGGTTGGAAACCTAAACCCTCAACCCTCAACCCTAAACCCTAAACCTCATTCGGGGGTGACAGGCTGGAGTCTAGTGTCGAGGTCAAATGGCGGAACTGCGGAGTCAGCAGATCCAGCAGCTCGCCTAAAAGCCCTTTTCATTTTTAGGGTTTAGGGTTTAGGGTTTAGGGTTTAGGGCTAGAGGTTGAGGGTTTAGGGTGTAGGGTGTTCAGAGCCGAGACGCGGATGTAGGAGGATTCAAGAAGCCAAGATGAGCTGTTCGGCCTTCGAGAATCCCCTCAGAACCTCCAAAACTGGCCCTTTCATGTTTTTTTATGAAAAACAACACTCCCATCCTAGTTTTTGGGCCGATGTTGCATGCCTTTCTGTGAGCTTACCAGGAACTACCTGGACATTGGTGCGCTCAAGCGGCAGCGAGTGACCATCCAGAAGAACGAGGAGGCTGGCCTGGTGGGGCTGCACTGGACGCAAACCTACCAATTGCTTAACAACCCACCAAGAAGAAAAAAGACTCTTCCTTATAAGAGTAATATAGGGATCATTGTTTTTTGTTTTTTGGCGGTTCTTAAGCAAATAGTAGAAACCCCGCAAACCCTCAGACACAACGTAGACCAAACACCAGGAGGGGCCCACACCCTATGACCTCTTACATGCCCTTCGTAGGGTTGATATGGGAGGTTCATGGCACTTAATAACCCAGTTCTACCTGTACTTCTAATCCAATTATAACACTTGAGGGGCTGATAAGTGGGTTATGCACAGTTATAATTGGGTTATAAGTACCATGAACCTCCAAGCTGTAGGTCATGGAGATCGTTTCCCAAGTCTATGAGATGATGGAGAAGGACGAGATGATTGCCGAGGCGCTTCAAGGGCAGTTTCGGGACAACCGATTCTGGCAGTTATTTGGGGGGGTTCCGAAAAAAAACGGTGTACTCAGTGTGAGGGGTCCCTGAAGGGGATTCTGTACTATTGGGGTATAAAAGGGGTACCCCTATCTTGGGAAATACCCATTTAGGCTCAGGGATACTGGGCGACTTGGGCAAGAGGAGGCGGAGGGAGCTGCTATAGTTAAATTGGGGTGCAGGGACTTGTAGGCCCCTAAACCCTAAACCCTAAACCACTCAAGCTGAAGCGCCTGAAGAATCCGGGTGCTCATTCAGGATGCAGAATTGGCGGTCACTTGCCAGCAGTTCGTGCGCGTCCCGCGTTAGGTGCAAAGATGCTGTCTTCCGTGAGGTACCTGCTTCGTCATAGCGGGGCAACGTTGTACATTTTTAAGGGTACTTAAACTCAATAAGGAATAGAATTTTGAATGCTTCATCCTATCCCAACCATGGTTTAGCCTGCAGGGTCCGCTGCTTGTCGTGTTGGATGAATGTTACCCTAAACCCTATAACCCTCAACCCTAAACTCCAGAAATGCCAGAAATCTATCATTGAGATCTCATCCTTTCCTTTGGATGTCCTGTCGGACCGGCTGATGAATTGGGATGCCGCCCTGTAGTTTCAGTACTGCTGGAGGGTGGTCCCGATGATGTGCTGGTTCACAGTGCAGTCGCGCTCAGCTGCTCAGACTCAGAGATATCCCTAAACCCTAAACCCTAAACCCTAAACCCTAAACCCTAAACCCTACACATCCCTAAGCTTCGAAGAAGCTCAGGTGGCCCTGGGCGAGAAGGTCAGCAAGCTGGAGGCGGAGTTTGACTCGCCCCCCCGGCGCGGCATTTTGGGGGGTTTAGGGTTAAGGGTTCAGGGCTTAGGGCTTAGGGTTTAGGGTTCGGGGCTTAGGGCCTAGGGCCTAGGGCCTAGGGCTTAGGGCTTAGGGCTTAGGGCTTCGGGCTCAGGGCTTAGGGCTTAGGGTTTAGGGTTTAGGGTTTAGGGTGCCCGTATGCATGTCATGCATGGGCTGAGCCCTGTATGAAGCCTCTGCAGGGTGCTGAGTCCTGGCATGAAGCAGTTTCCAGGTTTGGGGTTGGGGGTTTTGGGTTTTGGGTTTTGGTAAGTGTACAGCTTCAAATCCTGGGTAGCCTTGGGATATCTCACATGTTCCCTTATTGGGTTAAAGAGATTATATTTGGGAATGTATTTTCGAGCGTTTGATCAAGGAAGGCTGCCGGTGACTTGTAAAGTGGTTTAGGGTGGTTGGGGATGACTTGCCTACAGCTGTGTAGCACAGGTTCTCCCAGAGCATCGCAACGGCCAAGAAGGAGCTCGAGAATGTCGTTCCTGAACTGCACACACCCTGAACCCTCTTTTTAGCAGCTAGGCCGGAAAGTTGCTTCAGCCCTAAACGCCCTTCCCCTCGACCCTAGGTGCTCCTTCCCAAACTCCTTCTGCTCCTACTGAGAAGACGTAAGTTTAAGGCTTCGGGGCGGCTCATACTCCTGCAACAAATGTATCCCAGCACGATGCACTGCATTTGAGCTTAGGGTTTATCGGGTTTATCGGGTCTATAGGGGGGCTTCTAGGATTTAGTGTAGAGGCTGGAGGGTCATCCCTTGCCTCTAATCCTTCGACAGTTCCAAAGTTGACCTTTGCTTCTGCAAGTCAACCGGACGAGTCAGATTCCGGCACCCAGAATCTCAGAAGCCTCAAAGTCTAAACACCCCAGAGCAATGTAAACACCTCTGAGCATTGAACCCTCATTCCTAAACTATGTTGACTCATGTCGACCTCCTTTCGCCGGCTGCAGGTGAGCCGCGTGAAAAGCCTGGAGCTCTCTTTGCGGGCCCGGCGGGACAAGGCATCGCACGAAACCGGATTGAGAGTAGTTATTGTGTTTCGGGTAGGACACAACAAACAGAGGTTGGGATTTAGGGTGTTAAGGTTGCAGGACAAGCTTCACCCTAAACTAAACCCTTGAAAAACAAATCATTTCGGAAAACCTTCCGCCGCGTCTTCTACTACTTCAGGCATGTTGCGCGAAGGATACCTGGGGTGGCTGTCGATTGGTTTCTGGCAGGCTTGAGAATTTCGTCGTTTAGAAGGATTACCCTTTTTTACCTTTTCCCAATGGTCCATCCGCTTGAAATGCCTGTTTAACACCCCCCCCCCCGCCTTTCCCCCCTGGACAACTTAGTCCTTGTGGACCCCCCAATACCTGGTACCCCGCGCCCCCCCCCCCAAAAGGCCCTTATATCTTTCAACCTTATAAAACTGCCTACACGTCATAATTCTTGCTATTCGTCGTATTCTTATTCTATGAATATAGTACAGACAAAGTAAATAAATAAACATATATATATATATATATACATATACACATGCATTGAAGTAGGGTACGAAGCCCTAAGCAGACCTCAAACCTGCTAGAGGCTCCCAAGCCTCCCTAAGCCCACTCTAAACCCTGAAACCCGAACCCAAAACTCTAATGAAACCGAAAACAAGGAGCCGAAACCTGAAGCTTTCCCGCTAAACCCTAAACCCTAAACCCCCAAACTCCTGGCAGCTCCGAACCCCGGCCTGGAAGGCGAATCATGAGACCGACACTCTTCGGGCCAACTCGCCTCTGGGCCTTCTCAGGGGTTTATAAATAGGGTTCAGGATGAATATGGGGTTTAGGGTTTAGGGTTTAGGGTTTAGGGTTCGGGATATAAGGTCTTGCCCAGCTGACTTCAGGAGTCTGGGTTCAAAAAAGGGTTTAGCCAGTAGGCTTGTCATCAAGTCCGGTTCAAAAGGGAGTAAAAGGATCGAGGGTTTTGGGAGAGAGTCCTGGAGCAAAAGGGTTTAGAGTCTAGGGGTTACGCGAAAACCTCTCAGCAAGTAGAAGCCGACATTAGGCAGCCCCACATAAACCCTAAACCCTCATTTTGAGGGGGCTCCCTTGTGGCTTCAAGCTGGGGCAGGGCAGGGGGCGGGGGGGCTTCTGAAAGTAGGCGCCAACTTTGGATAGCCTCAGAAAAAAACCGTTCAGGCTGTAGGGTTTAGGCGGAAAGGGTTTTGGGTTTAGGGGGGTGAGGCCTGGATGCAAAAAAAGGTTTGGGGTTTAGGGTATACACAAATTTTGCGGCTGGTTGGTTTACTCGCGGCTTCAGGGCCTTGTTGGACCTTGGGAAAGTTCAGACAAGGGGTGCCTCCAGCGGGCTCGTGGCCTTGGGGGCATGGAGCGGCACAAAGGTCCTTCAAGCGGATGTCTGTGTTCCAAGATCACGGAAGCCCCTGCTGACCCAGCTAGCCCGCGTGCACCGAGGATTTCGGGACTCTACGAGGCCCGCGTGGAGCATGATTCAGATGTTGCATCAGGTTGGCCGGCTTTCGAGGTCCCTAACTCTTTGCTTTTGACCAGAAGAACCGCCCAAATTCCTGGTGCCAAAGTGCTGTGGCCAGAGATGGCCAAGACTTCTGCTTGAAAATGGACTCCCTTCAAAGTGGGTCAACGACACCAGATGAAGGTACCTAATCCACAGTTTAACGGGGACAACGCTGAGCAAAAAAACTAAACCCCAAAAACCCTAAATCCCAAAACCAAAAAACCCTAAACCCCTGTGTCATTCAAAGCTCGCAGGCTCGGATCGCAGCCTTGGCCCTTTGTGGCGCTTTACTGTAACCTTAGATCCTTAGTCTTTTTGGGTTTATTGGGTTTCCCAATAAGGCAGCTAAAAACTCAATTTTTAGCTACGCTACTAAGTGCAACCCAGGGCCGAGCTCTGAAGTACGCACTCTGCAATCCACAGCCTGCCTAGACTCAACGAGCCGAAGGGTCGGCACAGAAATTCCCTAAGGGGGTTAGGGTTTAGGGTTACTGAATCCGAAACCCTACACCCTCCACCCATGGCATGGCATCAAGCAACGAGGACCTATGGCATACCGAAGCTCTGCCTGCCTCGTGCAAGTCCCTAAACCCTAAACCCTAGACCCTAAACCCTAAACCCTAAACCCTAATGAGAGTAGGCCCGGCGCAAGAATGCGCAGCTCACGCGGTATCGGATCCAGCACCTTGTCGGCTCCAAGGGCACTTTCTTCTGCATTTCGGGCGCGCCCGTTTCACGTTAAAGTAGTTGGCAGTTAAGTTTTGAGCTTTCGGGTATGCGGGCATAAGTTCCAGGCTCAAAGGACTCAGGCTTCAGGTTCTTCATGCCTCGTTTTCTGCACGCCTGGTTTCAAGCCTGCACATGGCAACGCAGACGCTTCTCTCTGTCGCCCCAACCAAACCTGTTGGGTTCCTGGCGCCGACTTGTTTCGCACTTCTTTTTGTTATCGTTTGTTCTCTCTCTCTCTCTCTCTGTCTCTCTCTGTCTCTCTGTCTCTCTCTCTCTCTCTGTCTCTCTCTCTCTCTCTGAGTACATTAATATATATATATACACATACTTAGCTTTTATTTATTTATTTATTTATTTATGTATAGAGATCTGCTATAACGAAGGCGGGATGCTGAGAGGATGTCGGGGGTGGCCTTAGCACGCGAGATGTGTATGCCTGAGTCCGGAACCCGAATTCGCGATAAACCCGAGTCTCATAGAACTTTGTAAGCAGGTTAGGGTTTAGGGTTTAGGGTGTGGGGTTTAGGGTTTAGAAGTAAGGTTGCTGCGGCCCTAGACTGGAGTACTCCTGCTTGTATCAACTGCCGTAGAACCCACGTACTCTTTCTGAGCCTTCTGAGTAACACTGCAGAGAACTGAGGCAAAGAAGGAAGCCCTACACCCCAAAACGAGAAACCATAAAGGTCAGCAGTTGAAAACAACACTTGTTATTGTTTCGTAGCGTAGGGAATAGGTGTATAAGGGAAACTTGATTCGGTAGCCCCTTAGGAATGTTCTAAATTTTCCCTGACTGGGTGTTTAAGAATATTTTCCGATGATTTCAAGGGCCATCCTTTGGACGTTCCCCCCATGTACTAACAGCCCTTAATAGGGATTATCATACCCCGCCGCCCTCCTCTCATCCCTATTATATAAGGAGCTGTTAGCATAAGGGAGAACATCCCAAGGGCCATCCTAGCTGAAGAGCCTGTGAAAAAGCACTGAAAAAGCCCTCAACAGCTCCAAAAGCCCTGAAAAGGCCTTAGCAGCCCATAAAAGGCCCTTCAGGGTTTAGGGTTTAGGGTTCCTCAAGGGCCCATCCTAGATGAGAAGGGCGATGATTCAGGGTTTAGGGTTTAGGGTTTAGGATTTAGGGTTTAGGGTTTAGGGTTTAGGGTTTAGGGTTTAGGGAAAGAGCCCTTCGAAGCCCTCAAGGGCCCATCAAGATGAGAAGGGCGATGATTCCAGCTGTGCTTCAGCCGAGGCAGGCCTTGAATGTGAAGCTGGTGTCGGCGCCTCCGACTTTTGAGCTTACTGGCCCCTGGAACCCTAAGCCCTAAACCCTAAACCCTAAGCCCTAAGCCCTAAGCCCTAAACCCTAACCCCTAAACCCTAAACCCTAAACCCTAAACCCTAAACCCCTAGGGATGGTTAAGATTTCAGGGCTCAGGGACGCCCCGGATCTTCGACCGGATCCCCTCCCGGTTTTAGGTTTCGGGTTCAGGGTGTAGGGTTTAGGGTTTCGGGTTTCGGGCAATAAACGCCTTTCGGAGGACCACTCATAAGAACAATCCCCACCTCTGCAGGGTTCTGCATATTGTGGGTGTTTTTTGGTTTCCTGTTAGAATGCGGAGCCCGCGCTGCACCCCAAACCCCGAACCTCTTCAGGGTAGCCAGGACGGCACCATGAGTTAGAGAAGACCCCACAGATCAGGTACTGGAGCGGGCCCGGCAAGCCTTCCGGACACACACTCGCATCAAGGACAGCTCTTGGTTTGAGTCAGGTTTTCGGGCTGAGGGCTGTAGAGATTCTGTGTGTTGGCCGGGTCTAGGATGACTACTATTTATGGATTTACTTATTTGTTTTATTAGTACCTCCTTTTTTTGACCGGGGGGGGGGGGGTTCGGTTGTAAGCAGCATCTTAGCCCTAAACATAAGGCCCCACAAGCCCGAGATTTTTCAATCGACCCCCATGCCCATTAAGCCTACTCAGTCCTGGGATATTCTAGGGTTGGGGGCACTTCAGAACCCTAACGCACAGCAGTGTCACAGTGTCACAGGAGCTCATAGACTCAGGCAACAAGGCGCAGATGGAGGCTGCCAGGGAGGATTGGGGGGTGAGGTGCAGTAGGCCGGCGAGGACTACACACGTTCCTCTTTGTGCGTTGTGCGTTGAAGGGTTCTTGCGGTTGAGTGGAATTGTTGGGGGCGACTTCTGCGTCTTTGTAAATCCTTCCCTAAACCTGAAACAGTTGACGGACCCTAGACCCGAATAACACCCCCAAACCCTCTATCCTCCGAGCCGCCGCCGTCCCGGGAGGTCGTGGTTGGCGAGTTGCTTCGAGCCGCTGGTCTGACGATCTTTCCCCCAAACCCCCTGGGGTTGAGAGTTCTCGGTTTTAGTCTAGGTAACCCTTTGTAAGGGTGTAGGGTTCAGGGTTACCTCCTCTGGCGACAAGTGTTTGGGTAACCTTCAAATCCTCTTCCGCACTCGGTCCGAGGATTCTTCTGCAAGATTTGTCACGCCTTTTGTCTAGGTTGGCAAACCAGGATGGGCTGTGAGGCCTCATTGTCCCCATAATCTACCCTATACAGGGCCTTCTCAAGGGCGTTATACCAGGATGGGGCTATTCCGCCCTATAGCCCCTGTAAACGGCCCTTTATAGTGTTGATTGTGCGGATTGTAGGGCATAATAGCCCATCCTGGTCGGGTCTAATCGCACCTCCCAAAAAATGACTTCTTACGATCAGTTTTGGGTCCTAAAGCCCAACCGAGGAGATGGAAGTGGCTGTGACAACTGCAGCGGCCCCGGAGTTCGGGTGTGGGGTTTTGGGTTTAGGTTTAGGGTTAGGGTCAGCCGGATTTGGGAATTTTGCCCTAAACCCTATGCCAAGCCCTACACTGCTTTAAAGTTAGGGCGTTGGATTTTGGGAGGGGGTCACCGACCAGCGCTCTAAATCCTAAACCCTAAACCGACCCTAAACCCCAAACCCTATACCCTCTACCATATAAACCCTCAAGCCTCAACCCTCAACCCTAAACCCTAAACCCTCAACCCTAAACCCTCAACCCTCAAGCCTCAACCCTAAACCCTAAACCCTAAACCCTAAACCCTAAACCCTAAACCCTCAACCCTCAACCCTCAACCCTCAACCCTCAACCCTCAACCCTCAACCCTCAACCCTCAACCCTCAACCCTCAACCCTCAACCCTCAACCCTTGCCTGCCTTGTGCGAGTGGGAGAGCCGAAACCCTCAACCCTAACCCTAAACCCTATAAGCACCCCTGCGTCAGAGGCCGCGGAGTTGGAGGAGGCCAAGGCGCGACACAGCAAGGAGGCGGAAGGGTTCTGGGTTTGGGGTTTAGGGTTTAGGGTTTGGGGTTTAGGGTTCAGGGTTTAGGGTTAGGGTTTAGGGTTTAGGGCTTAGGGTTCAGGGTTTAAGGTTTGGGGTTTAATAATTTAAGGATAGTAGTTCTTTGCAGAACTTCGGAGACCCCTTGACGGGCGGTTGAAGTTCACGGTTCGGATTCCCGGAAGGTGGTCGAGGTGTGCGTCGGACTGATTGGGGGGTGGGCTGCGTTGTAGCAGGTCTGCAAGGCTGCGTCTAGGAGGAAAGATGAGGACCATTACGAGTGTGTGCGCAGACAAGGATCAAGCATAAACCCTGAACCCTAAACCCTTAACCCTAAACCCTAAGCCTCAAAACTGGCCTCCTCCAGTGCGCAAGGTTCACGATGTCACCGCGAAGCTCAGGCAGCACGAGGAGGTGGTCACGCCGGAAACAGGTGTGCCGCCCTCTTCCAGACCTCGTTTGGGGGTTTAGGGTTTAGGGTTTAGGGTTTAGGGGGGGGGTGGCGGAGAGTAGCCGCCAGCCTGAAATTTAAAGTAGCACCTTTGCCCTGAAACTAGATGGCCTGCACCGCCTGTCCCCCCCAACCACAATCATTAGCCGTTCCCCACCCTGGTGTCCAGCACGTGGTACTGCGCAAAGTGTGCGACACTGTTGCGCGTTGCACAAGCCCCTCGACCCTAAAGCCTAAACCCTAAACCCTAAACCCTAAACCCTAAACCCCAACCCTTCAACGGGAGACCCTCAGAGGGTCTCGGGGGGCCGCTGGCCGCTTGCGGCAGGCAAGCTCCGCGAGGAGCTCATCGCAGCGCTTCGGGAAGAGGCGCTGTTGGGGTTTGGGGTTTAGGGTTTAGAGTTTAGGGTTTAGGGTTTGGGGTTTAGGGTTTAGGGTTTAGAGTTTAGGGTTTTGGGGTTTGGGGTTTAGCGTTTCGGGTTTGGGGTTTGGGGTTTGGGGTTATGGGGTTTAGGGCGTGGGTTGAGGCATCCAGCAGTGCACGAACGCACAAAGGGAACAACGCCGACGCGATACCGGTATTCAGTACTTAAAGCCGCATGAGCTGCGACGATCTTCCGCCCATGGCTATGTCAAGTGCAGGGTGCCCTATAAGATCCCATGCTCGAGACAATGGAGATGGAACCTGCATACCCTGAGTTCCCTGAAGCCCTACAAGGAGGGGCCCCCTAGTTACTCGTATAAGTAGCTATAAGAACCCAAAATTGGGTTATAAGGATCCTAAAGTCGGTTATAAGTCCCTTCACTACAGTTAGTATAGTAAGGGGGCCCCTCCTTGTATCAGCCCTACACCCACTACCCTAGAACCGCATGAGCCCTATGAGCCCCAAGTCCCTGAACCCTTGAACCCTGGACAAACCCTGTTAAGCCTCAGCCAGTCCCTAAACCCTAAACCCGAAACCCCAAACCCCAAACCCTAAACCCTAAACACTAAGACCCTAAACCCTCAGCCTCTCCCGGCACACCCCCCCCCCCCCCCCCCGGTGCAGGAGTTCTGTATGGCCCGCCTCGCCGTGCTGCGGAAGTCCCAAGCGCAGGACAGCCTTTCAGCACAACCCTGAGTTGGGGGGTTGGGGATTTGATTTGGGGATAAGGTAAGGCCTTAAAGGCGCTCAGTTGGGGGTTAGGAGCGGAGGCGGGGGGATTTGTGGTTTGAGGTTTCAAAAGCCCTGACAAGCCTTAGAAAGCTGAATTGAGGGGGGTGTCCGAAAATGTTCCACACATAGGGGTTCCTGTTCCAACAATGTTCCAACGGAAGGCTGACATGTTCAAGGGATGTGCCCTCTCAGGGGTCTTTGCAAATTTGTAGGTTCCTTCCACGAGCCCAGCAACTTGTATAGTCTTTTTGTATTGCGCCCGATGCTAGCCAAGTCACTTGTGTTTGTGTTGCCCCAGCTCGCCAAACCTCAAAGACCTCGTAAGCCCTGAACCCGAAAGGCCCTATAAACCCTTTAATAACCTTCAAACCCTATAAACCCTAAACCCTAAACCCAAACCGTCCCTGCGGAGTGGATGTCTGAGTGGTGTGTGCGGCTGGCAAAAAAACCCAAAACTTTAACCCTAAACCGTCAGCTTGTCGGGTGGCAAGAGCCCTAACCCTATATACCCTAAACCCAGAAGCAGTCGCCAGGACGTGAAGTTCCTTGCGAGCTTGCGTACCTGGGCGAGCTCTCTCGAGACAGTCTGAGAGGGTTTGGGATTTACAAGCTTTGTCGGGTTTGGGGCATTTGGGGTTTGGGGTTTGGGGTTTGGGGTTTGGGGCATTTAGGGTTCAGGGTTTAGGCCCCGTGACGCTGAGTCCGCGGGGAGAACGAAAGAGAGAGAGGGAGAGAGAATCTCTGATCGTAGCATCCCGAAGCCTGTAGTCTTTGCAGATCTTATGTCTCACTTCATGTACACATGAACATAATGTATACAGCCTTTCTGTATGGTTCTTGTGATTCTGAGGGTCTGGGACCCGGAAGTCCTCTGAACTTTCCGTAAATTTACGCCGTCAATTCAAGCGAAGAAGGGCGCCCCTTGTACTCCTAGGTTTCGAACAGTGTTCCCTGCGAGCGGTTCCCGCCATCCTCCCCCCTTTCCTGCTGGTTGTGCTTTCCAAGATCATCCCAGGCAAAGCCATCGGATGATCGGATGAGTTGTGCAAGCGCCACAGCCCTTTTGAACATGTCAAGGTGGGGCCGGGGGGGGGGGGGGTTGGGTTTTTGCTCATTGCCTTGAACTCCAATCCCAACATGCTCGTGAGGTCTGGACGTCCAGCGTTTGGGGGGGTGGAACACACCTGTTGATGTGCCTGGCCTGGCCCTGTTAGGCTCGGCCAGCAAGATGGGCAAGCCTCCTGAGAACTGTTCCTTTTTCGAAGCTACCCCGGATGTCAGGTTTTGTGCTCACCCTCTCTTCCATAGAAGACAGGGTTTAGGGTTCAGGGTGTCTGGACCTGCGTCGGTGACGAGCAGCAAAGCTGCTGGAACATCCTGACATCCTGAGGGAGAGCTCATGGCGCTCTTGAAAAGACAGGCGCGCAGATTTTGTGACCCTTGCGACTTGTGCGGCCCGGCCTACCGAGTTTGCTCGCAGTGCCGGGTGCGCGGTAGACTTATGCCAGTTCGTGGATATTTTGCTGGTAGAGAAGCGCAGCTGCGACCGGGATCAGACATTCTGGAGCAGCAGCCTCTTTTCTTATTGGCAGGAGCCTTCGCATCCATCATTCAGCTTGTGTCGGGTGTTCTTCGACACTCGCGGATCCTGGTCGCAACTGTGGCATCGCCAAGTTGTCATGAATTTTGGCCCAAGAAGGCATGCAGTCTCTGCAAGAGCTGGCTCATCCTACCAGGAGTACTTTTGGCCAGCGTGCACGCAGGCGACACAACGCTTCCCAACTTGAGAATCTCTCGTACTCTGCACTTGTGGCTTCGGAAGAAGTGCTGCGCAACATGGCGGCTCTGTTGTCAGACTCTCTTCGTGTTTTCGATGGGGACGCTGATGTTCAGAGCAATTCGGCTCAGGCTTTTCCTGCAAATTCCGGTAGTCTTAACTGCAAGCTACACCCAAAGCCTTCAACTGAGAACCACTTAAAGAACCCGCTCCAACCCGAGTCTTGTCGAGAAAGTAGCCTGATCTCCATGCTATCGCGCAGATAATCCGAGAAGGTGAACCTGTGTGCCCACTAGGAAATGGGACAAATAGTGAGCCTCTCACCTGCGGTATGGCGCCACGGAGTGATGGAACCTCGGCAGCTCAACTAGGGGGAGCTCGACCAGCCAAAATATGACGTCCAGCACGTCGAGCACAATGACCACTTCGGCAACTTACACAACGTCCTCGCACACCTTCAGCACAAGCGCCACAAGTACGACCACCATCATTCCTGCCATCAGCAATGTGAATCGAGCTATCATGTGGGTTGTGCTGATCGTGTTTGCGATTCTTATTCTGGCATTTGCAATTGCATGCATGTGGATACAGTGCTGGCACTGCCCGCTGGCCCGCGTGGCTCCCAGACCTGAGAGCCTCCGAGAGCCTCGGCCCCCGAAGCCTCCGGTGGGCAGGAAGGGACTGCGCCCGCCCGCTCCTGCGTTTGCTCCGATGACCCCTTGCAACAGATCACCGGGTCCTCCGTTGGTCGTGCTCGTACAATTCCAGGGTGCCCCACGAATCACCCCAAGGGTAACGCTGGTTCCGGCATCCTCACCCTGGCCGCAAGCGGCCACGCGGCACGAGTGCAGCGAGACGCAGCCATCGCACGCTAGGCTGCCATCACCCGAAGTCCCATTCCTGGCAAGCTTGCCCCAGTTTCGAACCAAGATCTGCGTGCCAGACTTGTGCCAGGACCCCGCTCCGCTGGAAAGAATACCCACTGCACCCCCTACACCACTTCCAGCACCTCCCAGCATCACCTGGCTGGAACCGCTGGCCCGAAAGTCACCACGGCCTTGGCTGCGAATCCAGGTGGTTTTGCACGCCACAAAGCCCCCCCAGCGGCCGGCTTCGCGCAGCCAGCCACGTCAAGAGCTCGTGCCAGGTTTGCCACCAGGCTGGCCTCCGGCAGATGCACCAGCACGGAGAGAGAGCGAGCCCCTTTCCAATCAGCCAGGCCCAGGCCCGGACGCCCTCAAGCCGCCACGGCAACTGCCACGATGGGGCATGCCGGACATGCTCTGCCACCGGAGCAGGGAACGCGAGGAACCGATCGAGTACCCAGCCAGCCCATGCTCAGGGAAGGAGCTGAGGCATGTGCAGCTCAGTCCAGCCGTTCCTGTTTTGTTAAGGCTGGAGCCTGCCAGCAGACCTGCGGAGGATCCGCCTCCCCAGTCACTCCAACCTGCAGTCGCTGCGGAGAGACTCAGCGAGCCATGCGAGCCGCGTGTGCAGCTGATCCCGGTCTCGCACATGGTTCTCACGAACTTGAGGTTTCCTGCAGACCTGCCACTTCCACGGGATCCGCAACCCTAACCGACCGCAGCCGAGGCCTTGGGCTCCGCCAGCACCTTTGCTGGCCAGTGCAATCAGCGCCGGAAAGCGAGCCCTCACAGTCTGAGCTCCCTGAAGTCCCTGAAGACCCCGAGCGCCCTCCCGACGAATTGCACTTGGAGCCGCTGCCCTTGCGTTCCCTGCTCACCTCCAGGTCAAGGCATGGAATGCAGGGAATGGGGTCCACCAGAAGCAGCAAGAGCACACGGAGCACTGGCCGTCTGCGAGGCCACAACGCGACCCCTGCCTGGTCGCAAAGCCTCAGCACACGCCCGCAGGCCTCACCCTCCGAGTCACCGGGGCCAGGAAGCTACGACCCAGAGCAGCTCAGCTTCGACATGTACATGCCCTTCCCGAAGACGAGTGGGAGAGGCAGAAACCGAGGCGGCTGACGACTGCAAGCGCAGCGCGCTTGAGCCTTGGTGGCTGTTTATTCGAACCTCAAAATCCCAGGACATACTTCTGGCCAAGACCCAAGAATCGTGTAAGGGGTTTATACTCATTCTCTACATGGGCTTGTGAAAGTGCACCTTCCGCCCGAACGCCCCTGTCTGTTGGTGGAATCCCAAGCTCACATTCACAAATTTCATGCATAATAGCATATAGACGATTCAACCTTCACTGTTTACACAGAGAACATGATGTAATATGTAATATTGTACAGTTCATGTAATATGCATATACATATACATATACATATACATATATATACACATATCATTTGACCCGATGTCTACATGTATATGTAGTATCAAAATGTATCACATACGTGTCTCTAAACTTGCAAGCCTATCTGAACTCGCCAATCCAATGCAAGGTCCGAAGCCCCCCCCGATGGCTTGGCTTTGCTTGCCTGTTTGTGCACTGGTGCGCAGCCTTTCCATTTGGCCGCACGCCTGAGTGAGCCTAAGCCCTAAACCCTAAACCCTAAACCCTAAACCCCTAAACCCTAAACCCTAAGGGTTTCTTTCGAGTTTCTGGGGCTGCGTGAGCATCCCAGAGGGTGTACAGATTGCGGTTGATAGAGAGCCGGCCAGAAGCTCTTTACAGAGCACCTCTCCAAAGGCGGGAGGCAAAGAGCAGAAATGGGGCAGAGCCCGAGGCTCTTGTGCCATGTTGAAGTGCCGCAGGATCACCGCTTTTTGAGAGGAGTTCTTGGGGGCTGAGTAGTAGCCTTTTAGCTTTTGGGTTTTTTTTATAGTCCGACCATAATTGAAAGGGTGAACCTTTTTTTGGCCCAGGGTTCTCAGCAACGAGGAGTTTGGGGCTCAAGAAGGGCCTTGCCAAACGTGTCAGCGCAGACCAAAGAATGTCTGTCAGCTGCACTTTTCACAGCTCCGATGCCCGGTGCCGTCAAAGAGGAAGCCAGAGGGTTTAGGGTTTAGGGGTTAGGGGTTAGGGTTTAGGGTTTATAGGGTCGAAGGCATCCCGTTACGCCAGAGGAGAGGGGCATGTTGGACATGTGTTCTCTTGCTTTCCTCCTGCTTCGGAGGGGTGGGTCCTTATAAACACCTTGAAACTTCATGTCAAGACCTTTTGGGGCATGTCCAGGCCAGAACATCACCAGCCCCGAAACCCATCTCAGACTCTACCCCAACACTGCACTCACCCCCCCCCCCCCCTCTCCCCTCCCAAACCGCCGTTTTAGCTCCATGTGCAGTTCACTTTCACTCGCCCAACTTCGTTCGCGCCCCTCCACTCCTTCTTGGCCAGGCGGAGGAAGCTCAGGCACAGGCCCAACGATTGGCCGAGGACTTGGGGGAATGTCCCACATGAATCGTTCTCTTCTTTTTGTTGGCACGGAGGGTGGGGGAAGAGGCTTAGGGTTTTGTTGTCGAGCCCTGAACCCAGTCCCCCTCCACATGTTGAACCCCAAGAAACTTAAAGCTTTAAAGCCTAAACCCCATGGGCTTAGGGCTTAGGATGCCAAAAAGGGGATAATCTTGGGATGTTACCCCTTATACTAACAGTCCTTCATAGGGATTAGTATCGGGGGTATATAATCCCTAGAAAGGGCGTTTAGCATAAGGGGGAACGCAGGGGTTCCGGGCAGAGGGTGTTGCATCAGCAAGCGGCCGTTCGCGCTGCCAGGACTTGGACAGAGCGCAGGACCAAGCGCAGAGGCTGCAAGCTCACCCTAAAGCTCTGTACCTCAGCTACCTACAGAAAACTCCAGAAAGTTGGAACATCCTGATCCCCATACCCCAAGATTTTTTCCATGTTCCAACTTTCCGGAGTTTACTGTAACCCCAGAGAAGTGAAATGTTTGTTTGTTCCGGGGGCTGATGATGCCTCGGCCTTGGCTTCCCAGACTAAGAGGAACCGATGTGACCTTGCGACCTTGAAGATAGCAAGCACACCCCCAAGCAGGTGAAGCACTTCCTGCTGTTGTAAGGGTACATGAGGTAGATAAACTGTTTGATGCGGACCCTTTATGGCCAGTTCTGTGCCCTGAAGGCCCGGCTAATCGCCATTTGGGCCCGAGCACTTCTAGCAATTTGCTGGCTTCGAAGCCGTTGGATTGCAAGCATCGCCTTACCTCCCTCTTGTCTCAGCATGGGTTGCCAGACCAGCAACTTAGTAGCTGAATGAGTACACTTTACCCTTTTTGGGGATACCAGAATCCTATAGAACTGAACGTGTACACCTCTTTTGAGGAGGACTTATGAACCCAGCAACGAAGGCAAGGTTGCAGCACCGGCGGCCGCAGACAAGGCGCCCATCGCAGCGACCGAGGCGCTCGCCGACTCGAAGACTTCGACCGAGGCGCCCGCTGCCGAGCCTCTTCACTCGCAGGGCGTGGAGGCCATGGAAGAGATCAAGGAAGAAGCCAAGGAAGAGGTGACTTGCCGCTGGATAGTAGGAAACGTCGGGAATATGGGGTACCCTATAGTAATCCCTTAAAGGGTATATAGAGGGGGATATATATATATATCTCTGTATATATATATATATACATATAGGGCCCTCATTCCCTCATTCCTCTGCCAACCGACAGCAAGGTGAAGGAGGAGGCGGCGGCCATCACCGAGATGAAAGAGGAGCTCAAGGAGGAGCTCAAGGAATTCCAGGCTGAGGTCGCCGATGTTCCCAAGGTGCTGGACGCGACCTTGTCAGGTGAGGCCAAGACCTGCGATCTCTTCGGCATGTGTGGTCCATGAGAGCTGCCCACATAGATGCACCCTTACCTGGGGAAAAAGGGCCCTTCTTGCATTACCTTCTGTTCTTTCAGAGGGTTCAAAAGGGGGCCATCCTCGGTGTAGACGTGGTTTGTGGGCGAACCATGTTCCAGGCTCCAGGGGGAGATAGGCCCCTGGTGAAATTCGTCTGGCCCACAGATGTTGGCGTCAGACCTTGCAGTCCCGCACGATCATGTGCACTTTCTGCCTGGGTCGCAACGATGTTTTGTGACTAAGGCGGGTGAAGTTTCGAGTTTCTATGTCGGCACTTGCGTCCTTAATTGAGGAGTTCGCCTGACAGTTCGGACATCGTACCAGAAACATTGCCCGCACATGCCACGCAGTGATTCCTTGTCCTTCAGGGGTTGAATTTGCGAAGACTTGTTTTAAGGTTCAGGGTTTTAGGGTTTAGGGTTTCTGCGTGCAGATGGTTTCGACATCGGGCCCTGTAAACCAATCCTCTTTGCGGGGTGGAGGGTTCAGGGGTTTGCCAAACACGGCTCACGGGCCAGACTGTTGCGAGGCTGGTTTCCATGAGTCCCAGGGGCGCCCGGCGCCCTTTTTGTAAGGAACCTAAACCCCAACAAAAGGGAATCAGGGCCCACGCTGGGTCCCAGGGACAGAGTGGGGAGGTTAAGGGTTTAGGGTTTCGGGTTCTCGGTAGCCCCTTGGGATACTTTGTATGTTCCCTTACTGGGCTTGAGACGACTACATGTAGGAATGTTTTTCAGGGCGCCCTGAACCCTAAAACCTAAACCCTGCTTTAAGGGCCCATCCGAGGGTGTGGGAGGGTGTTCATGGGTTCAGGGTGCACTAAACACTAAACCCTAAACCCTAAACCCTAAACCCTAAACCCTAAACCCTAAACCCTAAACCCTAAACCCTAAACCCTAAACCCTAAACCCTAAACCCTAAACCCTAAACCCTAAACCCTAAACCCTAAACCCTAAACCCGGAGACCTCGACTTAACCCTGCGGAGCGGGTGCTTGTGTGCGCGCAGTGCGGGTGGCGAAACCCTAAACCCTAAACCCTAAACCCTAAACCAGGCCAAGCCTGGGATTGCATGCAGCCAACGGGCACAGCAGAGGGCAGAGGGCCTCTGGCTGAACAGCTCCTGGTTTGGTTCTACTTAGGGTTTAGGGATTTAGGGTTTGAAGACTTTCCTAACCCTAAACTCCCCAAAGGGTTTGTGGACTTTCCTAAGCCCGCAACCCTAAACCCTGAACCCTAACCCCTAAACCCTAAACCCTAAAGGGGCTTGTAGACTGCTTAGTCCCCGCGCCTCCCGACTGGTGAAGGCTTGCGGCTGACAAGATCAATCTCCTCAGTGAGATGGCGCAGGCCATGTTTGCGGGGTTTAGGGTTTAGGGTTTCGGGTTTAGGGTTTTGCGTTTTGGGTTTTGGGTTGGAGTACTGTACATGAATACATGTTTTTGGTTCTGGGCTCCCATGATAGCTACTTATACCTAAAAAGTATGGATAGGAATCCCCACTCTGCCCCTAAGACCCAGAGTGGGCCCTTATTCCTTTTTTCTGGGGGGTTTAGGTTCCTTATACATCCTCTTCAAACAAAGGCGCCCTTTTTATTCCTAGGTTACTCTTGGGTCTAAATGTTTGTTTGTGTGCAGACCGGCCTGCTTAAAGTCTGTTTTTTGTTTTTTTTTCTGGGCTGTGCCTTCGCACGCAGTCGTCCGTGCTGATGTTCGGGCTCAGTTCACGTTGGGTCAAAAAGTTACTTTGAGCCCTGAGCCCTAAAACCTAAACTCACGCGCCCGAAACTCCGACTTAAATCTTCACAAGCCAGCGCCTGACAAGCTCACCTCATTTTTCCTGCTGATGGACCCCCTGTGTTTAGGCTTTCTGCGTCGCATAGCATGACCGTAGAATAAGAATGTGCGCGCGCGTCAGCGAAAAAGTAGAACAATCCGCAGAACAGCCAGACGAATAGGAATATGAAAGAAAAGGCCATTAGGAATAACTAGTAGCTAGATCATCCTAAACCCTAAACCCTAAACCCTAAACCCTTCGCCGCTAAAGGTTAAGGCTAATAATGCACGAAACGCAAGAAGCCGAGGCACAGGCAGCAACTCTGCAGGTTTAGGGTTTAGGGTCTAGGGTTTAGGAATCCCCCACTCTGTCCCTAGGACCCAGAGTGGGCTTGTCCGCTTTTCTACTTCATGTTAAACCCCTTTAAACCAAAAAGGGCACCCTTTTACTCCTAGGTAAAAGAGTTTCAGAGTGAGAGGCGATGAAGGGTAGATTTTGTGAGGACGTATTCGAGCATTTCAAGGCTTGATGTGGGCATGTTTGGCCCCTTTCAGTGTTGGGATCGCTCTGGGATGCCTGGAACGAGCTTGTCCAGAGATGCACGGACTGCAGAGCCCTCCCCCCCCTCCCCCACACACACAAACCTAGTAGTAGAGTAGGTAACCTTTAACCTTTTTGGGGTATTATAATTCCCCAAAGGTTAACCTTGAATTCCCCCCAGGTTACTGGACAGCTAAGCAACCCTAAACCCTAAACCCTTGTGGCATCAGATTCTGCCTTGCCAGGCGCAGGCGGATGCCGACCAGCTCCTTTGCGACACCAAGGCCCGCAGGAGCATCGGTTTAGGGTTTCGGGTTTAGGGTTTCGGGGTTAGGCGGTTTTTTTTGCGGGTTTTGGGTGCAATAGAGGGGTCGGAAGAACTACTAATATTGCTAATAGTATGCTTCTATGGTCCCTGTTATACTTCTACTATAATAAACGCCCGAAACCTTATGGTTATTAATAAGGCCCTTAGGGTTGAGGGATGTTGAAGGTGAGTCATGGCGCTTGAGGGCGCCACAGTCAAGTGAGCCCAAATTAAGGGGTACATCACCCTACATACAGGCTCCTTAATATTCTAGTAGGAAGCCGACTTGAGTTTGCAGAGCCCACCGTCTTATGTGGACCCGAGCAAGCCCCAGGCTCTTCCAGGCTCGCCAGCTTGTATCAGGCTGCAAAACCCCGGGAAGCCTTGCGCCTGCCTGGTTTAGGGTTTAGAGTTTAGGGTTTAGGGTTTAGGGTTTAGGGTGTTAGCGTACCCCCGACTCTGGTGCACGAGGCAAGCTTCGAGACCCGGCTGGGCGACCGCAGCAAAGCTTTGGCGGGGGGCACTCAGAAGTCGTTGGGTTTAGGGCTTGGGGTTTATAGCGCTTAGGGCCGGGAGCACCCAGAAGTCGTGCTGTTCGAGCTTCAATGAAGCTTGTAGGGTTTTGGGCCTAGGGTTTAGGGTTGTCTGATTTTGTTTGTCTGGCTTTTCTCTGTGACGCTTTCCCCTCCTAAGGCCCCCATTGCACCCGCAAGCCTTCTCCCTGTTGCGTGGGTCGCTCTTCTTAGGGTAGCTACATGGTCCTTTACTATCGGCCCTTCATTGGGGAACCCATACATACCCCTTAAATTACCCCGTAAAACCCAAGGGGCCCAGACTTCCGGACCCTTCAAAGAAAGTAAGGGAAAACGTAACTACCCTTTAGATCTCTTGGAGCGGACTGGTTCTTTTCCTTGTTTGTATTGGGAGGTTGGGTTTTGTCTTCAGGGTGTCCAGGATAGTAGGAAAGAAGCAGTAATAACAACAATAGTCATGGTAACGATGGTAATACTGGTAGTAACAAAAATAGGAACCTCTATGCCCTAGACAGAGCCAAATCCCGAAGTCCTACTCCCCTCGAAGGCTCGTAGAGTCTGGAACCTTAAGCCCCTAAACCCTAAACCCTAAACCCTAAACCCTAAACCCTAAACCCTAAACCCTAAACCCTAAACCCTAAACCCTAAACCCTAAACCCTAAACCCTAAACCCGAGGCCGAGATGGAGGAAGCCCACGGTAAGGTTCGCCGGCGCCACCTCCCTCCTTCACCAGATATGGGGTGTGGGGTGCAAGTTGATACTTGGAGGGTTTAGGGTTTGGGGTTTGGGGTTTAGGGTTAGGCGAGGACACCGCAAGCGTGCTGCAAAAGGGTTTAGGGTGTAGGGTTTAGGGTACTTGGGGTTTCATGGTACTTAACAGCCCAATTATGACTGTACTTATAACCCAATCATAGCCACACTAGGGCACGTACAGTAAGGGGCTTATAGGTTATAAGTACAGTTATCATTGGGTGATGAGTAATTACCATGAACCTCCAAGTGCCGGGTCTCTGTTGAGGGGTCGTCTTGTCTCAAGTGGAAAAGGTCAGATGGAGTTGTCACATGATGGATGGCGGGACGAGTGAACGCAACTGGGGTTCCAGACCTGAGCCTGCGTGGGTCATCCTGGATCATGTAGCCTAGAGGGTGGTACCATGCTGGAATTGTTTACAGCAAGCTGATCATGTAGAAACCCTAAACCCCAAACCCTAAACCCATGTTGTTTTTTGGTGCCGCAACTGGACCCTGTGGATAAGGAAAACGGCTGCCGGTGTCGAACTCCACGCACATGCTTCGCGCTCATGAGGTGTGGGGCCATGGACTTAGGACTACGAGCTGTCAACACTCACCCGGACCTTTTTAGCAACTTTGCCCCATCTCCAATGTTCCAAGCCGGTTTAAGCTGGAGGGGTGATCATAGTTGACAGTCGTACCTAATGGTTTATGACAGTTTTAGTTCGTTCACAAGAGTTTAGAAGGTGCTTTCGTAAGGCAGATCGTCTCTGCTGCTCCTCACCAACGCCCAAGCCTCATGGCATCCCACCCCGGCTGAGCCATGGATGATGCGCCGCCAGCCACACCGGCGCCCCCCCTGCCGTCGTGCCTGCCAGAACCTAGGCCGGCTCAGGGTTTAGGATTGCGGTTTCAAACTCAGCCGATAACCTGTTTCACTTGCTACCTTTTTTTGGGAGGGGGGCTAGGCCCTAATGTGGCTATAATTGGGCTATAAGTACAGTCATAATTGGGTTATTACGTACCATGAACCTCCAAGAAGCCCTTGCTTAGGCTTCGCCTTGAGGGAATCAGGGCAGCTTGTTGTGTTAGTTTCCCTCGTCTTGCGTGGACTCGGCTGTTCAAATTCCGCAACCTCAGGGAAGCTTGAAAGCTCTGGTTCTGCTAACTCGAATTCCCACGGAAGGTGGCTCAATGCTGAGATTCTGCCGGTGGACTGGGGCATCTTGTCTCGTGCAACTTCAAACCTCTAAATTCATGCTAATCACCGCGCAGGCCCCAAAACCTGGGAATGGGAAGCGACCTTGACGTTTCTGGAGTTCAGGAGGATTTCTGATTGGGCTTGAGATCTCTGGTTCGGGATTTGGGGGGGTCAGTGACCAAATAGAAGCCCTAAACCCTAAACGCGAAACCCGGAAGCCTCTGCCACTTGGCACTCCTCGAGTTGCCACTACGGGGCCTCATATAATTATCCTGGGAGCCCTTAACGCCTCATCTGGGCCCCTAGATGGAGGTAGTAGTAGGTTCCTTCATGGCTGTTATTGCGATGATTGTGAAGTTCCCTTATGAAGGGTCCAGCTTCCCTTCCCCTTGAAACGAAGAAAGGGCACCCCCTCTTTACTCCTAGGCTACTCTTGGGTCTAGAATGTCTACCACTATCTCACATGTATATGGGTAGTTCCCTAAATTAGGGTCCCTTTTTGGGGGTCCCTTTTAAACAAGGCTGCCGCCTTTTAATGGTTTAATGGGTACCCAACAAGCATCCCTAATTTAGGAGACTACCCCATGATCATATTGTAGGGTTACCTTCTCCTCAGGTACCCTAACCTTGGAAACCCCCCCAGGTAAATAGCCCCACGCCCCAAACCCTAAACCCTAAACCCATATCACTAGTTCGTTGAGGCATGATGTTGTCGCAGTTCACCGACTTCCTGGCCGCCTGCCGTGGCACGGCCTGTTGGACCCAGGCCCGGTTTTTGGGGTTTAGGGTTTAGGGTTTAGGGTTTAGGGTTTAGGCAGTGGTGAGGAGTCCTGCTGCAAACAGGGTTTAGGGTTTAGGTGCTGACTCTTGCTTTTATGACTACTGTTATGCTACTTTTACGTAGTAACTCGTATGGTGGTTTCTAGTATTCCTACTAGAATCAGCGGTTTTGCTGGTAGTATCATTGCTGCTACTCTGACTGCTATTGTTGCCATTGAGGTTATGCGTTGCCTCACCAAGATTCCACAAGTAACTTGGGGAGAAGGGTTTAGGAGTCTTGGGTATCTGGGGTGCAGGGCAACTTGTGAAGGGAAGCCACAGGAAAGACGGTACCTCTGAGCTAGAAGCCCCTTGCTTGAACCGGCCCTTCCGAACACCGGGCTGCAACCACCTGAAGCCATGTGGGGCTTCCCTTTCTCCACATGCTCTGCAATTTGGTGTGTCACTTCAGGGTGCAGGACCCACGCCCGAACCCGTGTTAAACGTCCATTGCCATGTTTATCATATTATGATAATAATCTTCGTTTTCATCATTCTTTTCGAATCCAGATCTCTCAGCTCAAGGGTGCCGGGTTGAGGAATGGATGAATACTTTTGTTGGTTCAGGCATGACAGCTACTTATACCTAAAAAGTATGTTTAGGAATCCCCACTCTGTCCCTAGGACCCAGAGTGAGCCCTTATTTCTTTATTTGGGGTTTAGGTTCCTGATACATCCTCTTTAAACCAAAAAGGCGCCCTTTTTAATTCCTAGGTTACTCTTGGGTCTAGATGATTGCGTTTGTGTGCAGACCGGCCCGCTTGAAGTCTGTTTTTTTTTTGCGCTGCGCCTTCGCACGCAGTCGTCCGTGCTGATGTTCGGGCTCAGCTCCACGTTGGAGAGAGACTTTCATGCAACTCCATGCAAGTATACCAATACTAAGTATTTAACCTGGGGTTGGAACTGACACGCCGAATCCTAAACTCCTGAAGCCCTAAACCCGGACCGCCTCCCCCCGAAAGCCGAATGAATGCCCTCAACACTTGAGGACTGACAAACATGGGCAATTGTAAGTGAGGTTTTGTGGCGAGTAAGGGCTGTCTGACGTATAGCCCGACTTATACTCAGAAGCTTAACCGCTTCCCTTTGTTTGGTTTAAGTTATTTGATGTATCAACGATGCCAACCCTAAAGCAAGGGAGTATAGGGGTTACTGCTAAGCGTTCTAAATTTCGAACAAACCCGCCATAAACCCTGAACCTTACACCCCAATGTAGGCTACCCAACCTATAGCCCCACCACCCCCACTCAACCCCAATATTGGGATATTGGGGATTCAGATTAATTACAAGTGATTGACAAAAATAACTGATGAGCCTTGCACCGAGCCATTGCCCGAGCGTGGCAAGCACAAGCGATGATGAGTTGGACCGCGAGAACGTGTATGCGAAAGTTCTGCTCCAGGTCTCCTCGCCGATTCGGCAGGAGAGTGCCTTGGACACCCTTGGACGGGTTCAGGGTTTTAGAGTGTAGGGTTTAGGGTTTCAGGGCTGTCACTTGCAACGCAAACGTATGAGTTTTATCCATGGGTTCAAAACCAATACCGATAGCATCCCCTTAGACTACCTTTGCATGAACAACATAACCCCTCCCCCTCTCCCCCCCCCCCCCCCAAAAAAAAAAAGAAAACGCCCATTCACAAAGAAGCCTCGACCATATTTACTCCCATCCAGGGTGAAGTGGGCAACTGCTGAGTACGGGGTGTCGAGGTGCACAGGCTGGGATCTTAGACTGGTCCTGCTGCTGAAACCACTTGTTGCGCAAGCTACCAAAAACCCCAGTCTAGTTCACGCCGAGTTACCAAACCCTTGAACTCAAACTCGTGTCAAGGTACCCAAACGTACCCATTCTCAGCAACCCGAAGGCTCAAGTGATGGCACAGTCAACCCCAAACGCAGCGATTTCTAGAGGCCCCTGTGGTTGACATAGCCCTTCGCCATTATTTTCCACTGTATGCGCACGGCGTGACCAGACGTCATAAATAAATAAATATATACATAGATCTATATGTATATATAGATTCGTAAATATGTAGATATATATATATATACATACACAAGTTATTGGCATGTGTATGTGAACCCCAAGCCCTAAACCCTATTCCGTAAACCCTAGACCCTAAACCCTACCTTAACCCTAGGCCTAGTTTTTGTAGGTGATCTACTTGGGGTTTGGGGTTTAGGGTTTAGGATTTAGGATTAAAAGCTTAGGGTTTGCTGGAAATGCCCATGAACGAATATGCAGGGGCCCGTATGCTTGGCATGGGAAAAAGAGTAGTTTATATTTTGGTCGTTCTAGTTGAATGGAAACCCTAAACCCTGATCCAAGGGGGTGACATCAGTGATTTGTTTGGCTCCTGTAAAAGCTATCGGGATCGGATCGCAGATTCTGTTTTGCACGTCCAACCCTGAGAACGGAGGATTCAGTCGGATTCAGGGTTGGGATTTAGTTCAGGTTCAGGGTATTTCCAGCAAGATAGGGCAGAGAATAGATCTTACGTTCCCAGAGCCTCAGGTACATTGGCGCAGGACGTTGCCAAGTTCTTGGTCGTTGCTGTCCCAGTGCTTGTTGCTGCATATTGGGCTCTATGCGGGCAAAGCCCCCGCAAACAGCGCCAGGGAATGTCCCGCAGTATGCTGGTAGCCCTGGGTTCCACCCTGCTATTGGATTTCTTTTGCACCGATCAGTACCAGCCGAGCATGCCAGACATGGCGCGAGACTTTGGGGTGCTTCCAGTGCACATGGGCGCGACAATACAGGTCCACTTGTTCACCAGCGCCATATTCATGCTACTTTTCGGCCCGCTGTCGGACTACATCGGTCGCCGCCCCGCTGCTTAGCCGATTTCAGGCTTTCTTTTCCAAGGGTACCTTGCGCCCCGAATCCGAATTCTTGCCGAAACCTCCTCCTGAGCCCTAAGCTGCGAGAATGCCACTAACAAACATACGGGAGTTTTACGAAAATAGGGGCCGCCTTGAATAGACCCGCAAATAGTAGGATTCCCTTATAATAAGGACCCCAGGAAGGTTTAATTTCGGAAGCCCCCACACCGACTCAACTAAACCCGAAGTGCCGAACCCGAAATTCCGAAGTCGAAGCTGGCCCTGCAGCAGTTTCGGGTGTGGGGTTTAGATGGGGTTAGGGATTACAAGGGGCTTAGGGCTAGACGGCATGTCATACATGTATGCAGGACTGTTGTTTTTTTTTTTTTTTTTTTGGGGGGGGGGGGGGTGGGTAGGGGTTTGTTTGGGGTGGCCCAAACTTCGTCATCATGCAGAGGGGTTTGAGGGTTTAGCATCCTAAACCCTGCACCCTATATAATATCACCCTTGGGAATCATTTTTTGTTTATATAAAATCCAGGAGGACATTAAACAGATTATGTTTATTAAGGTTCCTAAGGGGAGTATAGGCACCCTAAACCCTACATACCAGGTAAACAACCCTAAAAAACCCTAAACACTCTTAAAAGCCCTAAAAAACCCTGAAAAACCCTAAACACCACAAAAACCCTAAAAAACCCTAAGCCCTACTTCCCAGGTGATCCTGGGAGGCCAGGTGTTGCTGACGGTGAGCACACTGTGGCTCGGCTTCGGCATTCTTGGAATTTGCTATTCCCTTAGTATTGGTTCTCGGGTTTCGGAACCCTAAACCCTAAACCCTAAACCCTAAGCCCTAAACCCTTAGTATTGGTTCTCGGGTTTCGGGTTTCGGGTTTAGGGAAGTATGCCTTTCCCGGCCGACTTCTCAAGCCCGGATGCAAAAAGGGTTTAGGGAATGGCTTTCCCCTTCTGGGCCCAGGAGGGCTCCGGACGGTTTAGGGCTTAGCTATCTGGGACCCTTGACGCCAGGGCCAACGTTGAATTCAGGTAGGTAGGTGTCAGAAATGTTTTTTTTTTTGGGGGGGGGGCAGTTTAGTCTTGGGGGCTCCTGGCATAGGGTTGAAGAAAGGGTCAACAGGCTTTCGGGTGACTGCTGCCTCCTGAATTTATCAGGATCAGGATCAGTGCTGGGGGTTTGAGGGCGCAGCATTGCAGACCTAAGCCACAAGAGCACATGCACTGGCACAGATATGCGCAGATACCTTTTGTACCTCTGAAGGCAAAAGCCAACCTCTGCAGAGCACGGTTTCGGGTTTAGGGTTTAGGGCGGCCCAGGTGCTGTGGCTGCGCTGAGACATATTCCTGGTTTGTCGTGGGCCGCATCTTCCAGGTCCGGCTGGCTGGTTGGGCACAGTTCAGGGTTTGGGGGTTTGGGCTTGAGGGTGCAGGATTTGAAGGGTTTCCTAAACCTTAACCCCTAAACCCTGAACCAACCGTGAACCCTGAATCCTAAACCCTAAACACTACTCTCAGCCCTGGGTTCTTAAGCGAAGCCCGTGAGCGAAGGGCATGGCGGCGGCAGTCACACCGGTCATCCTCTCCACCATCCCGGACTGTTCCCTGGGCCCGCAGCAAATACTCCGGGCTGAGATGCTAAGTTTCAGTATGGTTCTTTGATGTTCAGAGCGGATTTCATTGATTTTGAGGCATGTTGGGGCGGTTTGACGGCCTTGGACCTTTTGGGTTGGGCGGCTGCAGTGCAAGTTCTAACGCTTCTTCAATTTAGGATCTCTGCGCTGTCGCAATGTCTAAATTTGGCATGTGTTTTTGTTTGGGGGGGGTACTTGTTAAATCGCGTGCTCTTATATTCACCTTATGTAACATGGGAGCTGTATTTCATCAACTCCTGTCATACGAGTCGCTAGCTCGGATGCCGAATTCTGTGATCCAAAGACCCCTCCCAAGGCTACGCAGACATGACTGACAGACTCAAGCACCAGGGCACTCTGGGAACCATGATGCAGCCCAGGACTGTTTAATTTATGAATAAACCCGAAACCCTAAACCCTGAACCCCCACGCAGACCTGGCCTCACAAGAAGTCCTCCTCAAAACGGCCCAGAACCCTGCTTGACGGGTCATGAGCGTTAACGGGGGTGAAGAAGGGTTCGTGCAGAGGTTTTTCATTGTGGAAAGTCTCTATGTCAAAAAAGGGTTGGCGTGGCTGACTTTGTTTGGTATGTTATTCTTGGGATGATAGTAGGGGGTATTATAATCCCTATTAAGGACTGTTAGTATAAGAGGGAACATCCCAAGTCTTGTTTACAGCTTCCTGAAGCCCGAGGCAATTGGGCCCCTTGGTGGCCCCAGCGGCAGGGGGCTTCCTTGCCGACGTGTGGGGCTGGCGTCAAAGTCGCATTTAGCTTTTTGGGCTCGGGCTGTTGTCTGTTGCCCTTGAGATTTATGGGCGGAAGCTTGTCTTTTTCAGCAGCGTTTCTTTCTTGTGTGGGGGTTTGTGGGCACAAAGGCGCTTGCCCTTCTTCGTTCTCAGCTCGCTGTCGGGGCTTCTCGTGGCCATCAGCTTGGTCGTCGTGGAGGCAGGAAGTTTTCTGGCAAAACCCGCGAGGGCATAGTGCAACCGCCCCCTGAGTGCAACCCTAACCCCAAAACCACTAAACCCTTGTGCTAGTTTGGCCCGGTTTAAACAGCCGAGGTCGTACCTGCTTTAATTCCTAGTTCTTTTTGATGACAACCCAGTAAGCCCCACATGACCGCCTGCGAAACCGCAGGCGCCTTGAAACCAAAAAGCCGGCTGCGTAGTAAGTCGCCCAAATAAGTCTGGTGTGTTCCACCCCAAAACCCTAAACCCTAAACCCCTAAACCCCTAAACCCCTAAACCCCTAAACCCTAAACCCTAAACCCCTAAACCCCTAAACCCTAAACCCTAAACTACCCTAAACCCTACATGCAGGGACTGAGGCCTCGGAGGGCTCGTGAGCTTGGGTTTAGGGGCACGCCTGAGTGCAGAAGTGCACCCCCCCGGGAGGAGAGCGCGCCGCCATCTGTAGATGTGAGTCTCGGCCAACAGAGGGTTTAGGGTTTAGGGGTTTAGGGTTTAGGGTTTAGGGGTTTAGGGGTTTAGGGGTTGAGGCGGCCACGGGTTTTTTGTTTGTTTGAAGGTGTGGCTCGGCCTTCTTTTCTTTAGAAGGTGTGGCTCGGGTCCCCTGGTCCCTCCGGTCCTCCGGTCCTCCGGTCCTCCGGTCCTCCGGTCCTCTGGTCCTCTGGTCCTGGTCCTCTGAGCCTGCCTCCAATCCTCTGCTCCTCTGCTCCTTTCGTCATCTCTGTCCTCTGGTCTTCCGGTCCTCTGGTCCCGTGGTCCTCTGGTCCCTGGTCCCGTCGTCCCGTGGTCCTCTGGCCCTGGTCGTCCTGCGTTAGTTTTCTGAAACCGTGCAAAGCTTGTTTCAAAGCATATGAATCCATCCAAACCGCTTCAAAGCCCCAACCCCGTGCTTATGAGGCCGTGCTGCTTGCGTCAAGGCATATGATTCCCTTCCGAAACTATCGTGTGGGCATTGTGTTTGCAAATGGGGCGTTTTAAGCCGTGCAAGCTTCCTTCAAACACCGTATGAATCCCTTCCAAACGCATCGTGCGAGCATTCTGTTTGAGCCCCCCGTTTTCGTGAGCCGTGCACCATCTGAATCCTTTCCAAACCCATAATTCGAGCATTGTGTTTGCAATTGAGGGGGGGGCTGCCCCCCCCAACCCCCCCACTTTTTCGGCCGCGAAAGCTTGCGTCAAAGCATATGATCGGGCGAGCGTTGTGTTGCGACCCTCCCAACACCCCCCCCCCCCCCCCCCCCCCCCGCTCTTTTACTTTACGCCGCGCAAGCTTGCCTCAAACTCCATATGACTCCCTCACAAACGCACTATGCCTGCGACCCCCTCAAGCGCCCGGCTTTTGTGAGCCGTGCACGATCTGAATCTTTTCCAAACCCATCGTTCGAGCATTTTGTTTGGGGCCTGCGCTCCCCCCAACCCCCCCGGTTTTTTGGGCCGCGCAAGCTTGCGTCAAAGCATATGATTCCTTTCCGTTTGTTTTGTCTCATGCTGGCACTTGTAGCATTTACAGTATTTGCAGCCTCAGAAATGCTGCTGTTTACAGTATTTGCAGCCTCTGAAAACACAGCAACGCCGCTACTTGCAGCGTTTGCCAAGCCGAGCCACACCTTCTACAAGAACGGGTCCGAGCCACACCTTTGAAAAAACAAACCCCTCCGCCGGGTTTAGGGTGGGTTGAAGGGCTCAAAAAGGGTTCCAGTAGTTGGTCCGAAGGGCGCCATAAGTAGGGACTGAGGTTCTAGGGGCCCAGCAGGGCTGCGACCGTGAAGTCCTATGCACCTTCAGCTTCACATGGTGAGCTCTCTACATTATGGTCCCTTTTGGGGTGCCCTGAAAAAGAGGGGCCGGACAGTGCGGACCCGAACAGGGAACACAATTTAGAGCACTGACCGGAATTATACAAGCTAGGGGCCGACATGCTCTCAGGCATCCTATTTAGGGAAGGCAAGTATGAAGCCATGGATGGGGGTTTCTAACCTCCCCCAACTTGAGAGAGCTCTTGGCTTTGCCTGGTCTGCTCTTTAAGGAACTATGCTGCTTGCGCCCGGCGCACCTTGGTCCACCGCGGCCGATTTCTGATCTTGATCGCAAGCCTTTTCATCAAGAGCTTCTTGGCAGCTCAGTGGTGCCCTTTACCCTCTTTTTTGTTATGGGTTCCCTTGTAACGTAGCCAACCAAGAAAAGGTGCCCTTATTACTATGGTTACCGGGCTAGTAAGGCTTCTTCGATGGCCTGGCCGCCAGCAACGGCATCGTGCTGCGTCGAGACTTGCGCCAGTCGCTTCACGGGGCCTCCGTGTGCATCACGCTCATGGCCTTTGCCGGCACTGTAGGGTCCTACATTCCGGCCCGGCTATCCATGAACGCACTGAAAGCCATCCGGATGTCCATGGGTCCCTTGCTGCTGTCGGCGGGCTGCCTGGCCTTTACCGGGCTGCTGCACAGCGAGAACTTACAGTGGTTCATGGGCGCCACCTGCTTTGCAGAGGTCGTGATCTGGACTCCATACATCTCGGCACTGTGCCAGTTCACCCAAGGAATTGAGGACATCGCAGGTTCGGCGTCATCTTTGCTGACGGCGCTCTCCTTTCTGGGCAGCTCCCTGGTGTCGCTCTCGATGGTGGTCTTGGCGCAGCAGAGCGCCGGGAGCTTCCTGCTGGCGCTGGCAGCTACGCTGCTGCTCATCGCCGTAAGCTTCTAGCCCGGCCCTTGGGATATTTTTCTGTTTTCCCTTTATTGGGCTCAAGGGGACCATATGAGACTGGGAGTTTACGAAAATAGTGAACCCCTTACATCTGGACCCCCAAATAGTAGGATCCCCTTAACATTAAGGACCCCAAGAAGGCCCTAATCTCGGAAAGCCCCATACTGAGGAGATATGTTTGCAGAGGTGTTTTAGGGGCCATCCCAGGCTTATGGTTGGGACCCCTCAGTTGCTCAGTGGCCTTTCTCGTGCCGGAGAGCACGGACATGCATGAGAAAATGGCTCCCGAGGCTGCAGACGCCTCGCCCTCCTCGCCTCAGGGCACTGTCACGTTCAGCTAGAAGAGGGCCTTTTTGTCTGGGGTTTCGAGTTTAAGGTTTAGGGCTTAGGGTAGTGCCATGTTTGGTGTGCTCTTTTCGGGGCAACATCTGTTGGCGATGGATCGCTCAAGAGGCGGGAAGTAATCTGACCTACAATTCGACGATTGTTTGTTAGCAAGTCGCGGCTTAAAATGCCAGCGCATCAACCGGCCGTGGCGGGGAGGGGGTTCCCGACATTGCCAAGGCTTTGATTTGGTTCTTAAGGCCAAAACCCCAAACCCTACGCCCTAAACATCAGGGCATGAGGATAGCTCTAATGATCGATGTGGGGTTCTGCAGCGGTCTAAATGATTGCAGCAGCCGGTGAATCTCCAGCATCTACTGGGTCGGCAAACAAGGGCCCCACAGTGTGACAGAAGGTACTGGCGTTTTTTTTTAAGGTCAGGGCTGCATCGGGCGCTTGCAGCCTGACTGAGTTTGCATTTCGCATCTCCACCAGACGCCCTGAACCGGAAAATGGACACCTCAAGACGAAATTCTGCTTGGGCTTAGGCTTAGGCCTTTTCCTCTCGCCCTAGTACGGTGACCGTGTCTACGGACATTCAAACCCATAAAAGAAGAAATATTCTATGGTTTTTCGCAAGGCCACGCAAAAAAGGGGAAGCCTCGGATGCTAGTACATTGTAGTGTTTTTAAGAGCTGAACAGCCCTGAAGGCCCTGGTCTGGGAAGGCTCTGAGGCATGTTTGCGCGAGCTTTTCAAAGGCCCTGAAGCCCTTGTGGAAAGGCTCCGGCTACTAGTTGCTTAAGAACCCCCAAAAAACATTTACAAAAACAATCCCTATATTACCCTTGTAAGGAAGATTTTTTTGTTTTTGTGGGGGTTCTTAAGCAGCTGGTAGCCGGGTCCTATCATAGTTCGAGGCGCCCTCCGCCCGGTTGACCTACTGCAGGGCTATAGGGGTCGGAGCAATTCCTACCAGTATATCCCCGTAGGGTCCCTATATATGAGTCTGAATATTTAAGAAAAAATCCAAAACCCTATTCTAATTTGTAAGGCCCCTGTTTTGGACTATGCAGCCTTAGGCAGCTTGCAGGGGGCTTACACAAACGACACCCTCCTTTCCCTATTGTCCCAAAGCTCCCCAAAACCTGCAGGCCCAAAACCCAGAACGCCTCGGACTTCACACCCTTTCAACACCCTAATCCTGAACCCTATGTAAGCAACAACAAATGTAAGCCCAAAAGCCTGGAGCCCATACGCAGGCGAAGCATGCTTTCGGAGTTCCAAGCCTCTACGATGCTTGGCGACGAGCGTGTTTTGGGTTTCTTGAAGGTTCAGGGGTTCAGAGGGTTTAGGGTTCAGGGTTTAGGGTTTGTTTGAATGAGACAAGCCTGTGCAAAAGGGTTTGTTTGAATGGGGGGGAGGGGGGAGGGGAGTTGTTCTCGTCATTCATCTGTTTCTGTAAGTCTCCATTGGAGTTTAAGGTTTTGAGGCTGCAGGGTTGATTGCGGGTTACCATCATGTGTCTTTCTACGTGACAGGGACTCGCCTTTACTCGCCACAAAACCTCACTTGCAATTGCTCATGTCTAGCATTCGGCTTCCGGGGGAGAGGCGGTCGGGCTTAGGGCTTCAGGAGTTTTAGGATTTGGCATGTCAGTTCCAACTCCGGGCATGGGTCCTAAACCCTGAAGTGAAACTGCGGAGCACGTGGAGAAACGGAAGCCCTACATGGATGTTAAAAAAAAAGAGGGGTGCCCCCTTTTATACCCCAACGTTGGGTTAGGCTCCCCTTAAAGGGGGCCCCCAAGAAGGGTACCCCTAGTTTCGGATGTCCCCACATCCACACATGGCTTCAGGTGGTTGCGGCCTGGTCGCGACAGATCTGTTCGGAAGGGCCGGTTCAAGCGGGGGGGCTTCTGGCACAGAGGTATCTTTCTTCCCTTGTGGCTTCCCTTGGCAAGCTGCCCGACACCCCAGATACCTCAAAACCCTAAAACCCCCTAAAGCCCTGAAACCCTAAACCCTTCTCCCCAAGTTACTTGGGGAATCTTGGGGTGAGGGGCCCAAACCCGAAACTCTGTGGCTAGGCCTGCAGGGAACGTAGGGTCCCAAACCAACGTGTAACCTGCCACCCCCAAAACCCTAAACCCTAAACCCTATGCGGAGCTGCAATTGGTATTGTAGAAAGGAGTTGGTATTGGAAGTTGAAGGGTCAATGAACCCGGTAATCTTTGGCTCAAGCCATGACCAAAGCGGTCAAAGGTTTCGTAAAAAGTGTGCCCTTGGTTTGGGGTCTTGCTGTTCGGTTGTTGGTTGTTCCAGGGGTAATAAGGGCTTCTGTTGGGGTTGACTGTCTTGTTCCCTGTCCTCCTTCGGTTGCCCCCCGTAGGTTATGAGCCCAAATTAGGCTTCCTGCGGAATTGGTAAAGATTTTTCGTTTGTTTAACGCCATGGACATGATGCGGCGTCGCTCTGAGCCTGGACTGTCGCCAACGGCCAATGAAGCCGAAGGAAATCGTGGTGATGGGGGTGAAGATCGACAACAAATGGTACAAGCACTGACAGATGGTAGGGAGGTTGCAATGATACAACCAACGCCTCAGGTGGAAAACGAAGTGGTTCCGGTTCAAGCAGCAAATCCTTTCTGGAGCGAGCGGGCTCAAGAAGAAATGAGACTTAGGCAATCAAGGCCGGCAAGTCTTCCCGCGAGCGGAGGGGATAGGAGTGGTGAAGGTACGAGGAGACCGCCTTCGCTGCAAGACCTTTTGGGTCAGGAACCTGCACCTGTTGAGAGACCATCGTCAGGCTTAATGGGACAAATGGAACGAGGTACTATTGGTGGAGTGCAAGCCGACGAAGAACTCATTCCTGATGTTAGTGGTGAAGAGCAAACTGAAGATATGGCGGTGGTGAAGCGTGCGCTGAAAGAGTTGCTTGTGCAGACAAAGGAGCTGGGGAACAGGTTGCATCGGGTGGAGGAAAAAAGCTATACCTCTGCTGCATCTGGGTCAGCTTCAAGGGCACGGAGCTCTGGAGTGGTGGACGCAAACACGGCATATCCTCTAGGAATGACTCCAGAGAAGCAGTACCTGCCAGGACAAGTTTTCTACACGGATGGTATGGGTGGTTTTTGGACTGTGTTGCCTGATGGGACATGGCTGCCTATTGAGGGCTACGACCTGCCAAAGGGTTGTGATCTTCAATCCTTGCCTGGGTCCAGGAAGGGGGATGTTCAAGTGGAGGATGAAAAAGAAGTGCCAATGATGCATGTAGCTGAAGGGAAGAAACCCTCCAGATTGCCTCCATTGAATTACCCCACGGGAGGTCCTGCAAGTGGTGGATATGCAAGTGGACCACCTGGTTTAACACATGTTCCGATTATTTCCGTGCCATCAGGTGTTGATGGTTCTGTCGCACCTGCGGGGAACCAGCCCGGTTTTGTTTCAGCTCGGGAAACTGCGACGCAAGAGAACTCAGCAGGATCGGGTGGATATACAATGGTGGATGATGTTCCGTATCGGTGGAAAATGGTCGCTGGGAAGTTGGAATTAGAAAAGGTTCCGCTCACAGCTGTTACGCCCGGTATAGGACATGGACTACCTCAAGGGCCTGGTGGAAGGGTCAGTTTACCTCCTGGAGCAGTGGTGCCACGCGGTATGCCAATCACTGGTGATAGTTCTGGAACCGAACGTCCGGAGGCTCTCGGGAAGCATGTGATGAGCCTTCCAACTTTGGCAGACTACACACCAAGCAATCCGACGGCACTGGGTGATTGGATCGCAATGATCGAACCAATGTTGTCTTCGCTGACAGATACAGGAAGAGTGTGGTGGCAATGCGTCTACTCAAAGGCATATCAAGCGTATGCCAAATGGTTGAGTGTTTCTCCACTGGAAAGGTTGGGCATCAAGGCTGAGCTGGAAGGGCTCAAAGTGGTTCAAACTGTGCATGTTTTGTTGGAGCAGAGAGCGGTGTCTTTGCTGCTACAGGCGATTCCGGAGAGATTGAAGACCGAGATCGTTTCCACTCGAATGTTGGGGTCAGTGATGATATTTTACAAATTGCTGACGGTTTACCAACCAGGTGGAGCAAATGAGCGCAGCACAATGTTGAACTTCTTGGTGCAACCATCTTCAGCAACCTCGATCTCAGAGGCTATTAAGGGAGTGCGACAATGGGCGCAATGGCGTTCCCGATTAAGGGAGCTGCGAGCATCCGAGCCGGACGCTACCTTGCTTATCAAGGGATTGGATGCTTTATCATCCGCGTTGCTGGCAAAAACACCCTACGGTGCATTTCAGAGTGGCATCCTTTCGGGAGAAATTGGGGGTGGACTACTCGCCGACCTCTGAAACTGCGACACAACTAGCTGAAATGTTACAGGCAGAGTTTGAACTGCTATTGCATAGTGCTGGTGAACAGGAGGTGAAGCAGGACTCGGACGCCAAGAAAAGGGCCAGGTTAAACAAGGCCCAAAAGGGAACTGGTGACGAGACAGAGGAGGGTGACAAAGGCAAAGGGAAAGGAAAAAGGTACAGCGGAGATGGTGAACGTCCTTTCTGTTGGATATATGGGAAGACCGATGCAGGTTGCAAGTTCGGAGCCCGCTGTAAATTCCGCCATGATAAAGACTCCCTTGAGCGAGGAAGATGTTTTGAGTGTGGGGCCGTTGGCCATCTGCAGCCGCAATGTCCATATAAGGATGGTGCAAGTTCCAATGTGGACTCAAACCCTGAGAGGAGTAGATCTAAAGGGAATTCTCCCAAAGGGGGAAAGGGCGGCAAAGGTGCGAAATGGGGAAATGCCAAAAAGGCAGAGGTAGCTGAAGGGGGAGATGAGACAGCTAATGCGGGATTGGATAAAGGTTCTGCAAGTCCCTCATCACCATCAACACCCAATCAAGTCCTTGCTGAAGCGTTGGAAGTGCTGAAATCTATGAAGCTGTCATCAGCGCAGTCAGCATCAAGCGGGGATCCCAGTGTTCGAATGTTATGTGGATCTGGATTGTTTCAGCAGGAAAGGAGAGTGGCGTTGGTGGATACGGCTGCTACGCATCTTGTGCGGACGCTTTTTCCATGGGAATGTTTACCCGACACTACTGTTATGGTGCAAAGCGCGCTTGGTGGTGTGGCAATGAGGATTACAGAGAAAGGGACGTTGATTAGGGAAGACAATGGGCCCCTGATTATCCCTCTCTGGTTGATTTTGGAGTTTGGGGCGAACCTCACGGTGATCAATGGGATGTGTCACGTGGGTGCAAAATCTTCGCTGGACCAGCTCTTGTGGTTTGAACATGGCTGTTTGGTTATGGATTACAAAACAGCTGAAAAAATGGTGCTGCATGCTGAAAGGCAGCGTGTATCTTGGTCCCATTCTCAATGGAGGAATGGAAGGGCGGACTGTGGAGTCGGTTCGTCGGATGCCACGTTGTTGCCGAAGCAGGGAGAAGGCCGAGGAGTATGCGTTCTACATGTGGCCAGGGTTTCTGACACCAATGAGTGTTCGGGAATGGGCATGTTGGACTCGGGAGCATCACATCCTCTCAGATCACTTCGTCCTGGAGAACAGCTTCCGCAGCAAAAGGTGTTGGTGTCTTTAGCTGTTGGATCTCGGGAGATGTGTATTACCCCAGGTGGGACCCTGGTAACTCCTGAAATGGTAGATCCACTAGTGCCAATTGGCAAAGCGAGCGCCTTGGTTGGTCTCAGAGTTCAGTGGCGTGGTGGCAAGTGCACAGCCTCACATCCTGTTCTGGGGGAACTTCGCGTTCGTGATCTGAATGGGTGCCCTTGTTTGGAAAAGGAGGTGGCGCTTCAGATCATTGATGAAATGGATTGGTGCTCACCAAAGCAAGCTTTGAAGGTGGCACGTATGGTTCAAGGGTGTCCGAATACGGACAACGAGGTGGCTGTAAAAACGTCGTTGCAAAGCGCAGCGCGGACAGCGTCAGCGAATGAGGAGGAGTTCGTCCAGGCATGCTGGAGATTTCTTCGGTGGTATTATGGGGATATACCAGAAAATATGCTGATGGAGCTGTTGCCACGTGGAGATATTGCGGCGTTGCCTTTCAACCGTCATAAAAGGAGACGGCTGGCACGAGCAAAAAGGGTGGTGGTACACCTATTTTCAGGAAAACAAAAATGGCATTTTCCCAGTCGGGATGTGGAGGTACTGGAGCTGGATTTGACAAAAGGCGGTGACCTACATAATTCGAGCGTCTGGAAGTATCTTCTGCATCTGGCGGCTGAAGGAAAGGTGGTTGCTGTGGTGGGAGGACCTCCATGCAGGACAGTGTCAAGGTTGAGAGGTGAAGACGGTGGTCCACCTGTATTACGCCGACGCTGTGGGCCTGAACGGTTGGGGTTAAAAAGTCTTCCTTGGCCACATCAAGAATTAGCTCAAAAGGATGGTGTTTTACTTCTGAAGATGCTTTTCCTATATGACGTGGCGGTGCATTCAAGGTGTGGAACTGCTGAAGTCATCAATGGAAGTTCTGTCTTCTTTGGCATGGAAAGCCCTGGGGACCCTGAACTCATAGGGAAAGATTTCTCTCAGAACGGCAAAACGGTCTTGAGTGCTGAGGATCTGGTGGATGGTTCTCAGGAAGGGCTCTCAAGTCCTACCTTCTGGAGTTGGCCAGAGGTGAAAAGCTTTTGTGAGCGTTATGGAATGTACGCTGCACACTTTGATCAAGGAGCGTTGGGACATGCTCTGGTGAAACCTACGACTTTCCTGGTGTCTGATATGGAACTATGGGAATCGTTGGAGCAAGTTCGCGTGGTTGTTCCGTGGTCAGCAACATTCGCTTCTACCCTGGAAGAGCGTATTGGACAATCCTCCATATGGGCGCGATGGGCGTTTG